TGAGTTTAGAAATTTGTGATGTTTGTTTTCTTGTCAAAATCATTTTCAAAATCAATTTGTGATGTTGTTGCATTATTGTCAAATTTGTGATGTTGTTGCATTATTGTGTTCCGCAAATTGAGGTTCTGTAAATACATTAGGCTGTAAACGTAGTAGAAATTATGAGTCACGAAGTTTCAAATGAAGAATTAGAACAAATGAGGATATGGGTGTCTTTATCATGTAAGTGGCTTTTTTTGTGTTTTCTTATGATAATTTATTCTTAAAAGTGATAATGGTACATTGTTGCATGACTCATTTGACTCTTTAATTTATGAATGATTAGGTTTTGAAGAGAATCATAACATCAACAATGAGGCCAAATTAATTAACACTGAAGACAGTACAAGCATTGCAAATCAATATGGAATGGTGGATATCAATAGTGGAGGTTTTATTTGATTTTTTCTTTGGTTGATGTTAATACACCTTTTTTTTTTTTTTTTTTTTTTTTTTGTTTTTTTTTTTTTTTGCTTTTATCAATTCAGTTAATTAGTTACAATATTTTCTCTTATATAGTACATGTTGCAAAAAACAATGTAGAAGGTGCATCAAGACAGATTGTCAAAATTGAAATTTCTGGAGTTTGGAATAATCAAGAAAAATCAGCAATGGACATTGTAATGCATGATACACATTGTGGAAATTTGACTTTACTAGAAAATATGTGTCAACTTCTAATACACTACATGCAGAATATCTTGCCTTATATCATGGATTGTGTGTTGCTCATGAAAATGGTGTTAAAGAAGTCTAATGTTTGTCATACTCTCAAGAACTAATTGACAACCTTAATAGGAATGATGAACAAAAATGTGTATTGGGTGATTTGCTTGATTCCTTTACATATGTCGAAGTCTATAAAGTGCCTGTTAGTGTGGATATGTTCGTTGATGTTATGGCTTGCACGGCCGCTAGGAGATGATTGAGCCTTGTACTCCTTGGTGAGAGTGATTGTTGGGTGTTTCAGTTTTTCTCAATCGGTTTTTACTTTTTATTTTGGTTTTGGCTCAATTTTTGTGACTTTTGCTTATGTTTTGTTTTAGCCTATGCTGCGGGGCCTTTGGTGTTGAGAAGGGCATGTGGCTGACCTAGGTTGCAGGTCATGGATTTGCTCACAAAACCTTCTTTGTTGGAGTTTCCATTCTTTCCAGGAGGTGTTGCTTGTTTTCTCTTGTCCTTAGGTGTGTGCTTTGCAGGAGTTTTGCTGCGGTGAGTCTTGGTTTTTCTACTAGTTGGGGATTGAAGCTTTTGTTGGATTTCCTTGAAGGTGGCTGGAGTTTTAAGACTTTTTGGGTGCAGACCTTTATGTACAGACTGTGTAGTTTGATTTGTACCTAGATGGCTTGCTTTTTTTATTGCTGGCCTTTTTTTGTCCATCTACAGACTGTAATGAAAATTCATTAGCTTTTATCCCTCTTTACTTATCCATTATGAAGGTTTAGAATGCCAAATCAGTTTGTAATTCATATAAATGAAACCCGCTTCTTTTTTTTTTCTTTTTTTTTTTTTTTTTTCTGGGAAACCTCCACAGGACTAGGATAACTTATAAAAATAAAAATAAACTTAATTAATAAAATCTGAAATACTTGCTGATATCTTACAAACTTCTGGCCAACTTTCAAATAATGAAGGATGTTGGCTTGGTATAGGTTTACGTAATGATAATGATATGCTGGAGAAAGATGTAAAATTAAAACTTCTTGTCACGCAAACTTTTAACATAGAAGTCTATCATAGGACCTGCAGAAAAGATTATATTTGTATATGGTTGGTTACTTCATTATCTAAATATCATTGGTCTCAGTTTAAGCTAAAGCTGATTTTCTATATGTGCATCTTTTGGTAGGCAGAGTGACGCCAGAAAGTGTAGTGTACAGCTTTGGCACCTTGTTATATATTACCATAATAAAAGCTTATATTACAAAATAGAACAAGTTCTTTTCTTGTATGTTGGTGTAGAATTTTTTTACAGCAAAAAAAAAAAAAAAAAAAAAAAAAAAAAAAGGAAAAGAAACACAAACTACTCCTAAAAGACAATGTCTTATTAGAACCCATATGAACATCATTGACAAAGCAAAAATAGTCTTCAATACTAGATAAGTCAATTGTAACACTTATTGACATTGAGCAATTGCTTCTCCAATTAACGCGGGGTCAACATCTAACTGCCTAGGAAGGCAATTTTATCTCTCCAACCTATGTTTTTTCATGTGCGGAACCTTATATTTGTTCGAATCTCTGGCTTTCAAAATTGAAATCATACATGACTGTAAAGTTAAAAATGTATGATTCAATTTTTTTGGCAAGTATTCATCAAATGACTTCTGAACAACCTCTATGAGCGCATCTATAGAGTTTGGTGCCTGTTGGTATTGTAGTCCCTGTATCGCATTAAAAAAACCAAGGTCTAGAACATTCATATCTGGAGAATTCGGTGGTTGACAGATCAAATGTATGTCGAAGCCATCCTTAGTAGCATTACTTTGAAAATACTTATCATCCAAACCAATATGAGGTTTCGCATTGTCTTGTTGGATAAATATTGGACTTTCTGCATCAATTCTTGGCCACTTATCTCGGATAGCCGGCAAGAGTTTCTCAACTATGTAAGATCGATAAATTTCCTTATTGATAGAATTGACCATGGTTCCGGCAGAACGATTTTTACTACTCCTCCTTGCAGGTTCTTTATTTGTGAAAATAAATATCCCGATTTTTCCAGAAAATAATTCATTCCCTGATTCATCAAACCTTGGGCGTGTCACTGCAGCCAGAAACATGACTTTAGTAAAAAAAGTCTTACTCTTACATGTGCGTAAAGGCTCGTCTTCGTCAGGAAGGAGGCAATACTTCTCTGACTACTTTGTCATGTAGAATCACTTCTCATCAACATGAATAATATTTTCCATGGTTACAAACCTCAAACAACTGGGGTTGTTGCCATGTTCAATCATCGATAAACAAAAGCATATTCTAGCTTTCATGTTTTCCATGTTTAATAAAGGTTTTATAGCATTTGAATGACGGCGTATGGAGCCCTCTTTTAACCGCCTAAACAATGTTGTCACTGACAAATTTGTGATAGCAGATAAAGACCTAAGTGTTGTCCTTCTTGCGCCCACAATTGAGTGCCTTTCTGCTAGATACATTAGTGTTAGAATCCAAAACTTCATTTTCTTTTCCCCGTTGCCAAATGCGTTGGATTGTGCGCATACTAACTGAAAATAATTGAGCCACATCAGATGTAGTGTTTTTGTTCAATTGTCCGTTAACACTTCGCTTCAAATAAAGATACAAAAATTGCTTGTCTTTGTTCATTTGTAAGGTTTTTTTTGACTCACATGTGTATTAACTTTCTCGATTATGTCGTCAACTTCATTCGTAGCTTCTAATATTGAAAGAACATTTAAATCAATTTCCCCAAGCACACCTCTACTATTACGTTGTTCGGCCATGGTGACTGACTGAACAGAATCAAAGAGATGGAAATGGAACAGAAATGGAAATGAGTGAGGGACACCAGAATAAAAGAAATGGAACAGAGTAAGAGAAAAGAAAGAGATGAAAGAACAGAATAAAAGAAATGGAATAAGACAAATGTAAATTATTTAAATATGCAGTGGGAAAGTTTCCCACCTTCAAAATCAGAGAAAAAAGTTAGGTGGGAGAGACAAAATTTTTTTTTAATTAAAAATTGTGCATAAACTTAAAACCACTTTTATATAAAAACGGAGGGAGTATTAAATTATATTGTACCTTCATCTTAAAAAACCTTATTGTATATGTAAATTCACTCTTTGACCTTCGAATTTAGGACGGACGACATTATTTAATACAAGTGATTATGAGAGGACTATCTAATAAACATGTTCTTGTTTACAAAAGACGTTAATAGACTGAGTGGATTTATTGGCACCCGATGATATACTAAAAAAACCCCAATACCTCCTTTCAAAGTTTTAAAATTAATTTTTTTTTCTTATGACACCCCTTATATTCCATAAATACCCTTCATTCCATTTTTTTAATTTTATTTTAAAAGAGTTGACATTTTATTGATTTCACTTACGTTATAAACCCTTCACTTATTTTAATTTTAAAATTGGAGTTTATAAAATAATAATTGGGTGTTAAAAATATTTGTAAATAATAGAAAATTAAATTAAATTTTAATAAGTTAATATAAAATAAATTTATAAAAAAGTGAGGCAACAATAAATCCACTCTAAAGGACAAGTGAAGTGGAAATAAGAGCCCATCAAAGTTGGACATTCATTTCTATTAGGGATTATCAGAGATCAACTGAAGTTGGGCCGGGCCAGTCCAGACTTCTAAATAACCCTTTAATCTCTTTTAAGCACACCCACTCAATTCTTGCCGTGCTCCCCTAACTCTCAATTATAAAATTGTAAAATAATTTATAAATCTAATTAAAGGCTTATTTCATATAGAATTAAATTTTATAGGAATACGTTCGGTGGATTTGAGTCGAAACGTTTTCAAAAACAGTATTGGGATACAATCTTAAAATTTAATATAAGATTAGAAAACATTTAAAAATCATTTTTATATTTAATTTAAAAATAAATAGTATATTTATATATATCTTGATAAAAAAAAATGAACAAATATATTTTTTCTTTTGATAAAATTTGATGTTACCATAAATATGAACAGATTCGAGTCTTCCGAGAACATCAATATGGTAAAAAATTATTATTTTCCAGAAAAATATAATAAAAAAAATTGAATAAGGAAATATTATCTTTAATAATCTTCTCATAAGTGAGACACTAAAAATGTTTAAACAAGTACAGGGCTCATGCAAATCCTTACCTTTGTATACTACACTCAATTGGAGCCGTCTGATGTAAATCACACGGCACCGTCACTAGAGTGTGCACAGACTAAAACCAACACGCGCACAGCACAGAAAATACAAACCCAAACACAGTTTTCTGAGTCTGAGTCCCAGTCGGACCCCATCAAAATACAAATCCAGACTTGTTGGATTAAGTGTTTTAAGTAAACTAGCTCACATGGTCTCTTCTGTACGGCCTTCTTTTCATTACTTCTATTCTTCTTCTTCTCTCTGAAACTGAAAACTCTTAACCTTTACCAACTCATTTATTGCCCTTTCACTGTCCCTTTTTTCTCAGGTTTCAAGATTTCAAGATTTGACCATTTTGCTGTCAGTTTTTTAAGTGTTTTTATTGCTTGTTGATTAGTTAGGCTTCTGTTTGGATCTATGAGCATAGAGCTTCAAAGGGTATCCAATTCATATCAAAGGTGATTGCTTTCTGCCCTTTTAGTACAGATCGGATCACTGTTTGCATTGTTTTAGATCAAAGATTGGTTTTTTGTGGGTTCTTTTCTGGAGTTGATACTATGTTTGGGAATGTTAATTGTTGGATGATGGTTGACCCAGATGCAGATTTGTGTGTTTTGGAGAAAGTGTGACATGGGTTGTGTTGTTAGTTTAGTTTCGTTGCTTGCATTGTTGTTCTTTTACTAATTTTGACTGCTGTGTGAGGATGTGAATCAGGTCAAGTTGTGTGATGTTTTGCAGGTGAATTTGAAGGATTTTTGGATATTGTAAGTTCGTAATGGTTGAGGAGATGAATTTGACTACTGAGTTTCGGTGGTTTTTATGAAAACCAACTTGCTGTAGAGACCAATTATTAAGAGGTTCATAGTGAGAGCGTTACTTTTATCGTTCCCTTTTGGTGCAAGAAAAAGCAGGCAAGATGATAAACAAGCCACTCGTTTTGACGTATTTGTACTTGTTGATCTACATCTTGCTTTCATCAGGAGTTATATTGTACAACAAGGTAATGCTTCCTCCCCACATAGTTTTAACTTGGTATTATGAATGTTCTGTATTCCTTAAATTTTCTTGTTTAAATCTTGAAAAGAACAATGTTCTATATGTGTATGTATTAGGCTTTTGCAATATTTTCCTTTTGTTGCATTTGGTCATCAACATGCATGACATGTTGCTGGGAAATAGAAGGGGTTATATATCTATCTTGAACCTATTTGGTCAAGAATTGCTTGGCCACTTAGTGTTGTTGGGTTGGAATTTTTCTGGTCCAAGAACTTATATGTAAATGTGAGATTCTAAGTCTTTATTTCTTGCTGCATATATACCCTTATACATACAGAGTGCTTTTCTTTGCCAGTATGATGGTCTGTATGGTGAAGCTGAAACTTATTATTTCTCACTTTCAATTTCAAGTGACCTACTTGTTGAAGTATGACTATCTGATTTTTATTGCAGTGGGTTCTTTCTCCAAAATACTTCAATTTTCCATTACCTATAACACTTACCATGATTCATATGGGGTTTTCTGGACTTGTAGCATTTTTTCTTGTTCGTGTGTTTAAGGTAAGACTTCTGAAATTTTTATATCGCTTTTACTCCTTGATATTATTTCTCTCCTTTGAAGATTTCTTGTCCCATAACTATTACTGTCATATTAGTTTTACATCTAGACCATGAGGTATCTATAAGTATTCATTAATTATTAGTCGTCAGGTTCTTCTTATATCTTACAAACTGATGTGCGATTACTTGGCATCTGAAAATCGTAACTAACGTGTGCCTGAAGAGGAGCATGGTTGATACAATCTCATTGTCAATTCTCGTTGGCAATTTTGTTGCTTTTGATTTCACATTTTTGCCTTCTTACTGCTGTAGCTAAAGAGAACATTTAATGTATATTTTATATCATTTTTCTTAAGCTTGGTTCATGATTATGAAAGAAATTATCTTGTAAAGTTGAACAACTTGAACTGCTCTACTCTTTTCATTAAAGTTATTACACTTGGATCTTGATTGTTTGTCACCCATTTTCAGCAAGGTTGCACATGTTTGTCAAAAACTATTTCATCACATTTCTGCTTTTGCACATTTCTTCGTGTTTCTTTGTTTACTTATTGTGCTTACGCTCTATTTATCTCTCCAAATATGCAGGTTGTTTCTCCTGTTAAAATGACATTTGAAATGTAAGTGATGCAATTTGTTTTCTCAAAATTGTTATGACTTCCATTCTTTAGTTTTCTCGCTTGTATCTCCTTCAATATTGTTCTTGATATGGCAGATATGCAACATGTGTGATACCAATCAGTGCCTTCTTTGCATCAAGTCTTTGGTAAGCGCTTAAATTGGGTAAAGCCGGATTTGTCTTTTGATGTATGGCGTTTTTATATGAGGCATGGTATTTTAAGTAACTTATTGTTTCCGCTGCGTTCAATATCGTATGTGCTTCCCCTCATTGTACGTTTTTATATGAGGCATGGTATTTTAAGTAACTTATTGTTTCCGCTGTGTTCAATATCATATGTGCTTCCCCACATTGTACAAATTAAATTATAATACCTTGTGTCTTTGTGGTTGTGATAGTGTTTGAGCCACATGCCTTGCATGTGAGTCAGCAGCATGTTAAAGTTTAAAAAGAATAGTTGGCTCCTTATCTATCTTTTGGGTTTTTACTAGTTACTTAACTACAAAAATTCTCAATTGTGTATAATGTTACTTTTTGTGGCAAAAGTTTCTGTTTACCATTTTAAGTTCTTGCTGTTACAGGTTTGGTAACACTGCTTACTTGCACATTTCGGTTGCCTTCATCCAGATGCTCAAAGCTCTAAGTATGTGGAAAGAAACATTCACATATCATCAATTTCCATGTTATTGGCTCTTTACTGCTGATAAATGTATGCTTATAATTTAACTTGGATATTGCAGTGCCAGTGGCAACATTTATCATGGCTGTTTTGTGTGGTACTGATAAAGCAAGGTTGGATGTGTTCTTGAACATGGTGCTGGTCAGTGTTGGAGTCGTCATTTCCTCATATGGGGAAATTCATTTTAATATAGTTGGCACACTTTACCAGGTCACTGGCATCTTTGCAGAAGCTCTTAGGCTGGTATTAACTCAAGTCCTCTTACAAAAGAAGGGCTTGACTCTAAATCCTATCACCAGCTTATATTACATAGCTCCATGCAGGTAACATTCTTTTCTTTTTATCCTTTTTGTAACATTTTATTCTTATAACATATTAGGAGTGAACTAAACAAGATAAGGTGATAATTCAAATGTAACTACATGATTGGCTTCCATTGCTAGTATCATTGAATGTAGTAATGATAAGGTGGTTGATGTCCATTATGTGGTGTTTTCTCTTTATATTTACTCTTGGCAAGCAGTTCCTGTGATTTATCTATAAGAACATGGGAGTTTGCTATCATCTGATTCCTCTGTGTTACAAGATGAGATCTCATACTTGTTTTAGTCCAATTATTAGGCATAATTCATTTCTACAATAATTTTTTTTTTTTTTCATTTGTTAGGGTAAGGATTGAAAGGTATGTAAAATTTTGAGCTTATCTCATCTTCATTCCTTGCTTGTGCAGTTTTGTGTTTCTTTTTGTGCCTTGGTACTTACTGGAGCAGCCCGTGATGGAAGTTTCACAGATTCAGTTCAATTTCTGGATCTTCTTCTCCAATGCTCTCTGTGCTTTGGCGTTGAACTTCTCCATATTCTTAGTGATTGGTCGAACGGGAGCAGTTACCATAAGGGTTGCCGGTGTTCTTAAAGATTGGATACTGATAGCGCTTTCAACTGTTATATTTCCAGAATCCATGATAACTGGACTAAATATAATTGGCTATGCAATTGGTACTTCTCATTTTCTTTAAATGGAAGTTTTATATGATAACCACAGTTTTATATCTTTTCTTTCCATAAATGACTTTTATTAAGTAATGAGTTGTTTTCACGCAGCATTATGTGGTGTTGTCATGTACAACTACATAAAGGTTAAGGATACCCGTGCGTCTCAACTGCCTCCTGAGAGTCTTCCAGAGAGAATGGCAAAGGTTGGTATATGATCAACTTGATTTATTATCTCTCTATCCACCCGCCCTAGTAAAACCCAAATTCTTTCTCTGAATCGAGGAGCTATGGTTGGAGTTGGTTTGGTTCCATTTATTTATTTTCTTTCTTCTTATGTTTATAAATAAATTATGCAGGATTGGAAGTTGGAGAAGAAGTCATCCGATATATACAATCCGAATAACAGCAATGACAACAATGGAGGGAATAATTCTACCTCTGAATCCAAATTGGATGAAGAAGCACCTCTAATTGCATCATCAAGGTTGTCACATATTGGTCGCACACAGGTTAGCAAGTAGCAACCATGCTGCATGATCTGTGAGCCAAGTATATAGATCTGATGTTAGAGGTTCTTCCATGAGCAGCCAAAATTTGAGTATACATTCAAGGAAAGATATTTGTTTTAGTGAATGAATCTTCACGTTCACGGTGAAGGAGCATTTTTATGATAAACACTCAGTTTTATAGCATGCGCCCGCAAGATTTTCCGGCTGGGGTAAATGGTAGCTTAGAACCCATAATTGGGCGAATAAGCTTACAGTTACATAGTCAAGGCTATTGATTTTGAAAGTACTCTTTTTTTTTTTTTTTGGAGCAAGAATTTAAATCTAGTAATTGATAGGTATTTACAAGTTAAACTAGAATCATAGTTGTCGACAACATTTGTTTTGTACTCTTAAAAAATCTGTTGGCTATTGTATTCATTGATATTTTATCTGTCAATTTCCAGATAGCTATTTTGGAATCTTTCTCTGCATCCATCTTTTTTGTCTTTCTATAAATTAAATCCCAGTTTCTTTAATTGCCATTCATAAATAAAAAAAAAAGGGGACTCAATGGTGATCAATTTGCGCCCGCCCCCCCCCCAAAAAAAAAAAAAATAATAATACTTGGTGTACTGTAGACTGTAGAATAACAGATCTCAAATTTCACAGAATTGTAATGTCTCACCAATGGTCTATCACTAATGAGTCTTGGAGAGTAGAGAAAAAAACACCGCATAGCATTCAAAACAATGCAAAAAGCGCTCACATTTGATATACAAAGAGAGAATATCACAAACAAGATATGCACAAATATAGGATGTTGAACGGATGTGAAAAGACAAGCATATGCCCACGATCACATCGCTGGTCTTTCCTGCCATCCACTTGAATGCAAATCATAAAATCTGGACGTGAAAACTTCTTCCTAATATGAAATGATGAATCTACTCAAAATGTTTCCGAGCTCTCGAGTGACAACAGCCTCCTCGCTGGAGCTGGAGGTGCCAATCCGGGAATGTCCTTGATGTCTTTGTTGTTGGGGTTGACAATCTGAAAATTTAAACACAAACAGTCTTATTGTCAGTTTCAATGCCACACTGGTGTGGATGGCACAATGCAAGGACCATGAATATTTTGCAGCTAAATATTTTTACATGTATATATTAGGGTGTAGGTGTTGCTAGAACTTTATGTAATTTGTGCGCTGAATAGAAGTACACTCTCAAACACTTTGAGGTGAGCCAAAAAAGGTTGTGCAATTGATATCTAACTTGGTATTTCAGAATAAAAACTAAAGGGAATACCTTCACAACAATGATGGCTATTACACCGCAGACGATAAGAAATAGGAATGCCATTATGCATTTATCGGTGGCTACCTGTAAGGGAAGAAAGAGAGGTTTAGTTTATTAAAATCGGATATTATGTGCAGAAAAGAAATTAGAGAGCAACCAATCAACAATACATACAAGAAGTCAGAAATTAGTGGGCTACCAATCAACTAACCTGCCTTCCGATCTCCTTCACTAGCTGGGAGGCCTTCTTAATTGAGAACTGAATTGTATCCAGCTCGTTAACAATACGGCCCATTTGGTCAGTCTGCACAACTTTGCATCAGTACATATGAAGGCTATGCTCATGAGCAGGAAACTACTAAGATGACTAGTAACCATACTTACTTGGCCCTTTAAGGTCGTAGCAGTTTGGGTTCCCACTTGAAGTGTTTGCTCAACAACCTAGAGGTCAATTCCCAAGTTAGGATTACAGAAAATAAAAAATTACGCAAAAACATGTCCATTAGTTGTTTACCATTTTAGAACGTTCAATAGCCTGATCAGTCTCATCCATTGTCTTCGTCCCAGCAGTGATTAGCTCTTGATTCGACATGTCTACAAAGAAAAATATGTCGATAAGTAAATGTGACGGATCTTATCCTCTGACAAATACATAAAACAAGCTTCCAAAAACATGTGGATATGTATGTAATTTTTATGTAAAATATTTTTTTGATATTTTATTCTACATTCAATCTTGAAATAGGCAACTTATCCACCTGTCACATACACAGTTATGACTAGTTAATTTTCAAATCACTTCCTTACCCTGTGAGCCTATTGCACTTGACATGAGTAAATATGATTTTACTACTAAAAAATTCCAAGTTGCATGTTGTACTATAATGAAAGGAATGTAACAGCATTAAAAGAAAAATTGTTTATCATTGTAAGACATTAGCCCTTTATATCCAAGTACATTGTATAAATCAAACTTACTTGATGCCATCTGAACATTGTCATCGGCTGTAGGTTCACTCACTCCTGCCCCCATATCAAAGAGTTCAACCCTCTTATTACCAAGGCTATTCATATACCTGCATACATACCAGAGTCCGAACAGATGCTTAAAATCACTTTAATCTCATAGGCTCATTGCTAAGGTACCATACAACAAATCATCAAACAGATCTTCCTCACTTGGGCAAGGATTTGAAGATTTCTTCATGTTTTCATCCTTAATTGTTTATGGGACTATTCTTAACAGAAGAAAATTCATTATCCCTATACATTATTTTCCAAAATAATACCCCAACCTAAATTTCTTTGCTCCGGATTGGTTAACTGCTGCACAGCTTTAGTTTCAATACTTGGAAACCCATCCATGTTTGTCTGATTTAAGTTTTCTTGATCAAAGCAAAAAAAAAAACCAACCTAAAGGCCATGAATATGAAAAGGACATAAAACCAGAACTCTCACTACGGTTTTATAGGCTGGACTCCACTATTAATTTAAGGGCCAAATTTTGAATGAAAACACCATTTGTCCTATTAATTTATAAACAAACCACCACTACTTGTCCTTGTATCTGTAAACTAAGCACAACAAATAGCAAACTCCAGATATACAAGCTCTAAGCTCATGATCCATAGAGAACACAGCAAACTAGTGAACTTACGTTTTTCTTAGAGCCACATAGGAATTCAACTCTTTGATCTGCAACAGTGAAAATAACAATGGAAAAGAAAATGTTACCAGAAAATTAAAAAAATGATGATAAATATCTAATTTAAGGTATGCTCAAAGCACAAAAGCTCCAGTAAGTCATTAAAAAAGGCTGATCCGACCATTTTGGTTTTGCATCAATTTCCAAACAAAATATCAATGAAGACCAACATAAATTTGGAACTCAAGAAAACTGGTTAAGAGAATCCCACCAAACCCTATAGAATCCACTCCAATGTTTAATATGCAAATCTCTATCGTGCAATTTTTAAATTCACACCAGGAGGAAGAAAGAGCAAGGTTTCAAGGAACTGACCATAGATTGCTTCTCATCGTTGAGACGTTTATTGACTTCAGGAGCATTTTGAGCTTCCACATCTTTAATTTCACGATCCATCTCTTTAATTAATCTGAAACATTTCATTAAGTATAAGACCATATGATGGATAAATAATAAAAAAGCACCAGAACAAGAAATCATAATAAAAATAATGCATGCTATATCATTTCATTTTCAACAATTATATTTTTCATATATAACAGATAGTTCACAGCACATGAGTCAGACATGGCTGAAATGCTCCATCCTTGATCACATTAAAGCATTCTTTTATCGGTAACGTTTGAACTAAGACTTTCTAAACCTCTATCCATTCCTTTAACAATGGACCTAAGTCTGACGGATGTATCAAACTTAAAATGCTAAGTCTGTTCAGTTTTCAACCCAAGTTTCTTGATCAATAACTGAGTTTCAAGACAAAATAGTCAATATTTCCTGGAGTGAAACTTATGATGATTTTTTTGAGATAAAATAGATCGATATGTCTACTTCGATAAATATTTTTTATCCTCTATTTTCACTTAGGATCTGTTTTGTTGTTGACATAAAGATCCAATGAGGTAAGAAAGTAATTCAAGTTAGAAGAATAAAATACAATAAAATGTAAATATTAACGTGGTAGTAGCAAACCTTTTACACTCTCTCATCCTTCCAGTAAGTTCTTCCAGCTGTTTACTTTGTCTGTTTGAATCTTTGATCTTATCCAGTCTCTGGAAGCCATTTCTGAACTCAAAAGGGAAAAAAATTTAGCATATTCACAGTGTAACCACACAGCAAAGAAGTAAGATAGTAATTAAAAAAATGAAAATTATATAACAGAACACCATCACAAGTAGCCCTTGTCCCAGAACAATTGTGAAATGGGTAGCAAATTCTAACATTTACAGAACCCTAAGATAAAGAAACCACAATCCAAGATAGTACAACAAAATAAATTTTAACTCTCGGCTTCAAGAGAACCTAAATGAATCCAATACACTTCACCTAAGTAAATTCCTACATTAAAAATCACATCTTTACCATGTTATAAAACAACCATTTCACCAAATTTATAGCAATTTGAAAACCCTAGCTCTTGAAGAGCCATAATTTATGCGCCGTTCACAATTATACTTAGGCATTCCCTTAAGTGTTTCAAAAGGTAATCAAGCAAGAGATTTTCAGATTGCAGTCAAACTAAACATATAAACCCTAATCATAAACTAAATTTTAACTCTTTGATTGTAATTGAATCTCAATGAACCCCAGACACTTCACCTAACTAAACTCATAAACTAAAAATATCACATTTACTAGGTTCATAAGACATCCATTTCACGCAATCGTCAAAAACCAAGCCATAAATTCACACTGAATTACGCATCATTTACAATTGAAGTAAACATATACAACCTAATTTTTCAATTAAAGAAAAAGTAGAAGTTAGAATTAAAGCAAGGAGAACTTACGCGAGAGCTCGGAAATTATCACGAATTTCGCCGTGGATCTGCTCCAACTGAGGGCTCATTTGCAAGTCGGAGGCCATATTTCGCCGGAAAATTAATCGAAATCCCGGCAATTAAATCACCACCACATTCAAATTCGAATCCCTCCGATCTCCAAAACCCTTACCGGACGGCACTGTTATTTTTTCTTTAAAAAAAAAATATATAAATGTGGAAAATATCTTAAATATAGAAAAATAAAACAGGGAGATTTGGGGATAATGGTAATGAAAAGAAGAGAGAATTTCAGAAAATTTCAAAAGAAATAAAGAAAAAAATAATAATAATAAAAATAAAAAAAGGTGGCGTGTATGTATCGTGTAATGCAGTGAAGAGAGAGAGAGAGAGAGAGAATCGGTGTCCGGTAAGAAATTAATTATTATTTTATTTGTTGTTGTTTTTTTATTAAGGGATTTGTTAGTGAGAATGAGAGGGGGAAAAAGCCGTTGCTGTTGGGATGAAAATGTCGTGCGGCGATATTTCATTTTTTTATTAAAGCGTATTTTTTAAAAAGCGCGAGTTATTGAGTGTGAGCTGGTCCGAACCCAACCAAAGTCTATGTGCTGGTCACTTATTTAGAATAATGGTATGTTATTATGTTTGACGTAATTTAGTAGAATATATTTGTTTAATTACCAGATTTAGAAGAGACTTCCTCCACCCCAAATTATCCAAGCCCTACCCAAAGTCACTTTTATCATTTTTGATATAACTAAACACGAGTTATAGGGGAAAAATATTTATTTAAAAAAAAATATATAGGGAAAATGGTTGGAATGTGCTGTCAAAGTGATGATAGTGTGTTACCAACTTCCATCACAACGTACACACCTGGACTGGACCATCCATTGACCTAAATATAGTTTTGAACGTGGGCCGAAATCAGTGATTCATCAGAGCAGCAGCAGCAACTGGGCCTTGTGGGCAGATAGTATTTGTCCACTCCTTTTGTCAGACTAAAGATAAAAGCATATCAAAAAGGACAACTTCAATTGTGATCCTCATAAATCATGATACTTACGCTTTTCATTCTTATGGCCAAGAAATGCCATGGATTCCTGGCCAGAATTCTATTTGGCTTTGGTCCATGACTATGAAATATGCTGAAGCCCCACATCAATGTTAACCCATAAATTGTTTAATTAATCCAACAACAACAAATCAACGTAAGTTTGATAGGTAGAGGTGGGATAAATAATCTGAAAACTGAATCGAATCGAATCGAAAATTAGGTTTTTTTATAAACCGGTTCTGTTTGAAAAAAAAATTTAAACCGGTTTTATCCTAAATATAAAAGCAAAAAAATTATTATATATAAAATAATAAATATTTGAATTTGGAGACTTAAATGAAACATTGAAAAATTTTAAAGATTAAAAAATAATTTGAAAACCGATAACCGAAAATTCGGTTCGATTTATATACGATTTTTAACCAAAACCGGTCTAGTTTTCGATTTGGATAAACCGATTCGGTTAACCGGATTATCCCACCCGCGTGGCTCTCGCTAGAGAATGTGGTAGTGGGGCCTGGCCTGGGATCAGGAGGCTAAAATTAATTATTAAATTACTATAATATTCCTTTAATCTACGACTTTTTCAACCTTATCTATTATCTAATTACGTTTTGTCTTTTTATCTCTATCTAGTAATTACGTACTGTCATTTCGACGAAAGTCGTTTGGATGACTTGTCGTTTCGTGTCTTAAAAGCTTCAGCTAGCTCAGCAACGGCACTACCAAAACCATAAAACTGACTAGCTACAAAAATTCCAGGGGCGGCACGGGAGTCCCGAAGTAACGGCCATGTCCTACACGTGCTGAAATTCCTTACGTGTCACATCCTCATCCAATTAATCCACACCAAGCACGTGCCTGTCACCATCTCCTCCGGTCAAATTCTAACCCTAGTTAGAGACGTAAAACACAATATAACTGAAAAGAAAGAAACGAGTAGAAATTTTAATTCAATTTTCAATTTTGTTGAGAGGCAAAGGCAAAGGCAAAGACAAAGGCGAAGGCAGAGGCAGCTTCGAGCAATGGCTGCCAAGAAGCTGTACGAGTCGTTCTCCAAGAGTTTGATGGAGGAGGTTCATCGTTGGGGATGCATGAAGCAGACAGGTGTCAGCTTGAGGTACATGATGGAGTTTGGTTCTAAACCTACTGAGAAGAATCTCTTAATCTCTGCTCAGTTTCTTCATAAGGAGCTTCCTATTAGAATCGCTAGACGTGCTATTGAACTCGAAAGCCTTCCTTATGCTTTATCTGAAAAGCCTGCAGTTTTGAAGGTCATTTCTTTTTTCTTTTTATAAAAATTTCTCTGATATCTTCTAATTTTTGTTTATTTTAATGACTGCTTGACCATACCATAACAAAAAAGATTGAAAACAAAGTTGACCAAAATATGTTTATTTATACATCTGGCCTTGCATGTGCCGTTTTGAATTCTTGGATACTTTGTGATTTTAGTTTACTTTATTAATTATTTGACCGTATAAAAAGAAGATTTTGAGTTAAAGTTTATTTATTTTTTGTTTAGTATGTACTTGAGGAAGTTAATATACAAGTGGTTATGTTAAAATTCTGAAGATCTTGTATTCATGTTTGATTCTGTTTGATTATATAGGTTAGAGATTGGTATTTGGATTCGTTTCGGGACATGAGGTCATTTCCAGAGATAAAGGATTCGAGTGATGAGAGGGAATTTACGCAAATGATTAAGGCGATCAAGGTGAGGCACAATAATGTGGTACCCATGATGGCATTGGGAGTTCAACAGTTGAAGAAAGTGATGGATCCCAAGATTGTTTATGAGGATCTTGATGAGATTCATCAGTTTCTGGATCGGTTTTACATGTCGAGAATTGGAATTCGTATGCTTATTGGTTAGTTATTGGTATTGTTAGTGATTTTGTTGTTCTTGTTGAGAGGTGAGTCTGACTATTTTGTAGTTTTTGATTTGGGTGAAACTCAGGGCAGCATGTGGAGTTGCACAATCCGAATCCCCCTCCTCATTGTGTTGGTTATATAAACACAAAAATGTCTCCGATGAAGGTTGCAAGGAATGCCAGTGAGGATGCGCGTTTTATTTGTTTACGGGAGTATGGCAGTGCTCCCGAGGTTAATATATATGGTGATCCCGATTTTACATTCCCGTAAGTTCATTCTTCTCACTTGGTTTATTTTGTTTGATTTTAATCTCTTTTGAATTTGTGCTTCTTTTTAGCCTCATCTATATCCTGCCAGTGATGACTTGTGATTTAAAGAAGAAAATTGGCTTTTTGTTTAGGTTTTTATATGTTCTATTTGATTTTGTAACAGGTATGTTCCCTCACACTTGCATCTTATGGTATTTGAGTTGGTTAAGAACTCATTGCGTGCTGTTCAAGAACGGAATATGGACTCAGATAGAGTTGCACCTCCTGTTCGAATAATAGTTGCTGACGGATTAGAGGATGTTACTATTAAGGTTTTTTTTTGTATAATATGTTTACTTTGTGCTTTGTCTGTCCATAAAAGTTCTATGATATGTATATATATCTATGTAGATTTCTTTTCCAAGTCCTTCCTCCTTTTGGCATTTTCTGTTGAATTTTGATGCGCTAAAAAGTATTTTGCACTATTTTGTACGACAAATGAAATGCTTAACAAGTTTGTCTCAATGACTCTGTAGGTCTCTGATGAGGGGGGTGGCATTGCAAGAAGTGGTCTTCCCAAAATATTCACATATCTTTATAGCACTGCAAAAAACCCATTGGATGAGAATTTGGATATTGATTCAACCGATGCAGTAACAATGGCTGGATATGGATATGGGCTTCCTATAAGTCGCCTCTATGCACGGTATTTTGGTGGAGATCTGCAGATTATCTCCATGGAAGGATACGGTGAGTTAAATACCTTTTTGGTTCTGTTGCATTCAAAAATGTCTTCCATAAATGAGTTCCAATATTTCATTGGATGAAGCCTTGGATTTTGAAAAGTCAACTGGATAAGGCACTTGGTTGATATTGTGATCTGGCTGGCTTATAGTTCAGTCTTTGACTTTCTGGCTTCTGCTTGGAAGGTTGAATGAAAGAAAAAATCGAAAATTTAGAATTTCTCAGTTGAATAGTTGTTGGAACTGAATTTAGCCATAAAAGGTGCTATGCTAGAGCTTCTTCATGATGCAAAGCATTTAACTAATTGCAATGGTGTTTTAGATGTTTTCTCTATAAGCCAGTTGTGGGGGCTTCTTCCCTTTCTATTAAGTACCCCCAATAGAAACTATGCAATATAGTGTTCATAATCAAAATACTGTGCTTAAAATATAAGAGGGATATCAGTATAGTAGTTATCTTTTCAATGTCCATGTGTTTCATCTAGGGTAGGTGTTCATTTTACCAATCAAGTTCTTGCTTCGTGGTTTTCGATATTTTTCTCACTTGTGTTGAATTTGCATTTTGTACACAGGGACGGATGCATATCTTCATTTGTCTCGTTTGGGGGATTCGCAAGAGCCGCTGCCATGAAATTACGTGGGGGTTGGTTTTCTAAAAAAATTGTTATTGAAAATATAAGACAAATGGTGTAAAATTTGTCCAAGGGATCCATTGCTGTCAATTTTAATCTTAATAAATTGGCAGTTTTCTTGTATATTCTAGGTTCGTGGTCTGCTTCTAAACTTTCCGCGCCAAAGAAACAAAATTTATGTAGTGATAAGGCCAACTTACCTGCCTACTTTTGGTGGGTATGGTATGGGGAGGAATAAATTAGGTAATAGAGGCATGTGGAGATAGATTCCTTTCCTAGAAAGAAAAAAAAAAAAAAAGAGAAAAGGGATTTAGGGATATTGAGAGGATGTGTTTGTCAGTGAAGATTCTTTGGATTGCGGCTCTTTACATGTTAATGGGAACTAAGCTGGACTCTATAATATATTGTACTGCATGAGATATATATTTCAATATTCTTTAGCAAAGGGAAGAAATATTTGTGTCTAAAACAAAGGACTAGCAATGACCTTCTAAACAGATGATTAAATTCCCATATTGATATGCAAGAATATAAACCGGTATTACAACGTAAAAAATTATTAACTCATTAGACGATAAGGCTGTCTTAAATATATCTCTCATCTCTATAATTCAATGCCTTCCATGAATGTCAAAATTTCCCCCTTCAAAAGAATAGGAGATTCAGTGCCTTCTTTGCTTTGCACGTTTTTGTGACTGTCGACCCTTTATCTTCCATTTCTCATTTCCGGATGGTCGATTTTGTTCTTCAATCTCCCGAACCTTACGCTTCCTGAAAAGTATTTATACAAGTGAACCAAATGAGAAGGTAAATTAAAACATAGGACCTTGGACGATAACAGCAGAATAGCTCTACTCACCTGTACTGCCCAAGGTTAGGATCAGAAAGCAGTTCATCTGCAAGGGAGGCCTTCCTCTCCTTCTTATTCAGTCTACTTGAGAAGAACTCCGTTGAAGGCTCTATAACTGTGCCCACCTGACAATTTGTCAAAAATAAAAAAGATTTTTTAACATAAGGGTTAAGACCATCCAAATAACTTAAATTAAGGAGAAGTGCAGAATGTTCACTGTGACAAGCTAAACATGCCTGGAAATACTTGGGCAATGTTTTTGATTTTGTATCACCCTTCTTGTAATGTCTCTTTGGATCAAAGGCATTCCTCAACTGTATCATCAACAAAGTATAAATACATTAGATACATTGAAAGATCACCTTTCTTGTTCATAATAACAAACTTGTTTATCAACATTAACACAATCTTGATCAAACTCGATCTTTATGTAGACACAAATTTGTAGATGAATTTCAGATAACAGTTCTCACAGTGTAACTAGAAAACTGATGTTAGGAGTAAATTTTTTGTGGTACAATATATACGTAAGATGGATGTAGTCACTATAAAATGTAAAGTCAGAGATGAATCATCTTGATTGTATTTGGAAGGTAATAAGATTGAATATAATCTAAGCCAGAAGTAAGAGGCTCTGATTGAATAATTATCCAAAATTGATATAAATGGATAGCACCAAAGGCCATACATAGAGAAGGCTATGTTCATATGCCAACTTAACGTTTTAGAATGAAAAACTTAAGACATTCGAAATTAAACAAAATCTCAGTGCAAGTGCATGAGTCCATCTAGCATTGTGTCAATTTTTGGAATAATTACTTAACACCGATCACCAAGCACATGACGCAAGTGCATGCCCACTTGTAAAGTAAGCAACATTCCCTTTCTCTTGAGGGTGGCAGTTTTGAGGAGAGAGAGCATATTACAAGTACAAACAAGGACCCACAAATGTCTGACATATTATTCCCAAAGAATTTTCATCCATAAAGCAGAATGATCTCTAGCTTAAAAATCATTTATGAATATGCTAGACACTAATCTATGGGTTATCAGCATGTTTTACAATTGCACAATAAGTCATACGAACGTATTCTCTCTCTTTCTCTTGGAAACAAGTAAGTATGAATGCAAGCATTGACATAATGTCACCATTTAAAAAGGTTTGATTCAAACATCGTCTCAAGGTATACTCCCTATATAAGGAACAATAAGAAACAACACACTCTCAATTAAGTATTGCAATCTCAGGGCAAGTTTAAAATGAGATTGAACCACACAAATAAAAAACAATGCCATGTCAAACAGTTACATAGACGAAAAAGAGAGAAGTTAGAGCACCTTCAGCAACTGAAGATCTTTCTTCAACTCAGGAGTTATAGTTGCAGCAGGCATGTCAAACCTAACATTCACATGGCACAACAGAACAAACATCAATCAAACCAACAAACAACCCACAAAAAGGCAGACCCACAATTTTGATACAGTCATAGAAAAAATACCAGCTAGTCCCAACTGTATCTTTCATTTGTTTCTTGAGTAACTTGTTTAGCTTTTTCGGATTGTTTGGTGGCACAAAAAGCCCATCAACAAGCTCGGTATTTGGTCTCCAAAGCGTGCTAACTTCACGATGACATTGTGATCCATGTACACCTTTGTCGTTAACATGAGAATCAGTTTTCACAGTGGATGACAGAACCGGCACCTTTGGCTGCCATGAAAGGCCAATAACTGGCTTGTTCTCTGTCATTCTCTGATTCTAAATAAAACCCAAGTAGCTTCTCTCTCTTTATATTCTCAACTGAATAACAAAACGAAAAGATATCAAAAAGAAGCATAATAGAGCAAAAAATACATAAATAATAATAATAAAAAAGTAAACTTTCAGCACTGCAGCTTCAGTTATATCTTTGGCTTAAAAATTTGGAGTCCTGTCATCACAATTTTTTGGTGAATCCGTGGAGTTATTAGTCAAACAACTTTGTTAGGGTTTCGCCACGCAGAACAACTCTATGCCTTGCAGATGTTAACTAATTAAACAAATCAAGAAAAAGAATTGAGTTATACGAACTCACTGATATCGAGAGTTCGCTGGGGCGGGCCGTGTGAATCCTTCGGCGGCGACGGCTGCCGGTAACAGCGTTGAGAGTTGTATTTGTGTGTATGCCGGAGGCGACTTGTTTTAGAGATATGGGATTTAGGGTTTTTCTCTTGCTCTATGGTTTACTTCTTTCTATTTCAAATTCTTAAATTTGCAAGAACTGAAACCTCTAGGGTCCAAATGAATAAAAAAAAATTAATTGGATCTCTCATAGTTAACCATAACGCATTTTAACCGGCTTATCGTTGTAAGAACTGAAACTTCTAGGGTCCAGATTGATTAAAAAAATTTAATTGGGCCTCCAATAATTAACCATAACTCCTTTTAACCGGCTACTATTCTAGCTTAACACCAAGAAGAGAGACCATTTTTATCTTTCCGTTTTTTATTCTAAAATCTAAATTATTGATATATCACCCCCATTCTTTCTATATATATAATTTCGAAAAATGATCAATTTTCAAATTAATTATAACTTTATAACATTAAAGAATAAAATGTTTTTATTTAGTGGGTTTTTACATTATAAAAAATCATCATTCAATTTGCATATCTCACCCCAATGATTATTTTTACGGATACTAGATCCTTAAACTCAATTTGATTCATCTTAAAGTGAAAAATAAGAAAAATGTTAAGACAAACAAAAGTACTAGGCCTTTGGTTAGCTTAATTCATTGCCTGTATATCGTTACATATTGAACAACAAAGTACATGATTAGAGCAATTGCCTAGTAAATGCAATTATCAACACCACATTTTGCTTCAAAAGGGCTATCTACTCCTATGTTAGTTTTGATTGAAAACCTAGAATAATCACTCAGATTCGTCATCGAAAAAATTCATATCACCAGCATCATCAGTGGCAGCGCCAGCTTTAGCAGGTTCCATATCAGCCATAGACAAGAGCTCCATGGATCCATACTTTCCCTCTGCATTTCCATCTTCATAATCATCAATTATATCATCCTTATATTCATCATCGTATGCAGTTCCATTTTCGTCGTAAGGGGTTTCCTGCAAAAACAGGGAGGTTTGATATGTAAGGAAAGAGCAAGCACAATTTTTTTCTTTAACCCAATTAAAAAAACTTCAGGAAAGAGTACCCTCCTTGAGTTCAACATTTCAGAAATTCTTTTTAAGAATTTCATGTTATAGTGACAGTAGAAAGAACAAAAGCAAACATCCATTATCGCAGGCTGATGCAAATGATGTCCTCATCGAGATCAACCACATTAGCTAGCAAAGATATTTTACGTTTGCATGAATTAATCTCTTCTGAACCTATTTCAAATGTACTCAATTTTAGCTTTCAGACCAAGATATGAAATATACATTAATACTATAAACACATTCAATTAGCCAACTTAGTTACTGTGTGACCAAATGACCAAGATTAAGACAAAACTCTAGTTTACTTTCAATTTCAGCTGGATGAATTCAATCCTAGATCCAAACACGGGTCACTTCCAGTGCTACAGAAGCAGGAAGGGAAGTTCATCTATCACTCGGAGCCACCAGGTGAGTAGAAAAGAATGCAAACTTAAAAATACCTCATCTTGTGATGCTTGTTTCTCTCCTTCAATAATCCAGTCATCCAGTGAATGTTCTTGAAGAACACTGTCAAAAGAGATTGCATCATCGGACCTCTTTTTCATATGGTGTTCTCTAAGACGCAAATTGTAGTGTACATAGGTAAGATCATTAATTCTTTTCTGAGCAGCACGACTATGCCTTTGTCTGTGGACCTGATCATATATGCTCCAGTTATGCTCACATTGAATGGATGTGCATGTTTGACTTAATATACGAACAGCTATCCTTTGCAGCTCTAAGCAACTTATCCCGTGTTGTTGCCACCATGCAGCTAGTACATAAAATAGCACTGATCAATACTAAATTATCATTGACACTGGTTCCAACCCAGAAATCTATGCATGAATTCAAGTATATGCGAAATTCTCAACAAGTATCATAGAAATCCAGATGGGCAAGTAGCATCACCTGGATCAAGCCCTGTTCTAGTACTAATTGCCAATTCAGTTCCAAAATCAGCTTTTGCAGAACTATAATCAGAAATCTGTGAAATAGCAGCAATCCTTCTTGCATTGTCTGGCTCCAGCCGAACAATGCATTCATTTAGTCCTCGCACCACCTCTGGATGCTGCATTTTATTTTTTGATGAAAAAAATAAAATAAAATAAAAAATTGCATTAGCTAAGAAACCAATATGAATTTGAAATCAACCAATCATCATTGTTTCTCCTACCGCCACAAAATGAGGACGATATCTGTAAGACGGATTCAAGAAATATGCAGCTACATATAAAGGGTGGTGGATTAACAAGTTCCAGTGATCATCTATCACGCTCCAGAATGGTCCATATTTGCGAACATCATCACCGTGAAAGGATTTAATTGCAACCTTTGCCCTGTAGATGTCATTATATATGTATGGCATGGACGGGCTTTCCCCAGTATTAACCTTTTGAAGAACTTCCATTATTGGCTCCACCGATTTTAAAACATACATCACCTTCTTCCAAAATGTAGCATTTAAAACAGTCTTTTCCACCTCTTTTCCCTCATCTGATCTAGAGAACTGAGATGATATCCATATGTTTGACTGAAACATTCTTCTAAGATCAATCCTGTGGTCCAGTAAGTTTTTCAATGTAGCAAAGCTGGAGGCATAACGGGTAACTGAAGGCCTCAGAAGTTCCTGTTCTTGGGTAAATTCTTTCTTCATTAGATTTAACAAAGAAATTTGATTGTATATAAACTTTGTAATTTTTTGCGCCTTTTCCATACATTCAGATACGCATTTTAACTTGAGAAAATCTTCAAGCATCTTGTCAATACAATAGGTTGCACAAGGCATCCAGAATAGATTCCTTCGCTTCTCTTCAAGCATCTTTCCGGCAGTCTTATAACTGGGGGTATTGTCAGTGATTACCTCCAAGAAGAGAGGACAAAAAGCAACAAAAAAGAAACACTATTAGTTACTAGCAGGTCAAGATTAAGGATGACAAATTATTGGAAAATAGAATGGAAGAAAGGGTTGAATACCTGCACCACATTTTCCTCGCCCACCTCTTCAACCACTTTGTCCAGCAACTTAAACAAATTTAGAGCATTTTCCACAACATCAGTGGCATCAACCGAAGAAACAAAATATGAACCATGGGGGGAAGAAACCAAAAAATTGATTAATACTCTACCCTCAAGGTCTGTCCAACTATCGGCAATGATCGAACAACCAGTAATTGCCCAAGAAGCCCTAAGCTTAACTAGGTTTTTTCTAATAGTTGCAATTTCTTCCTGTAGCAAGTGACCAGATATCAGTTGACTTGTAGGGCCTACCAACCCCTGTCCATATTGACCAACCAACTCAAGCATACTATGAAAGTACTGGGAGTCTGCTGCTTGTAAAGGAACTCCTGCATGGTAAAAAAATTTGGAAATTGCAGAAATAACTTCCTTGTGGGACTTTTTACCAGATCCTCTTTTTGATTTCGTTTGTTTGTAGGATAGTGGAGTCTGACCATGTGGTGATTTCAGAGAAGCAGAATCCAATCTTGATTTTTTCAGTAACGGTTCGAAACTATCGTGAGGAGACATCTCCTTAAAAGCCATTCTCAAATCTTTTCTCAGTCTTCTATCAGAAACTGCCAATCTCTCCTTGCTCATTTGATTTAAAGCTTCCTCCTCTTGCTCATTCGTTTTATCTCCATTATTTGGCTGTATATAAAAAGTTGATTGGTCCTTAACATCAGGCCATTTTTGTCTCCTCCCAGTACGGTGCCATTTCATATTCTCTTTCATTTTAAGATACACTTCCTCAGGAGCATTGTTACAAGGTGCTACTTCTCCAGGAATTCTAGCAAGATGTTGTTTAAACCGATTAACACCTCCACTAACTACTTTTCCACAATAATTGCATTTGACCTTTTTCTTCTTCTCATCTTGAGCAACACCATGCTCCCAACCCGGATCAACATACCCTAATGACCGAAGTGGAGTCAAATTTAACACTAAATCCCTGTCTCCCATCAATTGCTTTCCTCTACTTCTGCCATAACCGACATGCTCTTGTTCCTCTTCATCGTCAGAGAGAAAAGCTAAATAAGATGGTCCAACATCATCAGCTTGCCGAGCTCTCTTACTAGAACCACAACCTTCCAAATCTTCCTTCATTCTAAATAATACTTCCTATAAAGATTTATCAAAAAAGTACTATAACCAGTATCTCCCACAACTAACTAACTTTTCCCACATCTTGACTCAGCTCCATCATCCTTCAAGCCAGCATAAACTCATATCTAATACCATGAACAAGCAATTTAACATGTCACAAAATGCATGCTTCACTTCACCATACTATGGAAAAGAATGTCAACTAAATGATACAACTCAAAACCAACAATATAAAACCCTGTGCTTTTGGTGGATTCTAGGTTGATCATAAGACCCCAGCAAGAGTTAATCATAAATTTTAAAGTAATCACGTTTCTTTTTCTTGAAATTTTAACAACAAAAATATGTCAAAACCATCAAAGTTTTGATCTTTCAACCAAAAATCAAAACTTTCAAGAAATCTAATTTATGTTGAAGCTAAAACAAAATATGGGAATTGCTCGTCGTACCTGAAATGTTGGTAAAGTTAAAGAGGATTTTGAGTTTGGGATTGGGAATGGTGAGTCGCGGCTGGGTGAAAGGTTCAACTCGACTCGGCGTTTTTAGGGTTTCTATTCTAAACCTATAATAAATTCTAAATTTTAATAAATAATTTAATAAAGGGAATTTGCCTTAAAATGAATGTTTTCAAGTTTATGTTTATTTATTTCAATTATTTTTTATTAATTCTCAAAAAAGGGTTTATGTCATGCAGTCTTGAGTTGACTCAGTGAGTCTCCAAGCAAATACTAACACCTGGGCTCTGCTGCTGCTAGACTACACATTGAATTCTACATCCTTTGGTGGGCTTCATATTTTTCAAATTGTTATTAAATTGTATGTCTGGCAGTTTGCATACACCTCGACTAATCCTTCGAAGTCTTGAAGTTAACGATCAGGTAAACCCTCTAGTGGCCACTCCTATTATCAACCAAAATGAATTAAACTCAAGACTTCTTGAATAATACATCCAAGAGTCTTTATTGTCTCACTCGGCCACCTAGGAATGGTTAACTCATAGTTAACTTTTATTTTACATTTTGTGAAGTTTTATAACCTTGATTGGTAGCAACGTTTTAAAATTCGGCCTACCCCGACTAGTTAAATTGGTTTAATTGGGATTGGGAAACTACACCAAGCTGGGTTAACAATTTTCCTATTCACCCAACCCTTAGAATTTGAGATAATGATTGGCGAACAATTGAAGGATGAATGTTGGAGCTTTTGAGGAGAAAGTGTCGGTGAGTGCAACGGTGGCGACGGAGTTGATTTCTGGTGAGTGAATCGACCAGAAATAAAAAAAAGAGGTCGCGACAACAGCCTGCTTTTGTCGACGATTGACGAGGCTAACAAGGGTGGGTGAGGTGAGGCGGGTTTTGGTCGAGAGACAGAGGGGAGTATTTTCGGGGTGATGGGGAAGATTGTTGACGCTAGCATCGATAAGATTTGATTAAAATTGAACTGATTTCGGCTAAATCTTGGATAGATTTTCTCGGGAATGGGCTCAAGGGATGATTGGGATTACATTTAGGGTGTCATCGCTGCCAACTAATCGACTGTTGATTTGTATTTGGGGTGTGTTTGCTAAATTTCAAACCTGTAGAGATTTACATGTAGTTTTTAAGGGTGTATTTACTGAATTTTAAAAATTTTGTCACCTGGTTTGATCAACCCGTCAAACCGGTCAACCAGAGACCCGACAACTTTGCTGGATTCCACCGACGTAGAATGATCAATCAGTCACATGAATCTTAGCTGAGATTTAACTGATTGAACCCACTTGCCGAAGACGTAAAAATTTCAAGACGTATTAAGGGGAAGTTGATTATACTTAGATTACTTGTTTATATTCTCCTTTGGTTCACTTTCTTTTATCTATCAAGTATCAACTACCGTCAAATAGATTTAAAAGTGGATGGGTTATATGACCAAAACAGGGTCACTTTACAAGCAAACTAATTAGCAAATCTGATTTCTGAGTCTTATGAACATTTGTGAATGCATAGACTTTCTCTTTCACAAGATATACAAACAAGATCCCTATAATGGATCACCAATAATCTTCACAAGAACACTCACCCATTTTGAAATGGTGAAACCTGTTCCTATCTCTTACAATGATTTCGCGTTTATACACCTTTGAGATAAGCTTACTTGCTTGGTGACAGTCTTTACACACCCTCAAGTTCTTCGAGATTCGGAGAGTTTCTCCTGGTTTTGTTTTCAATAGCCCCAAGGCCATTGCAAGTTTCTCGCTATGGTGATTTAAGGGGTTCTCAGTTTCCTCCTCTTCAAGCTCATGTAACACTCCTTCAGTGTCAGGCACATAGCCGAATGGTCTTATACCTTCTAACATCTCATCAACTTTGGCATATATTTCTTTAGCTTCAGGATGAGCCCTTCCTCCTGCAGTAAATTCATTTACGACGCCCTCCAATTCAATGACAGAAAAGCCTGGAGTTTTCTTCACTCCTCTGTCATTCATCAATTTTCTCATGTTGGCAACATCTTCCCATCTGCCTGCATTAGCATATATATTAGCTAACAACACGTATCGCCCACTATTTTTAGGGTCTAGATTGATCAATCTCTTCCCTATTTGCTCTCCCAATTCCATGTTTTTGTGGATTCTACAAGCTCCAAGAAGAGCTCCCAATACACTTTCATCAGGATTCATGGGCATCTCATCTGTAAGCTTTCTTGCTTCCTCCAACATTCCAGCTCTTCCAAGTAAATCAACCATGCATCCGTAATGTTCTATTCTGGGTTCGATTCCATGAGCTTCAGTCATGTAGTGGAAGTAATAGCGCCCCTCTTCAACCAAACGGGAATGAGCACAAGCAGTAAGGAGATTGACAAATGTGATATTATCAGGAGGAACCATCTTCCTCTCCATCTCCTTGAAAAGTTCAATGGCAGCGTTTCCTTTCCCATGCATTGCTAACCCTCCAATCATACAATTCCATGAAGAAATTCCTCTATAATGTAACCCATTAAAAACTTGAAAAGCCTTCTCCAAGTACCCGCATTTACAGTACATGTCAATTATTGATGTGGCGAGTTTCGAGTCCAATTCAATTCCATTCTCCTCAATGTAACAATGTATCCATTTCCCCTGCTCCAACGACCCTAACCCTGTACAGGCTGATAACATACTAGCCGCGACATACTTATCCAAAACCACATCTTCCTCTTTCATCCTTTCAAACAAGGAAAACGCTTCATGAAAACGGTTGCTGTGGACATAAGCAGCAATAATAGCATTCCAAACAATAGAATTCCTCTCTTTAGGCATCAACTCAAAAACTTTCAGAGCCTTATCAACAAAACCCCACTTAGCAAAACCATTTATCAAACTTGTCCAAGAAACAACATCCCTCTTTAGCATCTTGTCAAATACCCTCTTAGCTTCCTCCAAAGATTCGAAATTCACATACATATGTATCAAACTGTTCTGAGTGAATCCATGTAAACCAAATCCTAACTTCAAAACGTGGGCATGGATTTGTTTCCCTTCTTCAATAGCATAATCATCACAACATGCTCCCAAAACACAAGGGAAAGTGAAATTATTAGGCAAAACAAATTCTTGCAACATTTCAGAGTACACAAGAATGCAATTTCTGGGCAAATTGCGTTGCAGATAACCCCTCATTATAGTATTATAAATAAATGCATCTGGATTGGGAATCGTATCAAACACTTTGAGGGCATATCTCAAATTGTCCTTTTTTGAGACTGAACAAAACTTAACAACCCTACCCATGACATAATTATCAGCTGAGAGTCCGAGTTTGATGATCTGGGAGTGGAATTGCTTCAACTCAGCCATGTTTGAGCATGATTCCAAGGCTTGTAATGGCAAGTAGTTTGTGGCCTGGAGATGCAGTGAGGTCATTTTGTATAATATGGATATGCTTATGCTTCCCCATTCAATGCGAGCCGTTTAGTTATATAAGTTTGATTTTTTATACCCTAATGACCGAAGTGGAGTCAAATTTAACACAAATCCCTGTCTCCCACAATTGCTTCCTCTACTTCTGCCATAACCGACTGCTCTTTTTCCTCTTCATCTCAGAGAGAAAAGCTAAATAGATGGTCCAACATCATCAGCTTGCCGAGCTCTCTTACTAACCACAACCTCCAAATCTTCCTTCATTCTAAATAATACTTCCTATAATTTATCAAAAAAGTACTATAACCAGTATCTCCCACAACTAACTAACTTTCCCACATCTTGACTCAGCTCCATCCTCTTCAAGCCGCATAAACTCATATCTAATACCATGACAAGCAATTTAACATGTCACAAATGCATGCTTCACTTCACATACTATGGAAAAGAATGTCAACTAAATGATACAACTCAAAACCACAATATAAAACCCTGTGCTTTTGGTGGATTCTAGGTTGATCATAAGACCCCAGCAGAGTTAATCATAAATTTTAAAGTAATCATTTTTTTCTTTTCTTGAAATTTTAACAACAAAAATATGTCAAACCATCAAAGTTTTGATCTTTCACAAAATCAAACTTCAAGAAATCTAATTTATGTTGAAGCTAAAACAAATATGGGAATTGCTCGTCGTCCTGAAATGTTGGTAAAGTTAAGAGGATTTTGAGTTTGGGATTGGGAATGGTAGTCGCGGCTGGGTGAAAGGTTCAACTCGACTCGGCGTTTTTAGGGTTTCTATTCTAAACCTATAATAAATTCTAAATTTTAATAAATAATTTAATAGGGAATTTGCCTTAAAATGAATGTTTTCAATTTATGTTTATTTATTTCAATTATTTTTTATTAATTCTCAAAAAAGGGTTTATGTCATGCAGTCTTGGTTGACTCAGTGAGTCTCCAAGCAAATCTAACCTGGGCTCTGCTGCTGCTAGACTACACATTGAATTCTACATCCTTTGGTGGGCTTCATATTTTTCAAATTGTTATTAAATTGTTGTCTGGCAGTTTGCATACACCTCGACTAATCTTCGAATCTTGAAGTTAACGATCAGGTAAACCCCTAGTGGCCACTCCTATTATCAACCAAAATGAATTAAACTCAAGACTTTGAATAATACATCCAAGAGTCTTTATGTCTCACTCGGCCACCTAGGAATGGTTAACTCATAGTAACTTTTATTTTACATTTGTGAAGTTTTATAACCTTTTGGTAGCAACCGTTTTAAAATTCGCCTACCACGACTAGTTAAATTGGTTTAATGGGATTGGGAAACTACACCAAGCTGGGTTAACAATTTTCCTATTCACCCAACCCTTAGAATTTGAGATAATGATTGGCGAACAATTGAAGGATGAATGTTGGCTTTTGAGGAGAAAGTGTCGGTGAGTGCAACGGTGCGACGGAGTTGATTTTGGTGAGTGAATCGACCAGAAATAAAAAAAAGAGGTCCGACAACAGCCTGCTTTGTCGACGATTGACGAGGCTAACAGGTGGTGAGGTGAGGTTTTGGTCGAGAGACAGAGGGGAGTATTTTCGGGGTGATGGGGAAGATTGTTGACGCTAGCATCGATAAGATTTGATTAAAATTGAACTGTTTCGGCTATCTATCACTCGGAGCCACCAGGTGAGTAGAAAAGAATGCAAACTTAAAAATACCTCATCTTGTGATGCTTGTTTCTCTCCTTCATTAATCCAGTCATCCAGTGAATGTTCTTGAAGAACACTGTCAAAAGAGATTGCATCATCGGACCTCTTTTTCATATGGTGTTCTCTAAGACGCAAATTGTAGTGTACATAGGTAAGATCATTAATTCTTTTCTGAGCAGCACGACTATGCCTTTGTCTGTGGACCTGATCATATATGCTCCAGTTATGCTCACATTGAATGGATGTGCATGTTTGACTTAATATACGAACAGCTATCCTTTGCAGCTCTAAGCAACTTATCCCGTGTTGTTGCCACCATGCAGCTAGTACATAAAATAGCACTGATCAATACTAAATTATCATTGACACTGGTTCCAACCCAGAAATCTATGCATGAATTCAAGTATATGCGAAATTCTCAACAAGTATCATAGAAATCCAGATGGGCAAGTAGCATCACCTGGATCAAGCCCTGTTCTAGTACTAATTGCCAATTCAGTTCCAAAATCAGCTTTTGCAGAACTATAATCAGAAATCTGTGAAATAGCAGCAATCCTTCTTGCATTGTCTGGCTCCAGCCGAACAATGCATTCATTTAGTCCTCGCACCACCTCTGGATGCTGCATTTTATTTTTTGATGAAAAAAATAAAATAAAATAAAAAATTGCATTAGCTAAGAAACCAATATGAATTTGAAATCAACCAATCATCATTGTTTCTCCTACCGCCACAAAATGAGGACGATATCTGTAAGACGGATTCAAGAAATATGCAGCTACATATAAAGGGTGGTGGATTAACAAGTTCCAGTGATCATCTATCACGCTCCAGAATGGTCCATATTTGCGAACATCATCACCGTGAAAGGATTTAATTGCAACCTTTGCCCTGTAGATGTCATTATATATGTATGGCATGGACGGGCTTTCCCCAGTATTAACCTTTTGAAGAACTTCCATTATTGGCTCCACCGATTTTAAAACATACATCACCTTCTTCCAAAATGTAGCATTTAAAACAGTCTTTTCCACCTCTTTTCCCTCATCTGATCTAGAGAACTGAGATGATATCCATATGTTTGACTGAAACATTCTTCTAAGATCAATCCTGTGGTCCAGTAAGTTTTTCAATGTAGCAAAGCTGGAGGCATAACGGGTAACTGAAGGCCTCAGAAGTTCCTGTTCTTGGGTAAATTCTTTCTTCATTAGATTTAACAAAGAAATTTGATTGTATATAAACTTTGTAATTTTTTGCGCCTTTTCCATACATTCAGATACGCATTTTAACTTGAGAAAATCTTCAAGCATCTTGTCAATACAATAGGTTGCACAAGGCATCCAGAATAGATTCCTTCGCTTCTCTTCAAGCATCTTTCCGGCAGTCTTATAACTGGGGGTATTGTCAGTGATTACCTCCAAGAAGAGAGGACAAAAAGCAACAAAAAAGAAACACTATTAGTTACTAGCAGGTCAAGATTAAGGATGACAAATTATTGGAAAATAGAATGGAAGAAAGGGTTGAATACCTGCACCACATTTTCCTCGCCCACCTCTTCAACCACTTTGTCCAGCAACTTAAACAAATTTAGAGCATTTTCCACAACATCAGTGGCATCAACCGAAGAAACAAAATATGAACCATGGGGGGAAGAAACCAAAAAATTGATTAATACTCTACCCTCAAGGTCTGTCCAACTATCGGCAATGATCGAACAACCAGTAATTGCCCAAGAAGCCCTAAGCTTAACTAGGTTTTTTCTAATAGTTGCAATTTCTTCCTGTAGCAAGTGACCAGATATCAGTTGACTTGTAGGGCCTACCAACCCCTGTCCATATTGACCAACCAACTCAAGCATACTATGAAAGTACTGGGAGTCTGCTGCTTGTAAAGGAACTCCTGCATGGTAAAAAAATTTGGAAATTGCAGAAATAACTTCCTTGTGGGACTTTTTACCAGATCCTCTTTTTGATTTCGTTTGTTTGTAGGATAGTGGAGTCTGACCATGTGGTGATTTCAGAGAAGCAGAATCCAATCTTGATTTTTTCAGTAACGGTTCGAAACTATCGTGAGGAGACATCTCCTTAAAAGCCATTCTCAAATCTTTTCTCAGTCTTCTATCAGAAACTGCCAATCTCTCCTTGCTCATTTGATTTAAAGCTTCCTCCTCTTGCTCATTCGTTTTATCTCCATTATTTGGCTGTATATAAAAAGTTGATTGGTCCTTAACATCAGGCCATTTTTGTCTCCTCCCAGTACGGTGCCATTTCATATTCTCTTTCATTTTAAGATACACTTCCTCAGGAGCATTGTTACAAGGTGCTACTTCTCCAGGAATTCTAGCAAGATGTTGTTTAAACCGATTAACACCTCCACTAACTACTTTTCCACAATAATTGCATTTGACCTTTTTCTTCTTCTCATCTTGAGCAACACCATGCTCCCAACCCGGATCAACATACCCTAATGACCGAAGTGGAGTCAAATTTAACACTAAATCCCTGTCTCCCATCAATTGCTTTCCTCTACTTCTGCCATAACCGACATGCTCTTGTTCCTCTTCATCGTCAGAGAGAAAAGCTAAATAAGATGGTCCAACATCATCAGCTTGCCGAGCTCTCTTACTAGAACCACAACCTTCCAAATCTTCCTTCATTCTAAATAATACTTCCTATAAGGATTTATCAAAAAAGTACTATAACCAGTATCTCCCACAACTAACTAACTTTTCCCACATCTTGACTCAGCTCCATCATCCTTCAAGCCAGCATAAACTCATATCTAATACCATGAACAAGCAATTTAACATGTCACAAAATGCATGCTTCACTTCACCATACTATGGAAAAGAATGTCAACTAAATGATACAACTCAAAACCAACAATATAAAACCCTGTGCTTTTGGTGGATTCTAGGTTGATCATAAGACCCCAGCAAGAGTTAATCATAAATTTTAAAGTAATCACGTTTCTTTTTCTTGAAATTTTAACAACAAAAATATGTCAAAACCATCAAAGTTTTGATCTTTCAACCAAAAATCAAAACTTTCAAGAAATCTAATTTATGTTGAAGCTAAAACAAAATATGGGAATTGCTCGTCGTACCTGAAATGTTGGTAAAGTTAAAGAGGATTTTGAGTTTGGGATTGGGAATGGTGAGTCGCGGCTGGGTGAAAGGTTCAACTCGACTCGGCGTTTTTAGGGTTTCTATTCTAAACCTATAATAAATTCTAAATTTTAATAAATAATTTAATAAAGGAAATTTGCCTTAAAATGAATGTTTTCAAATTTATGTTTATTTATTTCAATTATTTTTTATTAATTCTCAAAAAAGGGTTTATGTCATGCATTCTTGAGTTGACTCAGTGAGTCTCAAAGCAAATGCTAACAGGCTGGGCTCTGCTGCTGCTAGACTACACATTGAATTCTACATCCTTTGGTGGGCTTCATATTTTTCAAATTGTTATTAAATTGTATGTCTGGCTAGTTTGCACACACTTCGACTAATTTTTTGGAACCTGAAGTTAACCATCAGGTAAACCCTCTAGTGGCCACTCCTATTAGCAACCAAAATGAATTGAACTCAAGACCTTTTGAGTAATACACCCAAGAGTTTCTATCGTCCCACTCAGTCAACTAGGGATGGTTAACTCATAGTTAACTTTTATTTTACATTTTGTGAAGTTTTATGACCTTTATTTGTAGCAGCGTTTTAAAATTTGGCCCAGCTTGACCAGTTTAACTGGTTTAACTGGGACTGGGAAGCTTCACCAAGCTGGGTTAACAATTTCCCTATTCACCCAAACCCTAGAATTTGAGATAATGATCGACGAATAATTGAAGGATGGATGTTGGGGCTTTTGGGGAGAAAGTGCCGGTGAGTGCAACGATAGCGACGGAGTTGATTTTTGGTAAGTGAATCGATTGGAAATAAAAAAGAGAGGTCACGGCAACAACCGACTTTTGTCGATGATTGGCGAGGCTAACAGGGGTGGGATGAGGTGAGGTGAGTTTTGGTCGAGAGACAGAGGGGAGTATTTTCGGGGTGATGGGGAGGGCTGTTGACGTTGGCGTTAATGAGATTTGGTCAAAATTGAACCGATTTCGGCCAAATCTTGGGTAGATTTTCTCGAGAATGGGCTCAAGGGATGATTGGGATTGCATTTGGGGTGTCATCGTCGCTAATTAGTCGATTGCTGATATATATTTGGGGTGTGTTTACTAAATTTCAAACCTATAAGGATTTAATTGCAATTTATAGGGGTGTTTTTGCTCAATTTTAAAAGTTTTGTCACCCGATTTGATCAGCCAGTCAAACTAGTCAACCAGAGACCTAACAACTTTGCTGGATTTCACCCTGGGTTGGTTATTAAAACATTGATTCGTAGATTACATTTTGTATACATTAAATTTACTTAATAAGAAATTCAAGGGAGTCTTAGAAAGCTTCGAAGCGAGGATGGCTACACTTGCAGTTAGATCAAAGGGTGAAGTTGACAGCAATGGATCAGAAAGAAAGACGTAGAATGATCAATCAGTCACATGAATCTTAGCTGAGATTTAACTGATTGATCCCACTTGCCGAAGACGTAAAAACCTTATTTCCATCTCCTACTTAAGACTAGGGTGCAGCCTCGTGACAAGCTCAGCCTCGACTCGTCGGAGAATGAGTGTTTCACGAGTTCGAGCTCAACTTCAAGCTCGTGAAAAATGTCGAGCTTTTCGGGGTTGATTCAAACTGTTCGCGAGCTGTTCGAATCACTCGAGACGTCATTTGAGTAGGAGAGCTCGTGAGATAGACCGGTAAGGTTTCAGCTCGTGAGTCAAGGCCACTGATGCAGGCGCCGTAGGAGAGGAGGTCCAAGGTAAAGCTGAGATCTGACGAGTTCGATGACGGTAGGGTGGACTCCGATGGTGGTGAGTAGTTTCCTCATGATGTAGATCGACTGAAGATTATGACTGGGTGGAGATGAAGAGTTGGATTTTGGTCTCAACAGATTCGACTGAGAAGTTAGTGGGAGGGGCGGTGGAAGAAGAAGAAGAAGAAGATGATGAGGGGTTCAAAATGACGTCGTTTTGTTAAATCCTTATAAATAGCCGAGCCGAGCCAAGCCAAGCTCGAGCCGTTTATTTTTTAAACGAGTCGAGCTCGAGCTCGAGCCTGCTCCTAATACATTTGAGTCGAGCTCGAGCCAACCACTACTCAGCTCGGCTCGGCTCATATGCACCCCTACCTAAGCTACACTTCCCATATTTCCATCTCCTACTTCGCTATATATATAATTTTTCTAATGTAAACATCCTGATATCTTTGATGCGTGGATTAAAGATAATTTAATTATATCTATTATAAATATGAAAATTTTCACGTTAAAAATTTCAAGACTTATTAAGGGGAAGTTGATTATACGTATATTACTTGTTTGTATTCTCCTTTGGTTCACTTTCTTTTATCTATCAACTACCGTCAAATAGATTTAAAAGTGGATGGGTTATGTGACCAAAACAGGGTGCCACTTTACAAGCAAACTAATTAGCAAATCTGATGTCTGAGTCTTATGAACATTTGTGAATGCATAGACTCTCTTTCACAAGATATACAAACAAGATCCCTATAATGGATCACCAACAATCTTCACAAGAACACTCACCCATTTTGAAATGGTGAAACCTGTTCCTATCTCTTACAATGATTTCGCGTTTATACACCTTTGAGATAAGCTTACTTGCTTGGTGACAGTCTTTACACACCCTCAAGTTCTTCGAGATTCGGAGAGTTTCTCCTGGCTTTGTTTTCAATAGCCCCAAGGCCATTGCAAGTTTCTCGCTATGGTGATTTAAGGGGTTCTCAGTTTCCTCCTCTTCAAGCTCATGTAACACTCCTTCAGTGTCAGGCACATAGCCGAATGGTCTTATACTTTCTAACATCTCATCAACTTTGGCATATATTTCTTTAGCTTCAGGATGAGCCCTTCCTCCTGCAGTAAATTCATTTACGACGCCCTCCAATTCAATGACAGAAAAGCCTGGAGTTTTCTTCACTCCTCTGTCATTCATCAATTTTCTCATGTTGGCAACATCTTCCCATCTGCCTGCATTAGCATATATATTAGCTAACAACACGTATCGCCCACTATTTTTAGGGTCTAGATTGATCAATCTCTTCCCTATTTGCTCTCCCAATTCCATGTTTTTGTGGATTCTACAAGCTCCAAGAAGAGCTCCCAATACACTTTCATCAGGATTCATGGGCATCTCATCTGTAAGCTTTCTTGCTTCCTCCAACATTCCAGCTCTTCCAAGTAAATCAACCATGCATCCGTAATGTTCTATTCTGGGTTCGATTCCATGAGCTTCAGTCATGTAGTGGAAGTAATAGCGCCCCTCTTCAACCAAACGGGAATGAGCACAAGCAGTAAGGAGATTGACAAATGTGATATTATCAGGAGGAACCATCTTCCTCTCCATCTCCTTGAAAAGTTCAATGGCAGCGTTTCCTTTCCCATGCATTGCTAACCCTCCAATCATACAATTCCATGAAGAAATTCCTCTATAATGTAACCCATTAAAAACTTGAAAAGCCTTCTCCAAGTACCCGCATTTACAGTACATGTCAATTATTGATGTGGCGAGTTTCGAGTCCAATTCAATTCCATTCTTCTCAATGTAACAATGTATCCATTTCCCCTGCTCCAACGACCCTAACCCTGTACAGGCTGATAACATACTAGCCGCGACATACTTATCCAAAACCACATCTACCTCTTTCATCCTTTCAAACAAGGAAAACGCTTCATGAAAACGGTTGCTGTGGACATAAGCAGCAATAATAGCATTCCAAACAATAGAATTCCTCTCTTTAGGCATCAACTCAAAAACTTTCAGAGCCTTATCAACAAAACCCCACTTAGCAAAACCATTTATCAAACTTGTCCAAGAAACAACATCCCTCTTTAGCATCTTGTCAAATACCCTCTTAGCTTCCTCCAAAGATTCAAAATTCACATACATATGTATCAAACTGTTCTGAGTGAATCCATGTAAACCAAATCCTAACTTCAAAACGTGGGCATGGATTTGTTTCCCTTCTTCAATAGCATAATCATCAGAACATGCTCCCAAAACACAAGGGAAAGTGAAATTATTAGGCAAAACAAATTCTTGCAACATTTCAGAATACACAAGAATGCAATTTCTGGGCAAATTGCGTTGCCGATAACCCCTCATTATAGTATTATAAATAAATGCATCTGGGTTGGGAATCGTATCAAACACTTTGAGGGCATATCTCAAATTGTCCATTTTTGAGACTGAACAAAACTTAACAACTCTGCCCATGACATAATTATCAGCTGAGAGTCCAAGTTTGATGATCTGGGAGTGGAATTGCTTCAACTCAGCCATGTTTGAGCATGATTCCAAGGCTTGTAATGGCAAGTAGTTTGTGGCCTGGAGATGCAGTGAGGTCATTTTGTATAATATGGATATGCTTATGCTTCCCCATTCAATGCGAGCCGTTTAGTTATATAAGTTTGATTTTTTTTTTTTTTTTTCCCTTTTGCCATGCCTTGATATTTATTTTTTCACTATTGCATGGTCAAATGAAAATTTATGGTCAAACTATAATATTAATATGTTGTAAATAGCTCACAACATCATGAATGGAAACAAAATACTTTATACCAATAATCCTTTATTCTTATTGGGTTCACAACTTTACGTATGTATGTTTTGGATACTAGAATTGGTATATAAAAAGATAATCATTTTAGTAAGATTAAAAGCTTAATTTAGTATGTGAAATGGGTAATTACCCAATTCAGGAAAATGTCAAAGATTTGTACCTGAACATGAAACATTCTGTTAATAAGAAGAGAAAGACTTAAAAAAGATAATGGTTGGCTTTTACTAAATGTATAAACAATCTGCAACAATAGATTGTTCATTAATGAGCAGGAAGAAATTGCGGAGTTTTGTTGCAGAGGATATAGCAAATTAGAAATAACGGCCTCTCAAACACCATTAGTCCCTTTAAGATAACTCAACTCTTGTTCTAAACCACAAAGACCAACTACCTAAAATTATACATCCATAACTTAAAACTCCAAATTTTTGTGGAAAAGTGTATGCTTTCTAGCTTCTAATCTTTTCTTCTTCTTCATTTTCATTCCATCATCAACATTAAACAATAAAATAATGGGGGGAGGAAAGATTGTCGCAGTTGGCGCCTCGATTTTACTAGTAGTTGGAGTATGCGTTGGTCTTATAGTAGGTGTAAGTCGCAAGAATTCTAATGATGATGGTTATCCTAAACTTTCTACAAGTTCAAAGGCTATGGCTGCTGTTTGTGGCCCAACTGATTTTAAAGAAGCTTGTTTTAATAGCGTGAACTCAGCTGCCAACAATAAGAGTGCTACGCCGAAAGACTTCATCCAAGCAGCTATTCAATCCACAATCCATGTGGTGGAAGAAGCAATTAAAAAAACAGGAACTGTGTTTGACACTGGAGATCCCAGTCAAAAAATGGCAATGGAAGACTGTGAAGAATTGTTGAGTTTTGCTATTGACGAGCTAAAAGCCTCCCATTCAGCGGTGGGTGGAAGTGCATTGGAGTCTTTGGGTGATAGGAAGGATGAGATTCTGAACTGGTTAAGCGCTGTAATATCGTATCAACAATCATGCATTGATGGTGTGAATCCGCCAGAATTGAGGCATCAAATGTCTAATGCGATTCTTCAAAATGCAACACAGTTAACAAGTAATGCCTTGGCTATTGTTTCTTCAATTTCAGGGATCATAAACACATTCCATCCGCCAATGAACAAGACTGCAAGTTCTCGTCGACTTTTAAGCTTATCTGAAACTGGTGATGGTAATTTCCCTGAATGGCTTTCAGCTTCAGACAGGAAGTTGTTAGAAAGCCATGACAATGGTGAACTGACTCCCGATGCAGTTGTTGATAAAGATGGTAGTGGACAATATAAAACTATTGCTGAAGCCCTTGATGCATATCCAAAAGAACTGAAAGGAAGATATGTTATATACGTGAAGACTGGAATTTACGAAGAGTACCTTACTGTAACGAAGGATCAAGTTAATGTGTTCATGTATGGCGATGGACCCCGGAAGACAATCATCACAGGACATAAAAACAACGGCGAGGGTGTCTCGACCTTTAGGACTGCAACCTTCTGTAAGTTCATCCCTTCAAATACAATTTCCATTAACTTTCAAACCAAAATATGATACAGCTGCAATGTTTCATTTTAAATTTGTTAACTAATCCTGGTAAATATTGATCTTAAAGCTGCAATTGGGACTGGATTCATTGCAAAGTCAATGGGGTTTCAAAACACAGCTGGTCCGGAAGGGCACCAGGCGGTGGCACTCCGGGTTCAGTCGGACATGTCAGCCTTCTACCACTGCAGAATGGATGGGTACCAGGACACATTGTATGCACAAACTCATCGTCAATTCTATCACAACTGTATCATCTCTGGAACAGTTGATTTCATCTTCGGTGACTCTGCTACAGTCGTCCAGAACTCTTTAATCATTGTTAGGAAGCCAATGGACAACCAACAGAACACAATAACTGCTCATGGACGATCAGAAAAACGTGAAACCACTGGCTTTGTAATCCATAACTGCCGCATTGTCCCAGAACAGAAACTGTTTCCATTGAGATTCAAGATCCCCACTTACTTGGGTAGACCCTGGAAGTTATTCTCAAGAACTGTTATTATGGAAGCAGAATTGGGAGATTTTATTCAACCAGCAGGGTGGCTGCCATGGGATGGGACCTATGGATTGGATACACTGTATTATGCTGAATTTGCAAACCGAGGCCCTGGGGCTGTGACAAATAATAGGGTCAATTGGCTGGGATACCATGTCATTACAAACAGAAATGAAGCACTTCAATTTACAGCTGGTTCATTTATACAAGGAGGCCTGTGGCTGAAAGACACAGGAACACCTTTCTTACTAGGCCTGAGACATTAAGGAACTCGGTACAAAAAGTGAATGTCAGTCAAAACCAAAGAAAATTACAGTCGTTTAGATAGTTAAGAAGACGAGAGGATGGTCTCATAAGCCTTCTCTATATTTCATATTTTCATTTATCCTTTCAGTTGTTAAAATTTTTGTCAGACTTCATCATGTTTCCCATTAATGTGGTAAATTTTATTTCTCCCCCCTTTGCAAAGCTGTAAACTATTAACAGAGTTCAGCTTTGCGGAGGTAAAATGTTGAAGACAATATATTCATTGACGTTTTACAATTGTGCAAATTATATCAATTTTCTTTTGCATTCTGCTTTTGTTAATTGAATTATCAACCTCATATTGCCTTGCAAGTTATGCATTCAGAAAACGGCTCTTACTAGTACTACACAACACAAGTGCCTGATGTCATTCCAACTAAAGCAACAAATTAGCCTATAATTTTTATTTTCAGCAATGATCGACAGGTTGATCCAAGATGTAGGAAAAAAAAAAAATTTCAAAAGCCTGAAAATATGGTGTGCCTCACAATGTAGATAACAAGGGCAACAACCACCACCATAATGAGTAAGACCTGGAAACTGTTATCACCAGCCACGAATCCTTCAAGTTCTGTGGAAGAAAAGTCTTGCCATAATAGGCAACAGAATAAAATTCCACATAACACATACAAGATATATATATTTGTCCACCTAACCCGTAGCCACTAAATGAGTTGTCTTCCATGGCATCAGGTAACCATACATGAAGGGAAAACTGCGCTCGTGCTTCGATTGATAAATCCAAGAGAAATTGCTATGCCGTATATTCAAAGGGAAGAAATGAGTCTGGATATTTTGATGACTGAAAAGGATTTAACTCTTACCGAATTGATGACCGCTCTATCATTGAGCTACCGAGGAACAACGGGAGATTCTTTTTTTTTTTTTTTTTTTTTCTGCTCTCCCGAATGAAAACAAAAACGGAGAAATGTCTCATTCTAATCTAGATTGCATTACCTATTAATAAATCCCTAACTTTAGGTCTATTTTAAATTGATTCAATTGTCAAACCAAGTTCAAGGCTTGTTGCCACTTTGGAAATAAAAGATCTTAAATGGTCATAGCCAGTGGTTGATGCCAAAGCTCAAAATGAAGAAAATATAATTGACTGAAAGCAAGTAGATGTGCATAAGGTTAACATTTTAACTCATGGAGAATAAAAGTCCTTGTCCTGATAAACATACCACATTTGCAAATACATTTTCAACAAAATCACATTGAATAAAGGACTTAAAACAGCCATGAATGGTATGTCTATATAAATGGAACCGCTGCTCACTTTGAGTATAGTCCAGATGACCAAATCGAAGCAAAAGTCACAGAAATTCAGATGATAAAGAAGAAGAACAAAGTATAGAGAGTGTGTCGGGAAAAATACAGACAACTACATTGAACAAGACTCAAGTACATAACCTATCTAAACAAACCCAAAACCATGATTACACAACAATCTATCCTAAATCTAAATCATCTCTACAAGACTTACAAGGCAAATCACCCCATCAAACAACAAAAATTAGCCTTAGCAGCTCATCATACCCCATAACACCAAGCAAAATGAATACTTTGCAATTTGCAAATCTATTTTCCAATCCCATGATTGCTTTCTTGATGTTGATAATGCCCTGCAACTGCACCAGACGGAACCGGATACAACCCATTACTGCTCTTCTCTCCTACATTTTTAACATTATTAGATTTCACCAAAACGCCAACACTCCCTTTCTTCAATTCCCTCTCTTTCTCTTCAGCTGCCAAATACAAAAGCCTCTCCAATGCCTCTCTAGCTCGTTTCTTCGCCAAAGCAGCCTCCTTAACTCTCCTCTCCGCCTCAACTCTCGCCATCGCTGCCGCTTTACTCATCGATAAAGCCGCAATCTTCGCGGCCGCAACTAAAGCACTGGCTGAACCGACATCCAGAAACCTCTTATTGTCATCATTTCCCTTACTATTAGTATTATTATCAGTAGCAGTATTATTATTCATCTGGGTGTCTCCGTTGACTTTGAAGAAGATGAAATTAGGGTTTGAACAAGAAGGGCAAACAAAAGCTGAGGTAGGGGAGGAGGAGGAGCAAGAGAGGTGGCAAATGGAGGGGCATTTGACACACATGAGACGCGCGTGAGGAGTGGGTGGAGACGTGTCGTAAACTTGGAGACAGATTGGGCAAAAGAGTCCTTGGTGACATTTCAAGATGCAGTTGGTGCATAAACGGCGGTAAGTGCCACGGTGGCGGACGTTATGAAGGAGCAAGCCTTGATTGGAACCGCAAACACCGCATTCAGATAGGTGGCCTCGCTTCATTTTCAGTTTTAACCAGTTCGAGGTTTTGTTTTATTTCATTTTTGCTTTTGTGAATTGGTGGTGCTAACGGTAACCCTAGAAAAATTAGGGTTTGGGATGGGAAAACGGGTGAAATTGGGGAAAAGATAAGAGTTTTTCGAGTGGATTAGTGTGTTAATGTTATGTTACAGTTTCAAACGACTCAGTAGCGTTTGGATTTTGGCAGAAGTGAGGTGGGGACAGAGTCACCATGTTTAGACCAAATTCTTTATAGTTAAAAAATCATTTCCTGAATCTGAATTTGAAAGTAACTTATCCATATCAATAATGCTATATTAAAACCAAACCAAATATGAAACTTTTTTTACAGTGAAGAAATTATTTCCTGAATACGAATTCGAAATTGGAACTTCCACAACTTTTTTTTTTTTTTTTTGAAAAAGAGTATTCGGACTAACTTTTGTACACCTCAACTAATCCCGATAAGTAACTAATACAATAAACGACCACCATAATCACTTACCTAAATCTTGAGAGCCGGGGGCTAAGGGGCTTTGAAACTTCCTCAACTTAAACATACAGAGGACAATATTTAGACCAAACATGAAAAACCAACAATACACATTAAAGAGATTAGATTAGTTTACACGTTGTTTTGGATAAAGGACGATCTTATAACAATGCCAATTTAACAATATCATCATCCAAGCTTTTGAAAGGGAGAGTAACATTACCCGGTATTTTGATAGTTTCTGTTATAGAATTTGAGGAAAATTCAAGAAGCAGAAATTGTTAAAATGTTTGAGCCATGTTACTGTATATGCAAATTTTGTTTAGTTGGAAATGATAATCGATCTATTTTAAACTTCCAATTCCACAAGTAGCTGCTGCAAACTGGAACATATGTATGTATGTGTATGATAGGCTTAAACAGTAAATATTAACTTGACGAGCAATTCTAAAACTAAATGCAACCAATTTGCAGGTTTCCCATATTCTTATTTCAACAACATAATTCAAAGGCTTGGTCAATCACTATCAAAATTCTAAAGCCAAGTTAAATCCGTTATAAAGATTACATGTTTTTCCAGCTAAAATCCTACAGTAAAAATATAGGAATCAAACTGACAGCCTCGGCTGGTTCTTTGAACACCAACCCACCAAGCTCTCTGTATTTTACCAAAAAAGTGACGGCAGGGTACTTAAACCGATAAAACGAGAAATCAGATTCTGAAAGAATTTTTAACCCAATCGACTATCAATCTGCCATCATAAACGGATCTTCTTCCCCAAGATCAGCAATCAAAGGTTCTAATGTCGTTGTGTCCTCATCTTCTGGGGCTAAGTAAGTAGGGAATGGAAGTAGTGAAATATCAGGTTTCCTGTAAATAGAATCTTTTATAAACACAAAGTTCCCTTGAGCACCTGGAACCTGTAAATGAAAGAAATTTTCATGATATAAAAACTGTACAAAAACAACATTGCAATATTCAGTACACTTTCAGTTTTGCTTCCTTCCATTCAGATTCTTATTTAAGAACTCTCATCATAACATCAAATTTTAATACCTGGCCTTTCACCCACATCAAATTCCTTGCTGGATCAATTTTGTAGAGCCATGCATTTTTTAATGTTCGCTGCTGTCCACCCATGCGTCCAGGCATCTTTTTACCTTTAAAAACCTATTCTCGCACCATATCATTGTCAAATTATAAGCCAAGGGAAATCACAATGACAAAAAAAAGAAGAGTATAACAGTAATTAAGTGGGGAGAAACAGTAGTCACGGGATATGACTAAACATAATTACTAAATAAAAACAAAAAATTGCAACCAAAGATAGGTTTAAGTAACATGAACCAGCCATCACACAAGCAATTTCCACTCTATCTCTCTCACGATAGAAGAGATACGGGAACAAATTGAATATTATCAAATACATTTTTTTATACTCCACAACCCATTAGGTAATTTCAAGTTCAGGAATAGTCCAAGAGGAAACCCATAGTAGTTAAACTGATCTAGTTACACCTGAATTATAGTGGCTAGCTCATGCCATAAACAATCCATAATAACAAATTTTCTTTGCCAAAAGAGAAAGTAGATAAAAAAAAAAAAAAATCTAGATATTATGAAGTAGTAAAATTTCCATTATGTTGATGATTGTAATGGACACTGATTCAACAACGAAAACCAGTCATACAAACCTTGCCAGGAGTATCTCTCTGACCCGTAGAACCAATACTACGATGTGACAATGATGCACCATGAGATGCCGGCATACCTTTAAATCCCCATCTTTTCATTCCACCCTGAACAGAGAGAAAAACAATAAGACATGTAAGTCTGAAGTCCCAAGGATTTAAAATAATACAAACCCAAAACTTGTGCATTTTTCCTCTCATTAACATTCTCAGCTCATCAGATAAAAGAATAACCATGCAAATAATGGAAATTATACAAGTGTGTACTATGCAGTTCTCACATTGGAGGACTTTATAAACAACAAGATCTTGAAATCATAGCTTCTTTATCATACTCGGATTCTCAATTCCTAGTAAACTCGGATTAAACCATTATTACAGAGTAGAAAAAACAAAAACCACAATTTTAGTATTTCAATCCTACAACTGAGGTATTATTCATTTAGTACAGGAATCAAACATGCGAAGAACCTTCAGAAATACTACCATCAAACCCAGTCCAACTTATCCCCAACAAAATAACTAAAACAAAAACCTCTTCTTTTATATAAGAAACAGGAGGACTCCAAGAAAAGACATTCAACTCATGAACTAATGTCGTGAAGACTTATTAGGATATTCATGCATAAACATACAAACAGCTGATTGGAATCCAACCTTTTTTATTTAATATACTATTTTGTGAACTAGTAAAAACTGAGTCTGGAAGTTACTATTATCATTTCTGTTGTCATCAAATTGTTATAATTTGAACCTCAGAGCTAGATCAACATCGTCTCACAGCTTTACAGCTTGATATTAAATGAATCACACTTCACATTGCTAATTTTAGCTGTTACTTGATTTCATGTTCAGCTGTAAGGATAGCAAGTTTTTATCATTTCATCATCAATTACTATTCCTATATATCAGTCTATTTAGTTCTCAATCAGAACACATGAATATTGCACTCATAACATAGTATAGAGTTGTCAAAGTAAATGAAAAAATAGCTAATTATGATATTGACCCATACTGATAAAAGGCTAAGCAAAGACGAAGATTATTCCTCATGCACATAATCCGAGTATCTTGCGAGCCCATTGCATCAAATTTATCCTAATTCTAGTAACTGAGGTGAATTTCTGATGTAGCATTAATCATTCTTAGATATGAAAGAGATAATAAAGATAGTAAGGCATCATCTATACCCATCTGTGCATTAGAATTTGAAAAAAGGGCAATAGGTAACAATTCAAACATGAATAAAAAATGACGGAAACAGAAGAATTAGTTCACCTGAAAACCTTTCCCTTTTGTTATTCCCGTGATATCAACATACTGGCCAGGAACAAAATGGCGAACACCAATAGATGTACCAACAGGGAGAAGTGCATCCTCTGTCACAGGAAACTCCTTCAATTTCCTCTTGAGTTCAACACCTTGAGCCCTAAAATGACCCACTTCAGGTTTCGTCAAATGTTTCTCCTTCTTCTGCCCGCAGCCAATCTAACTAACACCATAACACAACACTACAACACACTTAAACACATATCCATGAAAGTTCGAATATTGCATCTGCTTGCAGTAAAAATAAGCACAATACAGAAAATAATTCCCATTTAGATTCACCAAAAACAAAACTTTCAATCTCCCAAACATAAAAATCTATTATTTCCAACATTTTCTCAAACCTCAGACACGGCCATTTGCACCCAATAAATTGCTGAGTACACACTTCATAAAATAAATTGTAAAAATTAAATTTTGAATATGAATGGACAATACACTCAAAAGCAAAAATTTCATTAATTTAAAACTTTAATAATATGTAAACTAAGAAAGCACAAAATACCCACAAAAATGAAAAGATAAAAAGAGGAACTTGATCCTTACCTGTAAGGCAAAGAAGCCTTCTTTTTCAACGGTTTTAACTTGAGAGACGATATTATCATCGACCCAAAGCACAGTAGTGGGAATCCTAGCACCCCATTTATCCCAAAGAGCTGACATTCCACACTTGACTGCAATTACACCAGTTCGTTTTGAGTTGGGAGTCATCACTCCCGATTTTGCTTCCATAATTCTCGACTGTGGTACTTGGATCTCCGACCCATCAATCAAAGACTCTGTGCTGAAACTTCTAACCAAGATGAACGGGGCTGATGGGGTTCTGGGATTGGTAGTGAGCAGATGTTGGAGGCGGTTAATGAGGCCTCTTGATAAGGGCGACATATTGTACATGAAAGGAAGCTGAAAATGCTTGGGGAGCTGAGGTTTTAGAGTGTGAGGGTTTTGAGTTTGGGACTTTGGAGTTCGAAAGGGGAACTAATTGCCTGTGGGAAATGCTTCTGTGTTATTATACTCCATCACCTTCATTGCTGCCACGTGTGTTATAGGTTCAAATTTTTTACTTATTATTTCATTGATTGTAATTAGAATTTAATAACTTTTTCATTTATCTATCTTTTAGTTTATTTTTAATTTCAAATTTTTTATAACAAAAATGACTAATTTAACCTTAGACAAGTTAATTTTAACCCCCAAAAAAAAAAAAAAGTTAAGGCAGGGGGTGTGCTTGGTATTTTCTGCAGTTATGGACTTACGGGTGACAAAGTGTCATTTTTGAAAGTTACAGGGGCTGCAATTGTTTTGGGCAATATGTATTAGGGTTTTCTTTCTTCTAACTAAAATTTCTTGTATAGACATAGGCATCTCAATTAATTTAAAGTAGTAAATATTAATGTTAGCACCTTATTAAACTAAATTATAATATTTTTAATTTATTTATTCAATCAATAATTCTTTGATAAACTGTTTCATTCTTTCTACGACAACTCAGTTGAAAATCCTAGTTGAAGATGAATTTTCTAAAGTAAATTAATGTTCTTACCTTCATACAGTTATATATAAAACAATGATAATGATTTTATTAATTATTTCATCAAATCCATTCACTTAAACAGTGATTCGAGCCTAACCAACCAGACGTTAGGTCTTGCTTCCAAATTAAGAACATCAATTATTTCTAATAATTAAAAACATATATTTAACATATATGTTATCATGATTAAATGGATGGAGGTGCAGAACATTCCTTAACTGCATATCGGAAAAAGGGATTGTTGAACTTGGAAAACACGGCTGAAGAGCAGTCAATACTCAATTGTTGGATGAGTAATACTATACCAACAACCCTCTCTTATAACCCTGACATGATAGTTTGTAATTAACTAATTGGACCCATGTGAGACCCGTTGTGAACTGACTAATTGTGAACTGTCACATCAGGGTTGTGAGAGAAAGTTTATAAAAGAGAGTTATTAGTGTAGTATTATTCATTATTTGATAGTCATACAACATCTTGGACTCAAAAAAATTGTTCAAGTGTTATATGACTTAGAAATCGGCCGAACGACTTACACATACCCAAGGTTTGCCGTAACGACAAATAGATACCTAAAAGAGTAAAAGGTTTTGAAACAACAAATAGGTACCTTCCGTCATGTGCTGTTAATTGATTTTCGTTTGGTAATAGTAAAAAGACTAGAATGCCCTTGAAAGTTTAATATTTTAGTTTTTTATAAATTTAAAATTTTCTAAAAAACCCCATAGGTTTACTAATGTAACTAAACACCCCAATATATAAAAATTTTGTAAAATGACAAAAACACCTCGACCACCCACAGTGCCAGAATCCGGCCACCACCACTAGAATCTGGCCGGAAAATTGCGTTACGACACAAACTCGTCGGATCTGTGTCGTAACGCATCGATCTGGCCGTTTACCAAACACACCCTAAAATATCAAACTTTCAAGCGCATTCTAGTCTTTTCACCATTACCAAATGGAAATCACTAACAGCACATGACGAAAGGTACCTATTTGTCGTTTCAAAACCTTTTGGTACCTACTTGTCGTTTCAAAACCTTTTGGTATCACTTTGTCATTACAGTAAACCTTGGGTATGTGTAAGTCGTTTGGCCCCGATGAAAGCATGATCTTACACTGACAAAATCACCCAAACATTTCTGAATGTTAGGATCCACCAACAATTTTGATAGGGACGGAAAAAGCAGAACTGGGTGAAATGATGCAACCAGATTATAAGGAATATCTTAAGCAAACCTTTGGATGACTGAAATTGAAGAACTGAAGCACGAGGAATTATTTTCTTCTCCAAGCTAAGTGAAAGAAGAATTGACTGCTTGACAATGACAGAAGGCCCTTTAGTAAACAAAATGGTCCATCACTCACTCCCGTAATCTTATCCACCAATGTAACCATACACCAAGGATTCTTTCGAAATGTTATAAGAATCTCTTCCTCAGACCAACCCCACCTCTTGTACACATCAATCTTCTTATCCCACTCAGATTTGGGAGGTAACAACATTATAGCAATAGCAAAAACAAACTGTGATCTTATAGGATTGATGCCTGTTTCCTTTACCAAGTCCACAATCTCTTCAAAATGACTACACTGATAAGTACAGATGAGAAACCATTTACCAAGTAACAATACAATATTAGATTCAGGCACATTATTATCGTGCAAATAATTGACTTTAGGCAATCTTGTGTCTTCGAGATGACTGCAGTATTCAAGTGACAACTTCTATCTTCAGGTTGACATACGAACTAATAAGACAATAATTTCTAAGTTTCACCGAAGTCATTAACTCATTAAGCTTCCTTTTCAAATGTTTTTCTAATGGGAGAGAAGAAAGTTTCACTATAGAATGAAGATCAATCAGCATGCCTTCCAAAAACATCACAGAGATCAAGGAAATTAATATCAACCAAAGGTAACTAGTTGCAGAGTTGTAACAAGACTAAACAAAGCTAGAGATCACAGTATGATAAATGATTATACATCACATTGCAGAGCCTGTGCTTTAGTCAAGAGACAACATGTCACAAGAAGAAAACAAAAATTGCAAATAACCCATAACTAATCTCGACTAGATGCTCTTTCTGACTAAAAGTAAAGCCAATCTGATTCTGAATACAAAGAATTTAACTAGATCAAGTAACACCGTATCATTCTGATATCAACATATTACAAATTCTGCTTTCCTTTCACTTAGCCATCTTTGAAAGATCCAGCTTCTCTGTACAGCTTCATTAACCAGGGTGCTTCGTCATAACAATTCACAAACCTCTGCAAGAAAGTTTCTTCGGGAAGTCGAAACGAAGCAACCTCCTTATAAGGATTATTCTTAAGCAAACCTGTGGATGACAGATATTGAAGAACTGAAGCACGAGGAATTATTCTCTTCTCCAAGCTAAGTGTAAGAAGATTATACTGCTTCATAATGACAGAAGGCTCCCAACCCATTTTGTTTACAAAATGGTCCATCACTCCCATAATCTTATCCACAGATGTAACCATACACCAAGGATACTTTCGAAATGTTGTAAGAATCTCTTCCTCAGACAAACCCCACCTCTTGTAAACATCAATCTTCTTATCCCACTCAGATTTGGGAATTACCAACACTGTAACAATAGCAATAACAAATTGTGACCTTATAGGATTTATACCCATTTTCTTTACCAAGTCCACAGTCTCTACAAACCGACTATAATACATAAATATGTAAGGCCAATTACTAAGTAACCTAACAATATTCGATTCAGGCACACCATTATCTCGCAAATAACTAACTTTAGGTGCAATACATTTTTGAAGATCACGATAAAGAATGCTTGGAGAGTGTTTAATAGCAGTAATAGCCTTTTCACTAGATTGAAGCAAGTTAGTAAGGTAATGAAAGGAAGGGATTATATGGTTTTTTAAGCTCCTTCGTAAGATAGTAGGTTCCCGACTTAAAATTTTTGCGCGATCACGACTTGAAATGCCTTTGGAGTGAAAAAACTCAAGTTTTGGCAAAAGGGTTTTCTCAGGTTTGCACAAAAGCAGTATTGGGAGTTTTCTGATGAGTTCTGAGATTTGGGTTTCTGAGAAGCCACTGCTCTTGAAAAAGTTTACCACTAAGTCTGGCTTCTCTGGAGCATCAAATTGAACATTTTTGGATGCCTTTAGAGCAGATTCAGAAGACAACCCACATGAATTAATAAGGTATGAGACGGTAAAAGATTGTTCATTTAAGTTGGTTGAGATGTATTTCACAGAAATCGGACACGAAAAATCTTGAAATTTATTAGGGTTTAATAAAGTTAAGTTAGCGTATCTCCCACGACTATGAAGTAAATTTCTGAAGAGAAAATTAAACATCATAGTTGCAAAAGTGATTGAATAAACTCACCTATGCTTTGAGAGTTGAGAAATCTCGCATTAATTTGGAAAGTCGTTGAACTTGAAATCCTGAACAGGTGAAAGTAAAACCCTGGTAGTGATTACTATTAGTGTTGGATACTTTGGGGGGAAAAGTTTTATTTGTAGAAACCAAACGACGCACATTCACATGTAAAAATTACAAACACCCTCCTATAATCCTATTAGATATCTAATACACTCCTATTGGACAATATCAAAATATCCTCTATAAAAATTACATATGCTCCCCCTATACTCCTACTGGACAACCAATGCCCCCTATTGAACGGTATTTAACACTTTTCATCCTCTTCGATCAGAGGCTATAAAAAGTGTCGGATACCATGATGCCTTTTGATAAAAGTCCTAGATTTCGTAACAAACATCAAAATCCTTCAATTTTCAACATCTCCATCTAAAAATTAACTCAAATAACCAATATTAACCACCCATCTACATAAATATCCTCCGATTTGGTAGGAATTGTGGTAATGGAGGGTGAGTTAGGTGAGTTTTAAAGGATGAAAAATGAGTTTTGTTTAAAAGTTTAAGAGTTTGTGAATAAGGGTATTTTCTTTTAGTAGTGTATTACGTCATTGGCTATGTTGTGAAAAACTTTAAAAAAAAAATTGTACTTTTCAAATTTAACCATAAAATAGTGTCATTTAATATAATTTCTCTTTTTATTTTAATAAGAGTTAATAGCATTAATCCCGCTGCGGTGTGACATAAAAAAAGACTCTCTATGAGGTTTTAGAAATATCTTTTTATTTTAATAAGAGTTAGTATCGTTAATTCCCCCATGGTATGACATAAAAAAAGACTCTCCCTAAGGTTTCAGAAATAATATAAATCTCCATATTGTTAACTTTTAGATATTAAAATCAACGGTTGGAGGATAATTTGTTTTAGATATTAAAATCAACGGTTGGAGGATAATTTGGTAATATTTACAAACTCATAACTCTATAAATTTTTTGTTGATAGTTCATTAATAATAAGGGGATTTATGTTATTTCGAAAACCCCAGAAGGTTTTGTAATTATATCATTGCTTGAGGGCATTAATGTAATTAACTCTTTTAAAGATCTTTTAAACGCACCCGGGGACTACACAAATGACTTTGTGGCTTTAAATCAAGGAACATCTGGCTCTGCCGGGTTCAGCTTAAGGGTAAACGGAGGTCCATTTGTGAGCAATGGAGGTCCTCCACTCACACTCTATCCCCACTATCAATTTTTCAAAACTCAATTTCCCCAAATTTCACAGACGGATTCGTCGGATTCGACTAACTTCACTCAAACTTCACGGCATTAGAGCTGAAGCATCGTCATTGTCATCTTCACCCTCTCTGTCTCCGTCGACGGCCGGGGAGAAGATGGTGGTGGAGCTAGTAGGAGCTTTCAATGAACTAACGGAAAGGATGAACGTGTTGTCAACAAGTTCTTCCCGTTTACTCTTCAAGGCTCTTAAGCTCTCAATTCCTATACTTCAAGGCTTGCCTCTGTCTCCTGATTCTCGCTCTCCGCTCACCAAAGCCTTGTCTGTTGCTCTTCTCCTTGCCGATCTTCAGGTACCCTTTCCGTGGCTTTTTTGAGATCTTTTTTATAAAAGTTGAAAACTTGGTGGGTAATTTCATCAAAAGTTGAAAACTTTGTTGGTAATTTCATCAATTTTTTTAGAACTTTGCTGGTACTTTTATCATAATATGAAACTTTGTTGGGAATTTTTTATTAGAAGTTTATAACTTTGTTAGTGATGTTAAAAATTGTATGTTGTTGGTGCAGATGGATGCTGAAGTGATTTCAACTGGGATATTGAGGCAAGCTGTTGAGGCAGGTGTGGTTTCTACACAACAAGTGAGGGATCAGATTGGTGTTGGTACTGCTCATTTGTTGCATGAAAGTTTGCGTTTTAAGAATAATATTAATTTAAAGTTACAAGTTTTGGATGATGATACTGCTGCTGCTTTGAGAAAGTATTGCTTGACTTACTATGACATAAGGGCCTTGATTCTAGACTTGGCTATTAAACTAGATATGATGAGACATTTGGACTACTTGCCTAGGTATCAACAGCTAATGGTTTCTCTTGAAGTTTTGAAAATTCATGCCCCATTGGCTCATGCTGTGGCTTCCAATTACTTATCTTTTGAATTGGAGGATCTTTCGTTCCGACATCTGTTTCCTCATTCTTATCTTTATGTAGATACATGGTTGAGAAGTCATGAGACGGGAAGTAAGCCTTTAATTGATATATACAAGGAACGGTTGCTTCAGTCTTTAAAAAGTGATCCTGCCCTTTGTAAGATGGTGGATGAAGTCTCAGTCCTAGGTCGTTACAAAAGTCGTTACAGTACAATGAAGAAGCTATTAAAAGATGGCAGGAAGCCAGAGGCAGTGAATGATGTTTTGGGTTTGCGAGTCATATTGAAGCCAAAGTCAGATGTAGGAAATTTGTCTGAAGTAGGCGAGAGAGCATGCTACAGAACACGTGAAATTATCCGATCTCTGTGGAAAGAAATGCCTCACAGAACAAAGGACTATATTGCTCGGCCAAAAGCAAATGGTTATAGGAGCTTACATATGGCAGTTGATGTGAGTGACAATGGTAAGACTAGACCACCAATGGAAATACAGATTAGGACTACTGAGATGGACATGTTGGCAGCAAATGGAACAGCGTCCCATTCTTTGTACAAAGGTGGTCTTACTGATCCAGAAGAGGTCAGTCAGCAATCTGTTATCTGATTGTGGTTCGGTCTCTACTTTGGCCATGATTATATAGAAGTTGTCTTCAAGTAAAAATTGTAATTAAGTCTCAACATATCCATAGCCTAAATATGTATGCTCTCTTTAATTTCTATTACTTTGATATCATTACAATTGCATTATGAGATGATAGATTGTATAAAAGCTAGTTTTGGTACTTGGAGGGGGGTTGGGTTTGACTGATTAGATGGGCATAAATGCTCCATATATATAGATCTTTGACAAGTTTTAAATTGGTGATCAGGCAAAGCGGCTCAAGGCCATAATGCTGGCTGCAGCTGAACTTGCAGCACTGCGTCTTAAAGATCTTCCATCCTCAAATCAAATTGGTACTGAGATTGACCAGAGAGATCGAGTTTTCCGCCTTCTCGACAAGAATGGTGATGGTAGAATCAGCATCGAGGAACTTATGGAAGTGATGGAAGAGCTTGGTGCTCCAGGAGAAGATGCACGAGAAATGATGCAGCTTCTTGATTCAAATAGTGATGGTTCTCTGAGCTCTGATGAATTTGATTTGTTTCAAAAACAGGTAATGACTGATGGTTGTAGTGATGTAAGTGACCATGATGTCTGAAATCTTAGTCATATCCTGGATTTCTATTTCTGATCTCAAATTAGCATTTTTTATTCGATCAATTTATTTGTTTTTGAATGCTCATTTAAATTTGCTCAGCCTTATCAGAAGTTCAGTTGAAACTTTCATATAGCTATTATCGATTTTATGTTCACTTTGTGTTTCTCAATGTATATGCAGGTTGAATTTATGCGAAATTTAGAGGACAAGGATGATCAATACAAGACCATTTTAAATGAGAAGCTTCAAATGGAATATAACAGTGGCTTGATTCAGGTATATAGCAAAGAACTTGGTAATAGGCTTGCTAGTTAGACTAGCATATTCACCATGTACATAATTTATTTTCTGTGTGCATAGTGAAATTACCGTGTGCTATACACTGTTTAAGGATCAGTTTTAGTGTATCCTCCCATTATATAAATGCTGAGCCGTGTATCAACACAAAGAAATGGAGACACAATTACTTTTTATAATAAATTATTCCATTTGTGCCTTCATATCTGTGGTTATGGAGTTCATATGAGATTTCAGCCATCAAAGCTGTTACCTCTTAATAACCAAAAAATTTGAATATTTAACTTAAAGAAAAAAAATTTTTATATGAAATGCTATAGTCTGTGGTGAGAGCTGCTATAAGAAGATCAATATTTGAAAAGGCTAACTGGCTTAAACATAAATGATACTTGATATCAACATATTACAAATTCTGCTTTCCTTTCACTGAGCCATCTTTGAAAGATCCAGCTTCTCTGTACAGCTTCATTAAACGGGGTGCTTCGTCATAACGATTCACAAACCTCTGCAAGAAAGTTTCTTCGGGAAGTCGAAACGAAGCAACTCCTTATAAGGATTATTCTTAAGCAAACCGTGGATGACAGATATTGAAGAACGGAAGCACGAGGAATTATTCTCTTCTCCAAGCTAAGTGTAAGAAGATTATACTGCTTACAAGACAGAAGGCTCCAACCCATTTTGTTTACAAAATGGTCCCTCACTCCCATAATCTATCCACAGATGTAACCATACACCAAGGATACTTTCGAAATGTTGTAAGAATCTCTTCCTCAGACAACACCCACCTCTTGTAAACATCAATCTTCTTATCCCACTCAGATTTGGGAATTACCAACACTGTAACAATAGCAATAACAAATTGTGACCTTATAGGATTTATACCCATTTTCTTTACCAAGTCCACAGTCTTACAAACCGACTATAATACATAAATATGTAAGGCCAATTACTAAGTAACTAACATATTCGATTCAGGCACACCATTATCTCGCAAATAACTGACTTTAGGTGCATACATTTTGAAGATCACGATAAAGGTGCTTGGAGAGTGTTTAATAGCAGTAATAGCCTTTTCATAGATTGAAGCAAGTTAGTAAGGTAATGAAAGGAAGGGATATATGGTTTTTAAGCTCTTCGTAAGATAGGGTTCCCAACTTAAAATTTTTGCGCGATCACGACTGATAATGCCTTTGGAGTGAAAAAACTCAAGTTTTGGCAAAAGGGTTTTCTCAGGTTTGCACAAAAGCAGTATTGGGAGTTTTCTGATGAGTTCTGAGATTGGGTTTCTGAGAAGCCACTGCTCTTGAAAAAGTTTACCACTAAGTCTGGCTTTTTGGAGCATCAAATTGAACATTTTTGGATGCCTTTAGAGCAGATTCAGAAGACAACCCACATGAATTAATAAGGTATGAGACGGTAAAAGATTGTCTTGAGTTGGTTGAGATGTATTTGACAGAAATCGGACACGAAAAATCTTGAAAATTATTAGGGTTAATAAAGTTAAGTTAGCGTATCTCCCAGACTATGAAGTAAATTTCTGAAGAGAAAATAAACATCGTAGTTGCAAAAGTGATTGATAAACTCACCTATGCTTTGAGAGTTGAGAAATCTCGCATTAATTTGGAAAGGCGTTGAACTTGAAATCCTGAACAGGTGAAAGTAAAACCCTGGTAGTGATTACTATTTGTGTTGGATACTTTGGGGGGAAAAGTTTATTTGTAGAAACCAAACGACGCACATTCACATGTAAAAATTACAAACACCTCCTCTAATCTATTAGATATCTAATACACTCCTATTGGACAATATCAAATATCCTCTATAAAAATTAATGCTCCCCTATACTCCACTGGACAACCAATGCCCCTATTGAACGGTATTTAACACTTTTCATCCTTCGATCAGAGGCTATAAAAAGTGTCGGATACCATGATGCCTTTTGATAAAAGTCCTAGATTTCGTAACAAACATCAAAATCCTTCAATTTCAACATCTCCATCTAAAAATTAACTCAAATAACAATATTAACCACCCATACATAAATATCCTCCGATTTGGTAGGAATTGTGGTAATGGAGGGGGTGGAGGTGAGTTTTAAAGGATGAAAAATGAGTTTTGTTTAAAAGTTTAAGAGTTTGTGAAAAGGGTATTTTCTTTTAGTAGTGTATTACGTCATTGGCTATGTTGTGAAAAACTTTAAAAAAAAAATTGTACTTTTCAAATTTAACCATAAAATAGTGTCATTTAAATAATTTCTCTTTTATTTTAATAAGAGTTAATAGCATTAATCCCGCTGCGGTGGTGACAAAAAAAAAGACTCTCTATGAGGTTTTAGAAATATCTTTTTATTTTAATAAGAGTTAGTATCGTTAATTCCCCCATGGTATGACATAAAAAAAGACTCTCCTAAGGTTTCAGAAATAATATAAATCTCCATATTGTTAACTTTTAGATATTAAAATCAACGGTTGGAGGATAATTTGTTTTAGATATTAAAATCAACGGTTGGAGGATAATTTGGTAATATTTACAAACTCAAACTATAAATTTTTTGTTGATAGTTCATAATAATAAGGGGATTTATGTTATTTCGAAAACCTCAGAAGGGTTTTCTAATTATATCATGCTTGAGGGGATTAATGTGATTAACTCTTTTAAAGATCTTTTAAACGCACCCGGGGACTACACAAATGACTTGTGGCTTTAAATCAAGGAACATCTGGCTCTGCGGGTTCAGCTTAAGGGTAAACGGAGGTCCATTTGTGAGCAATGGAGGTCTCCACTCCACACTCATCCCCACTATCATTTTTTCAAAACTCAATTTCCCCAAATTTCACAGACGGATTCGTCGGATTCGACTAACTCACTCAAACTTCAGGCATAGAGCTGAAGCATCGTCATGTCATCTTCACCTCTCTGCTCCGTCGACGGCCGGGGAGAAGATGTGGTGGAGCTAGTAGGAGCTTTCAATGAACTAACGGAAAGGATGAACGTGTTGTCAACAAGTTCCGTTTACCTTCAAGGTCTTAAGCTCTAATTCCTATACTTCAAGGCTTGCCTCTTTCTGATCTCGCTCTCCGAATCACAAAACTGTTTCATTCTTTCTACGACAACTCAGTTGAAAATCCTAGTTGAAGATGAATTTGCTCAATTAAATTAATGTTCTTATCTTCATACAGTTATATATAAAACAATGATAATGATTTTATTAATTATTTCATCAAATCCATTCACTTAAACAGTGATTCGAGCCTAACCAACCAGAAGTTAGGTCTTGCCTCCAAATTAAGAACATCAATTATTTCTAATAATTAAAAACACATATTTAACATATATGTTATCATGATTAAATGGGTGGAGGTGTAGAAGATTGCTTAACTGCATACTAGAAAGAGGGATTGTTGAACTTGGAAAACACGGCTGAAGAGCAATCAACACTCAATTGTTGGATGAGTAAAACTATACCAACAACCCTCTCTTATAACCCTAACGTGACAGTTCGTAATTGATCAGTTTGTAATTAATTAGTGAGACTCACATGGGACCCGTTGTGAACTAACCAATTGCGAACTGTCACGTCAGGTTTGTGAGATAAAGTTTGTGAGAGAGAGTTGTTGGTGTAGTATTATTCATTGTTGGATAGTTGTACAACATCCTGGACTCAAAAGAAATTGTTCATCACTCCCGTAATCTTATCCACAAATGTAACCATACATCAAGGATTCTTTCGAAATGTTAGAATAATCTCTTCCTCAGACCAACCCCACCTCTTGTACACATCAATCTTCTTATCCCACTCAGATTTGGGAAGTAACAACATTATAGCAATAGCAAAAACAAACTGTGATCTTATAGGATTGATGCCTGTTTCCTTTACCAAGTCCACAATCTCTTCAAAATGACTACACTGATAAGTACAGATGAGAAACCATTTACCAAGTAACAATACAATATTAGATTCAGGCACATTATTATCTTGCAAATAATTGACTTTAGGTAATCTTGTGTCTTCGAGATGATTGCAGTATTCAAGTGACAACTTCTATCTTCAGGTTGACATACGAACTAATAAGACAATAATTTCTAAGTTTCACTGAAGTCATTAACTCATTAAGCTTCCTTTTCAAATGTTTTTCTAATGGGAGAGAAGAAAATTTCACTATAGAATGAAGATCAATCAGCATGCCTTCCAAAAACATCACAGAGATCAAGGAAATTAATATCAACCAAAGGTAACTAGTTGCAGAGTTGTAACAAGACTAAACAAAGCCAGAGATCACAGTATGATACATGATTATACATCACATTGCAGAGCCTGTGCTTTAGTCAAGAGACAACATGTCACAAGAAGAAAACAAAAATTGCAAATAACCCATAACTAATCTGGACTAGATGCTCTTTCTGACTAAAAGTAAAGCCAATCTGATTCTGAATACAAAGAATTTAACTAGATCAAGTAACACCGTATCATTCTGATATCAACATATTACAAATCTGCTTTCCTTTACTGAGCCATCTTTGAAAGATCCAGCTTCTCTGTACAGCTTCATTAACCGGGGTGCTTCGTCATAACGATCACAAACCTCTGCAAGAAAGTTTCTTCGGGAAGTCGAAACGAAGCAATCGCCTTATAAGGATTATTCTTAAGCAAACCTGTGTGACAGATATTGAAGAACGGAAGCACGAGGATTATTCCTTCTCCAAGCTAAGTGTAAGAAGATTATACTGCTTCACAATGACAGAGGCTCCCAACCCATTTGTTTACAAAATGGTCCTCACTCCCATAATCTTATCCACAGATGTAACCATACACCAGATACTTTCGAAATGTTGTAAGAATCTCTTCTCAGACAAACCACCTCTTGTAAACATCAATCTTCTTATCCACTCAGATTTGGGAATTACCAACACTGTAACAATAGCAATAACAATTGTGACCTTATAGGATTATACCCATTTTCTTTACCAAGTCCACAGTCTCTACAAACCGACTATAATACATAAATATGTAAGGCCAATTACTAAGTAACCTAACAATATTCGATTCAGGCACACCATTATCTCGCAAATAACTGACTTTAGGTGCAATACATTTTTGAAGATCACGATAAAGGATGCTTGGAGAGTGTTTAATAGCAGTAATACCTTTTCACTAGATTGAAGCAAGTTAGTAAGGTAATGAAAGGAAGATATAGGGTTTTTTAAGCTCCTTCGTAAGATAGCAGGTTCCCAACTTAAAATTTTTGCGCGATCACGACTTGAAATGCCTTTGGAGTGAAAAAACTCAAGTTTTGGCAAAAGGGTTTCTCAGGTTTGCACAAAAGCAGTATTGGGAGTTTTCTGATGAGTTCTGAGATTTGGGTTTCTGAGAACCCTGCTCTTGAAAAAGTTTACCACTAAGTCTGGCTTTTCTGGGCATCAATTGAACATTTTTGCTTTAGAGCAGATTCAGAAGACAACCCATGAATTAATAAGGTATAACGGTAAAAGATTGTTCATTTGAGTTGGTTGAGATGTATTGACAGAAATCGGACACGAAAAATCTTGAAATATTAGGGTTTAATAAAGTTAAGTTAGCGTATCTCCCCGACTATGAAGTAAATTTCTGAAGAGAAAATTAACATCGTAGTTGCAAAAGTGATTGAATAAACTCACCTAGCTTTGAGAGTTGAGAATCTCGCATTAATTTGGAAAGTCGTTGAACTTGAAATCCTGAACAGGTGAAAGTAAAACCCTGGTAGTGATTACTATTAGTGTTGGTACTTTGGGGGGAAAAGTTTTATTTGTAGAAACCAAACGACGCACATTCACATGTAAAAATTACAAACACCCTCCTATAATCCTATTAGATATCTAATACACTCCTATTGGACAATATCAAATATCCTCTATAAAATTACATATGCTCCCCCTATACTCCTACTGGACAACCAATGCCCCTATTGAACGGTATTTAACACTTTTCATCCTCTTCGATCAGAGGCTATAAAAAGTGTCGGATACCATGATGCCTTTTGATAAAAGTCCTAGATTTCGTAACAAACATCAAAATCCTTCAATTTTCAACATCTCCATCTAAAAATTAACTCAAATAACCAATATTAACCACCCTCACATAAATATCCTCCGATTTGGTAGGAATTGTGGTAATGGAGGGTGAGTTAGGTGAGTTTTAAAGGATGAAAAATGATTGTTTAAAAGTTTAAGAGTTTGTGAATAAGGGTATTTTCTTTTAGTAGTGTATTACTATTGGCTATGTTGTAAAAACTTTAAAAAAAAATTGTACTTTTCAAATTTAACCATAAAATAGTGTCATTTAATATAATTCTCTTTTTATTTTAATAAGAGTTATAGCATTAATCCCGCTGCGGTGTGACATAAAAAAAGACTCTCTATGAGGTTTTAGAAATATCTTTTTATTTTAAAGAGTTAGTATCGTTAATTCCCCCAGTTGACATAAAAAAGACTCTCCCTAAGTTTCAGAAATAATATAAATCTCCATATTTGAACTTTTAGATATTAAATCAACGTTGGAGGATAATTTGTTTTAGATATTAAAATCAACGGTTGGAGGATAATTTGGTAATATTTACAAACTCATAACTCTATAAATTTTTTGTTGATAGTTCATTAATATAAGGGGTTTATGTTATTTCGAAAACCTCAGAAGGGTTTTCTAATTATATCATTGCTTGAGGGGATTAATGTGATTAACTCTTTTAAAGATCTTTTAAACGCACCCGGGACTACACAAATGACTTGTGGCTTTAAATCAAGGAACATCTGGCTCTGCCGGGTTCAGCTTAAGGGTAAACGGAGGTCCATTTGTGAGCAATGGAGGTCCTCCACTCACACTCATCCCCACTATCATTTTTTCAAAACTCAATTTCCCCAAATTTCACAGACGGATTCGTCGGATTCGACTAACTTCACTCAAACTTCATGGCATTAGAGCTAAGCATCGTCATTGTCATCTTCACCCTCTCGTCTCCGTCGACGGCCGGGGAGAAGATGGTGTGGAGCTAGTAGGAGCTTTCAATGAACTAACGGAAAGGATGAACGTGTTGTCAACAAGTTCTTCCCGTTACTCTTCAAGGCTCTTAAGCTCTCAATTCCTATACTTCAAGGCTTGCCTCTTTCTCCTATTCTCGCTCTCCGCTCACCAAAGCTTGTCAGTTGCTCTTCTCCTTGCCGATCTTCAGGTACCCTTTCCGTGGCTTTTTTGAGATCTTTTTATACAAGTTGAAAACTCGTGGTAATTTCATCAAAAGTTGAAAACTTTGTTGGTAATTTCATCAATTTTTTTAGAACTTGCTGGTACTTTTATCATAATATGAAACTTTGTTGGGATTTTTTATTAGAAGTTTATAACTTTGTTAGTGATGTTAAAAATTGTATGTTGTTGGTGCAGATGGATGCTGAAGTGATTTCAACTGGGATATTGAGGCAAGTTGTTGAGGCAGGTGGGTTTCTACACAACAAGTGAGGGATCAGATTGGTGTTGGTACTGCTCATTTGTTGCATGAAAGTTTGCGTTTTAGAATAATATTAATTTGAAGTTACAAGTTTTGGATGATGATACTGCTGCTGCTTTGAGAAAGTATTGCTTGACTTACTATGACATAAGGGCCTTGATTCTAGACTTGTTTAAACTAGATATGATGAGACATTTGGACTACTTGCCTAGGTATCAACAGCTAATGGTTTCTCTTGAAGTTTTGAAAATTCATGCCCCATTGGCTCATGCTGTGGCTTCCAATTACTTATCTTTTGAATTGGAGGATCTTTCGTTCCGACATCTGTTTCCTCATTCTATCTTTATGTAGATACATGGTTGAGAAGTCATGAGACGGAAGTAGCCTTTAATGATATATACAAGGAACGGTTGCTTCAGTCTCTAAAAAGTGATCCTCCCTTGGTAAGATGGTGGATGAAGTCTCAGTCCTAGGTCGTTACAAAAGTCGTTACAGTACAATGAAGAAGCTATTAAAGATGGCAGGAAGCCAGAGGCAGTGATTGTTTTGGGTTTGCGAGTCATATTGAAGCCAAAGTCAGATGTAGGAAATTTGTCTGAAGTAGGCGAGAGAGCATGCTACAGAACACGTGAAATTATCCGATCTCTGTGGAAAGAAATGCCTCACAGAACAAAGGACTATATTGCTCGGCAAAGCAAATGGTTATAGGAGCTTACATATGGCAGTTGATGTGAGTGACAATGGTAAGACTAGACCACCAATGGAAATCAGATTAGGACTACTGAGATGGACATGTTGGCAGCAAATGGAACAGCGTCCCATTCTTTGTACAAGGGTGGTCTTACTGATCCAGAAGAGGTCAGTCAGCAATCTGTTATCTGATTGTGTTCGGTCTCTACTTTGGCCATGATTATATAGAAGTTGTCTTCAAGTAAAATTGTAATTAAGTCTCAACATATCCATAGTCTAAATATGGATGCTCTCTTCAATTTCTATTACTTTGATATCATTACAATTGCATTATGAGATGATAGATTGTATAGAAGCTAGTTTTGGTACTTGGAGGGGGGTTGGGTTTGACTGATTAGATGGGCATAAATGCTCCATATATATAGATCTTTGACAAGTTTTAATTGGTGATCAGGCAAGCGGCTCAAGGCCATAATGCTGGCTGCAGCTGAACTTGCACACTGCGTCTTAAAGATCTTCCATCCTCAAATCATATTGGTACTGAGATTGACCAGAGAGATCGAGTTTTCCGCCTTCTCGACAAGAATGGTGATGGTAGAATCAGCATCGAGGAACTTATGGAAGTGATGGAAGAGCTTGGTGCTCCAGGAGAAGATGCACGAGAAATGATGCAGCTTCTTGATTCAAATAGTGATGGTTCTCTGAGCTCTGATGAATTTGATTTGTTTCAAAAACAGGTAATGACTGATGGTTGTAGTGATGTAAGTGACCATGATGTCTGAAATCTTAGTCATATCCTGATTTCTATTTCTGATCTCAAATTAGTTTTGTTATTCTGATCATTTATTTGTTTTTGAATGCCATTTAAATTTGCTCAGCCTTATCAGAAGTTCAGTTGAAACTTTCATATAGCTATTATCGATTTTATGTTCACTTTGTGTTTCTCAATGTATAGTCAGGTTGAATTTATGCGAAATTTAGAGGACAAGGATGATCAATACAAGACCATTTTAAATGAGAAGCTTCAAATGGAATATAACAGTGGCTTGATTCAGGTATATAGCAAAGAACTTGGTAATAGGCTTGCTAGTTAGACTAGCATATTCACCATGTACATAATTTATTTTCTGTGTGCATAGTGAAATTACCGTGTGCTATACTCTGTTTAAGGATCAGTTTTAGTATATCCTCCATTATAAAATGCTGAGCCGTGTATCAACACAAAGAAATGGATACACAATTACTTTTTATAATAAATTATTCCATTTGTGCCTTCATATCTGTGGTTAGGAGTTCATATGAGATTTCAGCCATCAACATCAAAGCTTTTCCTTTAATAACCAAAAATTTGAATATTTAACTTAAAGAAAAAAAATTTTATATGAAATGCTATAGTCTAGTGGTGAGAGCTGCTATAAGAAGATCAATATTTGAAAAGGCTAACTGGCTTAAACATAAATGATACTTGTGATTTATTTACATTTTTTTTTTTACTTTTATACACCTCAAAACAGATGAAAAATTTTCCACCTAATTTGCAACCCAATTTTTAGCTTTCACCCTGAGGCTTAGATCCCTTGATGTAAATATAGGACCAGTGCTCAGCTATGTGGTCACCAATTCTTCGCTTGGAGGCTCAGATCCCTTGATGTTGCTTTAAGTTTGAACAAGTATACACAGTGCTTAGTTATGTGGTCAGCAACTCTTGGCTTGGAGGGTCTCCTAAATCACTTGATAGCTTTTTGCATAACTGCACAAACCAAAGTTTGATCAAAATGTCAGACATGAGAAGAGAGAGAGAGAGAAAATAAATGAAAAGAGAGGCTACCTGTCTGTAAGCCAATGTGTCTCCATATGATTTTCTTAATTCAACTACAAACAAGGATGGACTGATCTCAAATAACTGAGAAAATGAGACAAGAATTAGTTTATCGAGGAACAAACACAATTTGATCACTACACAACAATTTTGTTTCAGAAAAAGTACCTCTGCTGCTACTGAAAGACTTCCTAAGCTTTTCTGTGCCTTGTGCTCCTGTGTGGCCTTCAACTGAATACATAAACATTCCAATTTTAAAGTTGAAACATGGCCTATTGCATGAAATAGATAATGGGAAATTAATTGTAAGTTACAAGTTGAGCATTTAAGTAAAGCAATAATAACCTTTCCATTTCTCTTCCGTACTCGAAATCCCATCTCTGTCACAGTATCCTCAATCCTCTCAAGCAAATCTTTGCCAGATAGATTGGATGTAAATCTGATCTTTCGCTCAGAAACATCCTGAATTAACCAAACAGAAAAGCAGGGATTTTACCGGTTAGAGATTTTAAAGAATTTGTGTCTCGTAGCACATTAGTGAAATGTATATGGTTTTACAAAACTGCTGCTTGCTTTACTTTCATTCTCACCTCTTTCTCAAAGAAACCAGAGAGGTCTAGGCATGAGGACATTCCAATCAACTGGAAAGCGTTGATGGTGGTGGGCAAGCCTGGACTCTTGTCTGTATCCCATGGCTATAACCAAAAAAAAAAAAAAAAAATTAAAATTCCTTTTAGTTATGGTAAAATAGGATTTCCCAACAATGGTAGACAACAGAGAATTTCCAGAGTTCATACTGCTTCTTGCATTGAGAAGGCTTCATCGTCGATGAATATATCTTCGTCTTCATCATTGGGATCTGCAGGAGTATAATCTTGTTTGAACCATTCATCGGCTTTGATATCTGCCATTGTCATTCGCTTAATAGGATTTGGTTCAAGAATCCTCCTTAACATGTTTTGAGCTCCAGGTGATAACCATTTTGGTATCTTGGCATCTCCCTTGAAAATCTGAAATTTCTCAACAAAACACATAACATATAATGAGAATCTACTCATGTAAATGTCTTCAATCACAGGTCCATATAAAAGGAGAAAAGATGATAAGCAACTTTTTGTTACCTTCTGATATAGAACGGCAAGGTTTCTATCATCAAAGGGTAGGTATCCGATGAGAATTACATACAAGATAACACCGCACGACCATATATCTGAAGTAGCACCATCATAACCTCTATTGGCAAGAACTTCAGGTGCAACATAATTTGGACTTCCACAGGTTGTATGCAGTAACCCGTCATCCTGACATTTCAGATGAAATTGAACAACGTGATCAACAACTGACCTTATTTAAAAATTCTTAGAAACTTAACGCTTTCGCAAGTAGAAGACTTACCCTAAAATGCTGAGGAAGAGCACTGAGGCCAAAGTCAGATATCTTTATATTTCCTTTCGAATCAACAAGAACGTTCTCTAACTGCGATGTCAAATAACCAGCATCATATTAAATTGATAAGCTTGCAAAATAGTACATCGGTATGATACAATATGTTACATTGGACTCATAAATGATCATATACCTTGAGATCCCTGTGAAAGACACCTTTGTTATGGCAGTAACTGACGCCGTCAATCAGCTGCTGAAAGAGCTTCCTTCCTTCAACTTCAGGAAGTCTTCCCTTAGATGCCTGCAAGATATGACTTATTAGGATAAACTGAAGGTGAATGCTCACAAGAAACCTTAAAACAATCATTGTCTCAGATGGGTTCTTACAATTCTGTCAAACAACTCTCCACCGGTAACGTATTCTAAGACCATATAGATCTTGCTCTTGCTTGCCAAGACCTGCATATTGATTGTTCTTTGGTCAATTCATTACTTATTTTATTCAGATGCAGTCTTTGTCATCTAAACATCAATCATTTTACTTATGGATAGAGTTCATAAAAAAAAAGCCACCAGAGAATTCAACTAAAACCAACCAAATCATCATAAATAATTCATCCCCACATCACTGTAATGATAAAGATAGGAAATACACAAGATGCAATATTTTATTGTAAAAAAGAGGTGGGTCATGGTTATGGATAGAGTAGAGGTAGAGGATCCCCACTATTCCATAATTGAAGAAGCAACTAACACATGTCAATTACCCTTCTTGTGGACCCTTCAATTTCCTTATTTGATTCATATTCTATACCAACTACACAAATGTCCAAAAAAGGGCCCACGTGCATAGCCGTATATCTTCAGGGATGTCCACAAAATTCAACATTAAAATATCTAAGTTTTACCATACGTGAAATCACCGGATTGGCTACTGGTACTCTGTTAAGTTTTTCTTGAACAACTCCATAGAAATCAACTCACTGGTCCAGGCCATGTGAACCAATGAAGGTTAATCAACGTGAAACAGTCTTCGTTTAGCAGACTCTTATGTACAAGTCCATGATTCAAGGGTATGGATTGAATAAGTATCAATGCAATGGTTTTGGTCAATGACACGTCATGTACAGATGGATTCTGCCTAAGAAGGGTGGGAAATACAAAAAACTAGTACAACACAACATGGCGACGTTTTAGAAAAATATTATTGCCCAGATTCCGGTTTCGGCTATGATTAAGGGAGAGATTGGCTTAGGTAAATATGATGTTAATGAAAACGGCTTTTGAAAGCAAAAAGATAGGGATGAACTGAAATATAAACTCCATGATTTTAGCAATTATAAATGAAATCAAACCCATGATCATCATCAAAGTAGTTTAGTTTTTGTATCAAACCTCATGTAATCTGACAACGTTTGGATGTTTGAGGAGCTTCAAGGTGGCAACCTCCCTCTTGATCTGAGAATTTTCAACACAAGATGACTTAATTAATAAAAAATTTAGGAAGCAAAAAGTTGAAAAAAGAATCTAGTTGATGATAAAAGGAGCACGACAATGAATCTCAAAACTGAAGAAAGAATAAATAACCAGATCAAAAAGCAAACACATAAACGTTTTGACACTCCATTGTTGAAAGAAATAAAATAAAAAATAAAAAAAACTGAAACTTAAATTTGCAGTCATAATTGACCACATTCCAGAAACAGAAAAATTTATTGAGTAGTAGTTCCAGATTCAGCAAAGATTTGTAAAGAGAAAAAGAAAATACCTGATCAGTGATTTTAAGGTCGATGATCCTTTTCTTCTCAAGAATTTTGACAGCAAAAGCATGACCAGAATCTAACTTCTTAGCAAATTTAACTTTTCCAAAATTACCTTCTCCTAAAGTCCTTCCCAGTTCATAGTTTCCCAGTTGCATTCCCAACTTGGTGGTGTTGTTGTTCTTCTTCTTCGAGTCTTCTTCTTCTTCTGGTCGTCCTCCAAGCTTGTTAAGCACCATTCAAATAATAATAAGAATCTTTTGTTGCGTATACGATCTAATAAGCCAAAAAGTTTGGATAAGGAGGAGTTGAATAATTATGATAATGGGTTGTGGTTATGGTTATGGAATGGAAGTAATCGTAAAAGAAAAGAATAAATAAATAGTCAGCACAGAGAGAAGAGTAATTATAAAGGCTTTTGAAATCTGTGAAACGGCAGAAATAGAAAACAGGACAGAACACAACTCAAACTGGTTTATATATATATTTCGTTTGGCTGTCTTCAAGAAACAAACTTCACTTTCACTTCCCATCCTCCATATTTATGTCTCTATCCCACCTGTTGTACCATTCTTCTATGCACTCTCTCCTCTTTCCCCCTCCCCACACGTTTCCCTCTAATTAGTCATTTTATGTTAACAATATTTAATGAAACTTCCATACAATCAAACTGTATGAATCATGTGCATTTGTTCTGGTTCTTAAGATAATCTATTTATCCTTGTATATATTAATTGTATAGTTGATTTTGTAACAAAAATACCAAATTAATAAAGGATAATATGGCAAAATCAAGGTTTAAGGTAATTTCCTCCTTAAACCTTGATTTTACTAAAGTAATCCCATGAATCTCCTCTTAAATAGGTAACAAAATCTATAAAAAAAAAAACGACTCAAAGTTGTTAATTACTAAGGATAAGATTATGTTTTAATTAAGGTAGTATTCATTGCCTATATTATAATAGTAATAATAAAGTAGCAGGAAGATCCCGTGCACCCAATCGGTCAGAAAATAAGGTTTCTGCTTCTTCAGCCGTCAGCAAAAAGCCAGAAGACCTTCAAACATGAACGTGAGGTTCCTATAGTTGTGGGCTGCGTACACATAATATATTATATTTAATGTTTTTAATTAATTAATTAAGTAATTTTTAACCACCCTAATAATATTATTGGGCCTCATTTCATGGGGGTGGTGCCTCCCCGACCCACATGATACGTTTATAATATATAGTTTTTGTAACCCCATCCATTAAAAATTACATAGTGGTTATGGATATAGATTTCACAATTTAAACGAGGGTTTGCTGATAAGTATTAATGTTGTGAATAAATAATAATAAAGTTGAGTATGAGTTGAGGTAATTAAGCTTTACTTTACTTTACTTTAAATATTGTTTTAACCTTGCGTAATGTGTAATGTGTAAGTTGTAACTAAACCATTTGTTGATTTCATGAATTAGAATAATAGTACCAAAATTATACTAGTTTAATTAAGTTGGTGATTAGTAGCACATGAAATGAAAAGACAGGGCAATAATTATAAATAGAAATTGGGGATGATTTTACATAACGTAAGGCATCGTATCCTCCTTGTTACTTTCAATTTCAGGTAGGTTTAGATTAGCTTAGCTTTGCCCTTACATTATTTTATTGGTGACTGACGGTGTTTGTGTCATCTTATGTGTTTTTTAATTAATCTTTTAGATCCTAACGTTAATTATCAAGTAAACTTTTAGTATTCATCTTTATTAATAACTGAGAAAATTGGATTCAAGACCTCTTGATAATACATCAAATAGTCTCTATTTAATACTCACCAAATATTCATTGATGGCTATTCATTGGCATGGTGACTTGTCAAAGGATCCGAATGATAAAAATATGAAGAAAGAATTAAAAATTAATGGAGTCAACGTAAGTCGGGTAAAAATGATAAATGCAATAACGTATATTTTTCTTGTTAACTCAAGAATATTCAACCTCTCATCGTTACATCTAATTATCCAACTCATTCGTATTTAATTTGTTTTTTTTTTTTTTAATATTATTCAAAACATTGTATTAAGGAGAAGCGTATAAGTTTTGTTAGGCGTGTCAAAACATTCAAAACTCTTTGAAATAATCAACTAATAAATAAACTTTAGGTTATACTTATATATATACACGACAAAGCGTTACCTTTTCTTTCATGCTCTATTTTATTTTTCTTTGTTTTGGCTATATATATCGCCCAACAACTCTTAACATCCTTCTATAACACACACAACTTGCTCAACATGCTGCCTCTACCAAATTATATATTGTTCCATCACAGATATATATGTATATGTTGAAGAGAATCAAGATCCTTCAAACCCGTATACTATATGAATAAAAAAATTAGATTAATCCTTAAAGATCTGATTATTAGATAAGGATGTGGATGTTTAAATACTTGTGGTATAGAATATAATATGATTTTAAACATGTTTTAGACCATATATATATATATATATGGAAGAGATTTAAAGTTTCAACTGATTCCTGTGAGTGATGAGCGAATTATTTAAGCACCACAAATTATAAAAATAATTTCCCTCATTTATGGTGCTCATGATGAATCACGAGAAGGAGCTTTCATTAATAACTTACTTACCCAGCTCCCAGGCATCTCAACAGAAATTGACAAGCAAACAAATGGAAACCATATCTGAGTTTTATATATATATATATATATATATGCTCTCTTTCTCTTTGTTGATATTTTTCTGAGTTTCTTTCTCTACTCTTCTTTTTGCTCTTTTTCATCCACTAACAATGTCACATGATGAACTGTTATAATTAACCTGGGCCACATGCAATTATCTGCAAACTGATATTGCTGTTGAGTTTAGGGTTAAAAGCTGCATATTCACACGGTCACGGTATAAAGTATCAAAAGTTATATGCAGTCATCTCACGATCATGCAATGGCCCATTCAATTTCACATCATATAATATAACACAGTTAAGTATCTAAGGTCTTGAATTTGATTATTAAGGTATATATGTTACGTCAATATGTATTAAAGATTTTTTCTACAACGTGTGGTCAAAATGGAGATCTTGTGAGGGCCTAATGTCACGACCCGCTTGCTTGGTGACTCAAGTGGGCCGCACGAACTTAGCAAAGAAGTTAAGTGCGTGACACTAAGCTCTCTTACCATTTCCAAGATATGGAAATACCCTTTGTCCCCGGCACATGAGCAATCTTACGCCAATCTACAAGCAAACAAATTTAGAACCATCGGAAGCACTGTTCTTATAATATCTTGCGATGGGACTGTAATTTGTAAGAAGAGAAATATTTGTCCATTAATTGAAAATGGTGGAACACATTCAGCTCTCCTCTCACTATCATCTTCATCCAATGGTCCATTCAATTTAACTCTTTTCATTTACTATCTTTCTTCCTAGAGATTCCACCAAACTGATATTTTTTCTTCTTATAGTGACATATTTGTAGTATCCCAAATCCCAATTACTTCTCTGCTATCAACTAATTATTTTTAACTCTACAAGTAAAGATCATCAGTTAATGTATATAAGAAAACTACATGTATTATACAATCATGGGCGTAGCCATGATTTATGGTCAGTGAGGTCAAAACATATAAATTAATAAATTTATCATAAAATATATATTGAAGTAATAAGTATAAAAAATATAATCTAAAAAATTAATTTTAAAAGATATACATACCAAATTATCAATTCTATAATTGTTCTCGATAATTTTTTATATTTTGGAAAATGTTGCATAATTGCTTCATTGACAATACCATAATCAATTAAGAAAGATAGAAGAAGAGATTTTAAACAAAATAATATAAAATGAGCATCATCTAATTACCTTGTGACCCTCAAAAAGAGTAGTTTTTATTGATTAATTCAACCAAAGGAAGAAGAAAATATGAGAGAAAATGAGAGGAACCGAGGAAGAGAGAAAACATGAAAAAAAAAATATAAGTATTTTCGAATCTCAGGATCAATAAAATATGAAAATATCTTAATGGGGTCAATAAAATATGGGTAATTTTAAAGGGGTCAAAATAATTAAATAATTTTAGAATTTTAGTTTGGTCACTTAGTATACTTTGGCTTCTGTGTTAAAGCATCTCCAAATGACTCTTTATATGACTCAAACTCTTTATTATAAAGAGTCTATCCATAAAAATAAGAATCCAACAGACTCTTTATCTTTAAAATATAAATTAGAGAATGAGTTAGAGAGTCAAATTTTACTCTCTATCTTAATTTTAATTAATAAACTACAAGTTCCTATGCATTTTATTTATTAATTATCTCTCCCATGAAGTCTATTTCTTAAAAATAAAGAGTATCTTCATTAAATTTAAAAAGTCCATTGGATTTGAATAAAAATTGTGTTATTTATATTTTAAAATTAATGAAGATGCTCTTCAAAATAGAAAGCACCATTAGAAATGGTCTTAAGGTATTGTGTACAAAAAAAATTATTATACAATCTAAAATAAGTGAGAATATTAAAAGCTCTAGTCATTGCTTAAAAGGAAGAAGATGAAATATGAATTGATCAAATCAACACCATTTCTTGTAGTTTTGAAACCCTAATTATGTATTAAAAGCAGGTCAAAATGAATATGGCACATGTAAAATGAGATCATTAAATATTAAAAAATTAACAAGTTAGGTGATAAGTTAATAGTTTAATTGGGTGTACCAACTAACCAATATTTTATTTTTTCAAACCAAACACTTAGAAACTTACTCTAAATATCTTGCACTTGGAAACCGAACATAGCATGAAGTGTTTCCTTTTGTCTTCAATGGAGAGATCGAGTCTGTCCAAACAATGAAACAACCCCACCTATCCACCATAGTTGCCTCAGGACCGCTCCCAATCACCATCCATTTCCTCACATCAATATATAAAAAGATTAAGCACATCCTCTGTCTATATAATCAAATACCTTGATTGTAATGCCAATGAATTCCCTTTCTTCCCTTGTTGTGGTGGGCTCCTTTGTATTGATTTTAACTTATTGCTTGTCCATTTCAGCTTTGTTCCCATCTTCACATATATTTTGTGAAGCCGAGTAGGGAACCATGCAGAAACACCAGACCGCCCAAAATGGTCTAAACATAGACTTGTGTGCTCAAGATTTGAAGCGTTTACATACTAAATTCTGTGCACATTAGATGTTAATGGTCCATCCTTCAATCCCTCCTGCAACATTGCATACACAATATTGGGTGCATGTTTAGGGAAAAAAACAATTTCAATAAGGTGTGGAATATTATTTGTTTGTGTGGAAGAGGGGCCTTCCTTGTCTTTGTGTAGACGACAAAAAGTTGCCCGCATTGAATGAGATGAAACATGAGCCTTCATAATTCCATTCTTCCGAACCTTTCTCGATCATTGTTTTGTTTTAATGATTTAACGTCATTAAAGGATAATGTATATTGTCAAACCGACAACTTGTGCGGTGCCGAAAGCCTCTACTGTCCACCACAAGATAGGGCCCCAGGCACATGAAAATGAGCAAACAACACACTTCCATTTCACAGAGCAAACAAAATTTCAAACAATGGAAACTACTAGAAATGTGTTGCATGTGGGAGCCAGAGCTCGAGAGCAGAAGCAATTATCGTTCGCTACATCCAAAACTAAGGGATGGAAACATAAATGATGATGGGTTTGTTGCATTTTGTGTTTTTTGATGGACCATGTGTTCAAACAACGCAAGCCCAACCCAACCTGTGTAGTAATATTTTTGTAGAACCGTCGGTCCGTCGCCACATTAATCAGTAGCAGACCCACTCATGTTAATGCTCCTTTTACAGTTGATTGTGACTTCTCATATTAAATTATTGATAGTTTAATCCAACAACAAACTCACTGAAATTATCGATAGTTTAATCCAACAACAAACTTACTGAAATACTGGAAAGATACAGACGTACGTAAGACTTGCAAACCTATAGAATCTCGAACAATAAACAAAACAAGCCTTGAAGTAGCAGGTTTAGAGCTCCTCATCACGACCTCTATTAGCTACATTATCTTTCAACTCTTTGGACTTGTGCTTTGTAGCTTCATAGTTTGAAGCACTGGTATCTTTAGCAGACTCTAATGTCTCCTCTGCTTCTCTAGCCTTCTCTGTTGCTTCATCCTTCGCATTACTGGCCTTCTCTTTGGTTGTGTCCTTCGCAGAACAAGCTTTATCTTTTGTTGAGTCCTTCACATTGCACGCCTTCTCTTTTGCTGCTTCTTTGGTCTCCGTGGCTGAATTTGTCGCGGAACCGAGCGTTTCCTTAGCTGCACCTGTTATGTCACTAGCCTTCTCAGTGGCTGCATCCTTCATCTCACAAGCCTTCTCCTTAGCTTTGTTGGTTATGTCGCTGGCCTTTTCCGAAGCTTTGTTGGCTCTGTCACTGGCCTTCTCCGAAGAAGTATACATAGCATCAGTAGTCTTCTCTTTTGCTGTATTCGTCATGTCACTTGCTACATTCTTAGCATCTCTGGCTTTCTCGGCTGTGTATTTACCGGCTCCTGTCCAACATTGCAATAACTGGCATCGGTTTCTTCCAATATTGTTTACGAGAGATGAAGGTGCAGTCCATATAAAATATGGCCTACCTCATAGAGTCCAGAAGTAGGGAAACAATAATGATTTTCTCTTATGGAAAATTAAAAAGACAACGCATTTGTTTGATTATACCAAAAACCAATCTGTTTTATTGTGTTCTTTTGGCTGAAATGGTAAGTTTAAAGGAGGCAGAACGCATTGAAGTAAATGGAATTACTAACCAGAAGCCGTATCTTCAACGTTGTCTTTGGTCTTCTTAGCAGTTTCAGTGGCTGAATCAGAAGCTTTCTTTGCAGCCTCCTTTGCATCCTCTGCTTTCAGCCGAAGTCCTTCAGAGATCTTCTCCTTAGCCCATCCTGCCCATGACTCCGATGTTTCTTTGGTCTCTTTACCCGTCTCTCCTGCCTTATCTTTGACTTCTTTTGTCTCCCCTTTCAACTCCTCAAAGTCTTCTCCTACATCTTCTCTTGACGGCATATGTCCGACGCTGGTGCAGCTACAACTAATGGCAAGCGCCATCACCATCAATGCCACCAAACCCAGAGAAACATAAACCCTAGAAGTTTGCTTCAAACCCATGATCTTATATCGAAAATGTTACTGGTTAATTATAACTATATGGAGGTTTCAACTCAGAGGATGGATAAAGTGGAAGTTGAAATGTAATTTTAAAGTCGGGGTTTTATAGTAGCAAGTAAAGACGGTGGATGAATATCGGAAATGAGGTGTGCCATGGACGTGGCAAGCTCAGATATTTGAAGTGTACATGGATCGTCCCACAAAATACCAAGTGTCAGCACGTAGCAAAAGGTACAGATGCGTGTCTTATTGGCATTTGGTACATCATGCACTGATCAAATTATGGCACGATAAACTGCAAACTGATCAGTTTTGAAAACGTGTCCTTATTTCACCTCAATCCTCTATATGAGGAATGTCATGTTGAGTTCTGGTTGGCTGTTTCAAGGAGGGCAGCAATGAGCGAGGCTTCATTAGTAATCAAATCACCTAATTCTTTGAATTTGATTTTACTTTAAATGCTTAAATGTTTTGCATATAATAGTTTAGATTTGTATTCATGGTATTTGGAAGTAATGAAAGACCAATGCTGACTTGAGTTTGGTGCNCATTTTGTGTTTTTTGATGGACCATGTGTTCAAACAACCCAAGCCCAACCCAACCTGTGTAGTAATATTTTTGTAGAACCGTCGGTCCGTCGCCACATTAATCAGTAGCAGACCCACTCATGTTAATGCTCCTTTTACAGTTGATTGTGACTTCTCATATTAAATTATTGATAGTTTAATCCAACAACAAACTTACTGAAATTATCGATAGTTTAATCCAACAACAAACTTACTGAAATACTGGAAAGATACAGACGTACGTAAGACTTGCAAACCTATAGAATCTCGAACAATAAACAAAACAAGCCTTGAAGTGTAGCAGGTTTAGAGCTCCTCATCACGACCTCTATTAGCTACATTATCTTTCAACTCTTTGGACTTGTGCTTTGTAGCTTCATAGTTTGAAGCAATGGTATCTTTAGCAGACTCTAATGTCTCCTCTGCTTCTCTAGCCTTCTCTGTTGCTTCATCCTTCGCATTACTGGCCTTCTCTTTGGTTGTGTCCTTCGCAGAACAAGCTTTATCTTTTGTTGAGTCCTTCACATTGCACGCCTTCTCTTTTGCTGCTTCTTTGGTCTCCGTGGCTGAATTTGTCGCGGAACCGAGCGTTTCCTTAGCTGCACCTGTTATGTCACTAGCCTTCTCAGTGGCTGCATCCTTCATCTCACAAGCCTTCTCCTTAGCTTTGTTGGTTATGTCGCTGGCCTTTTCCGAAGCTTTGTTGGCTCTGTCACTGGCCTTCTCCGAAGAAGTATAAATAGCATCAGTAGTCTTCTCTTTTGCTGTATTCGTCATGTCACTTGCTACATTCTTAGCATCTCTGGCTTTCTCGGCTGTGTATTTACCGGCTCCTGTCCAATATTGCAATAACTGGCATCGGTTTCTTCCAATATTGTTTACGAGAGATGAAGGTGCAGTCCATATAAAATATGGCCAACCTCATAGAGTCCAGAAGTAGGGAAACAATAATGATTTTCTCTTATGGAAAATTAAAAAGACAACGCATTTGTTTGATTATACAAAAAACCAATCTGTTTTATTGTGTTCTTTTGGCTGAAATGGTAAGTTTAAAGGAGGAAGAACGCATTAAAGTAAATGGAATTACTAACCAGAAGCCGTATATTCAACCTTCTCTTTGGTCTTCTTAGCAGTTTCAGTGGCTGAATCAGAAGCTTTCTTTGCAGCCTCCTTTGCATCCTCTGCTTTCAGCCGAAGTCCTTCAGAGATCTTCTCCTTAGCCCATCCTGCCCATGACTCCGATGTTTCTTTGGTCTCTTTACCCGTCTCTCCTGCCTTATCTTTGACTTCTTTTGTCTCCCCTTTCAACTCCTCAAAGTCTTCTCCTACATCTTCTCTTGACGGCATATGTCCGACGCTGGTGCAGCTACAACTAATGGCAAGCGCCATCACCATCAATGCCACCAAACCCAGAGAAACATAAAGCCTAGAGGTTTGCTTCAAACCCATGATCTTATATCGAAAATGTTACTGGTTAATTATAACTATATGGAGGTTTCAACTCAGAGGATGGATAAAGTGGAAGTTGAAATGTAATTTTAAAGTCGGGGTTTTATAGTAGCAAGTAAAGACGGTGGATGAATATCGGAAATGAGGTGTGCCATGGACGTGGCAAACTCAGATATTTGAAGTGTTGTGAGATCGACATGTACCGTCCCACAAAATACCAAGTGTCAGCACGTTAGCAAAAGGCACAGATGCGTGTCTTGTTGGTACATCATGCGTGGTACATCATGCACGGTACACCATGCACCGATCAAATTGTGGCACGATAAACTGCAAACTGATCAGTTTTGAAAACGTGTCCTTATTTCACCTCAATCCTCTATATGAGGAATGTCATGTTGAGTTCTGGTTGGCTGTTTCAAGGAGGGCAGCAATGAGCGAGGCTTCATTAGTAATCAAATCACCTAATTCTTTGAATTTGATTTTACTTTAAATGCTTAAATGTTTTGCATATAATAGTTTAGATTTGTATTCATGGTATTTGGAAGTAATGAAAGACCAATGCTGACTTGAGTTTGGTGCATGTTTATTGGAATCTCTGATTTTTCACATGCAGGAAGAATAATCTCCAATTTTTCAAGATTTTGCATTCCATGATATGAATTCGCAGATTAAATGAGTGCACGGACAGTGAAACAAATCAGTGGATAGTTGGAAAACATTACAAATGCTGATTACAGCTACATAACTAATTAAATAATACATCTGCTGAAAAGGGCCAACGCGCACAATGACTAGTTTGAAGATTCCACCAACATGATGAGCTATATCCTGGTGACTGGTGCCAAAACTTCTGTTTACACATTATTGAAAAAGAAGATTATGAAATTTATCAGCTTTGTTTATGTACTATACTTGGTCAATGAAATGAGAAATCTTGTTGCATTCAAAGAATATTTTCATACAAATTTCAGTGGAGAAGGCTGAGAATAACAGTGCAATGAGGCTTGAGGAAGCAAACAGGCGATTGACAGAAAGCTGAGTGAACAACTCCAGATCTCGTAAAATTGTAATGTGCAACCAATGATGCATTCAACAAAAACTTAAGCTTGTTACCACCAAAATATTAACCACTGAATAATTAATAGCAGTAAATATCACAAACTTTAAGTACGATTTTGTTAGCACATGCATTCATATAAATGGATGAGAAACTTGCTACTGACCAACATCAGGGAGCAACTTCTGATATTAATCAAATCTGACTAATAAAGTAAGCTACTGACCAACATCAGGGAGCAACTTCTGATATTACAATGGTTCCCCTGGCCACCATATGGGAATGAATCTAAGAAGCAAAAAACTACATACATCGTAAATACAAGAGAGAAGAAGGTACCAAGCAGTCTCCACCAGGTTTCTTCAAGTGTCTAACTTGCTAATGGCTCAAAATGAATGCATTGTTCTTTGATGCCAAATCTGTTGCCAACAAAGCAAAAATTGTATTTCAGTCAAAAAGGCACCCAAATAATCAAGATGTTACCAGCCAAATATGACATGCTATAAAAAAATTGTATTCATAATAGGATAAATGATATCTTGGACAAAAATATGGGCAAAGAAAGGATTGGGTGACTTTCATATGGCCTTCCCACCACCTGACAAATTATGAACAGAACACTTTTATATATGCAATGCATATATATCTTTGGAATGACAGAGGCACTATAATTCAATGTACTGAGACTGTTTAACAGTAACTGCTAAATCAATTGCTTGACAGCTATTTTAAAATGACTTAAAAATCAAAATGGCATGTAATTAGGGGTATTTATAAAAAATCTAGCCTTGGATCAGGGAATACACGGATCCAAAGTTGAATTTTCAAATTTTCAGAATAAAAGAACTCATGAGTGACCATCACCATAATTTATCATAGTTTCTACATCAATGTTGCACACAAGAGCAATGTTATATGTTTTACTAGATGAAGAGATGCAAAAGTTTAAACTCAGCAATTAACATCACTAGATTATGGATGATTTACCTCAACCCAATTCTAAAAGAATATCTGTTCTTTCCATAAACTGTAAAGAAGTCTATCCAATTTTTTTGTTCGTTTCTACTTTTATTTTTTAAATATATAAGAACCTTAAATATGAATGCAAAACCTAAAATTTTAATTTTAGAACTGTATGACCTAGTGCTTAAGTTTCACTGGAATCATAGAAATAAACATGAAATAAGCATAACCATTCATTCAAAGAGAATAGTATGCCTAAACACAAGCCAAAACTTCAAACCAAAATAATTGAGAATCATCTAGCTGGAAAAAAGTAGAGGCTAAATTACTTACATTGTCTTGACAATCTGTACTAAGAATCTTTGCATGTTTTCTTGTTGTGACCAAGACCCTTGCACTTGCTGCATTGAAGCTGCCGTTTAATTATGTCTGCTGATTCAGCCTGCTTCATCTTTGGTCGGCCTGGTGGACGTTTTGTTGGGGGTGGTGTTACAGTAACTATCTCCTGATTTGATTCACTCAGGACTGGTCTATCTATGTTTGGAACAGGGTGAATTGACTCCGCATAAGTCAAGCGGTAACTCTCAGTAGTGAAGTATCTAGAGCAATAATCATAAGAATTCCTACCAATGCATTCAAATACAGCAATAGCATGGCAGCAAGGCAAACCAGTTAACTGCCATCCCTTGCAGGTACAATCCCAATGGTCAATGTCAACAACATCAACAGAATCTCCACGGACCTCAAAAATGCTACTATGAGAGAGTAGCACTTGAAATGACCGTGAAACTGCAGTTTCCCTTTGCAACTTTTCCTCCTTAGATGGTGTTAACTTTGTTATCCACTGATTGGACTCTACACGGCGTGCATAAACTGATTCCATCATCTTACCTCGTAATACATCAATCATCTGTGTTATTGGCAGTTCATGTGCCTCTGAAACCCAACTGTAGAACTGTTGTCCAAAGTTTGATGTCATGTGGTCATACCGTGCCCCCGGAAAGAATGCATTGGCCCAATGCTCTGGCTCACTTTGTATCACCCAATCGTAAGCTTCAGGAGAGATGCCTTTTATGTTCTCAGCAGAACACTGGAAAACCTCAAGTTTTGGCGCATATGCAGCAGCATAAAAGTCATTAATCATGAATCGTCTTGCTTCATGAGAAAACTGCCCTTTTAAATCCCTATTAAGTTTCTCAGCGAGATGGCGTAAACAATAGCTGTGGTAGCACTTATCAAAAACCTCAGCCAGTGACTGCTTTAAACCATTCTGAAAATCTGCCACAAAAGTAATTTGTTGCAATGTGGAAAGTGCAGATTTCAGTTCCAGTAAGAACCAATGCCAGTTTTCTTCAGTCTCAGCATCAACCACAGCAAAGGCTACAGGAAAGATACCATCATCCCCATCTGCAGCAGTTGCAGACAACAGCATCCCTTGATATTTTGAGTTTAAAGGAGTGGTATCAAGGAAAAGGAGAGGACGACAACCTTGTTCGAAGCCGGTAATTGATGCATGAAATGAAACAAAAAGACGATGGAAGCTTGAGTCATCCTTTGTGGTAAAAGTAACAACGCTGCCAGGATTGGTCTCCTTTATCTTCTCACAGAAGTATGGCAACAGAGAATATGCATCTTTATAGGAGCCTTGAAGCTGCTCTCTCGCTATCTCTTTAGCACGCCATGCCTGAGAATAATTCAGTTGAATCCCATATTCTTTTTGAATATCATCTGCAATTTCCTTTGGCTTGTAGTTTGGGGAATTTTTCAGTTTCTCCTTTATAATGTTTCCCACCCAACCTCTAGTTGCCCGATACCCAGCTTTCACAGAAGCTCCTTCACATGTGTGATTTGAGTTCATTTTCTTGATACAGATTAATTGGGTGGTTGACAATCTTGATGCATATATCCGCCATGGACAACCTTGGCACTTGCATTTGACAGTAACACGATGACTGTCATTTTTCTTGTATCTATAAGCAAACCCATGAGCAATTGAGTACTTATGTAAAGCTTCTCGGAATTCACTAAAACTATTAAACCTTTGGTCCACACCAGTGATGGTGTTTTCCCACTGTTGTGCGGCTTTACGATTCTTGTCATCATTGAAGCCAACTGGAACAGCAAGTACAGGGATTTCCTCAGGTACATTCATATCAACCCGATCAATGGCATTGCCCATGTCAACTGCAGCATCAACAGGAGCAACAACAGGAACTACAGCTTCTGAGACAGTTGTTCTGCTTGACCTACATTATCAAGTGTCCCCATAAGATTGTAACCAAACCCCAAATCATTTCATGTAAAAGCTAGGGAAAATCATTTTGGTTCACAATCACAGCCTGTCACAATTCACACTTGCTAGAAAATGGCGTATTCAAAATTTTAGACCAACAACACCAAGCAATTACGATTTTGTGAAACTGATTGCATAACCATTTGATCTCTGTACCATGTTGTGACTGGCTGCAATTATGGACCAAACAAAACCATAGTTTTTTACGCCCATAAAAAGAAAAGAAAAAAAAGAAGCAAAAATTAAGACAGAGCCATAAATAACCACTACCTACTAGCAGGCATATTCGAGACGTTTCGAGCTGCAGCCTCCTCAGACAGGATGAAGAGATCGACCGTCACAGTGTCCCCAAGAAAATTAAGCATGCGCTTGAAGTCCTTGTCTTTAGATATGCTGATAAGAGTCTTCTTGTTCCCAGGAAGAAAGTATTTAATAGACATGGTATCAACACTACAATTAAACATCTCAGCTACTTCTGCCTTAAAATCACTCAACTCTGTTTGCTGATCAATGTCTATTGCATATGCTTCGCCCCCGTTATACGTCAATGATCCATCTTTATTCGTTACAAACTCACCACCCGATTGACAGATAGCTATAATTTTCTTTGTGGCCATTCCCTCCACAAACGCTAACAAAACAAAAATAATAACAAATTTAAATTTAACACTTGCAAAGCAGATATGGATTCATTCAAAACTACAAATTTTAAGCGAGAACATTGATGATAGAATCACAAAAATATATAACTTGCAATAATGAAGCATGAAAATCTCAGTAATAAAAAAAAATAAAAATACCCAAGAGAAAAGGATAATAGCTTATCGAAAACCCTAATGTTCAAACGATTTACAGATACAAAGCCACCGACAAACCCTTAAAAAAATTTACCTCTTTATTATTTTCAAGCCAGGCCGAATTCAAAGGAGGCTAAAATTCAAAATTTTGGTTTAGATTGAAGTGAATAATGTGTAACTTTATTTCCTGTCTCAGTCTCACCGTAGGAATAGGGGAAAAATGAGAGCCCTAGAATTAGAACCCGAGAGAGACTAAAAACGTCTACGTTTTGATGAGCCGTGGATTTCTCGGTTTTGCAAGTGGGCCCATCATCTTCTTAGTGGCTACTGCTAGTCAGAATCAAAGTCCAGTCAGACAACCTCCACAGTTACACGTGTCTTTTGGGTTTTTGATGGACATTACCCAACAGACAAAACACCTGGCCCACAAAAACGTCATTTAATTTGCCTTATGTTACCCTCTCCCCTCGGGCCACTTGGTTAAGTTCTTTCATAAGTTTCGTTTACAGAACTATGCACTATAGGAAGGGAGCTTTAGGTTTTTGCTTCAAAGATGAACGCTCACGACACTGGTTTTGTTTATATAAGAGATTTGGGTAACTATTTGGACCACAAAGTTAATGTCTTAGGTGTTGTTTTGGAGTTTAGTCTACCAAGAAAGAGCAGAGGAACTGGTATTTTTGCTTTCTCTTTCTCTTTCTTTCTCTTTTATTTCATGTGTTTTCTGGTTTTCTTTCATTGGTTTCAAGTAATGTAACGTGTGGTGGTGTTGGTGTTTCATAGATTTTGTTTCGACATTGAAGCTTATTGATGAATCACAACAAAGTCCTGAATTTTCAGTTAACATCTTCACTAAGACTATTGATCATCTTCCCCATGTTAGGTCCTATGGGGACTTGATTCTCCTGAAAAATGTTACGGTACGTCTTTTATCTCTATCTCATGCTTTAAGGAACTAAGTTTGACTTATATTGTTTTCCTAGATTAAAGCTTTATTTGATTTTGCTATGTTGTTGAGTACAATGTTTTTCTGTCTTTGATTTGCTTAATTAAAAACAAAGGGACATCTTTTATTAGTGGGTAATGGTGTATTTTATGTTAATTTGGCTAAGATGGTAGCATGCATTTTTGCAGATAAAAACATATGAGGGGCAAGTTTCTGGTGTTTTCTACAAGGATTCCTCATCATTTGCTTTATTTGATGGAACACCTAGCACAGAAGCTGTTTTGTATCAATCTTCTCCAAGATTTCTTCTACTAGATTTTGAAAAGGATTTTATTAGTCATTTAAGCCAATTGTTTGATGGTGTTCAATTCAGTTCAGGTACAGTCTCATCATCTTCCAAATTTTGCCATATTTTCAATTGTCTATATTTGTGCTTTTGGTGGTGTTTTGGTGAATGGACTAAACACTACGCTCTTTTCATTGTGCTTGATATGAATTCATATATAGCAAGTTCAATAACTGTTCACTTCGATACTGAGTAAGCTTTCCCTTTAATTATGTGTTGTAGGATCAAGTGAATATCTTCTTAAGTTGAAGAATATCCCAGAAAAGACTTGTTTTGACTTGGTATGCAAGGTAATTTGAATTATTACAGTGTTACATGAAATATTTCCATTGACTCAGTTTAGTTGAGATTTTATTTTCTGACAAGCTTTAAAAGCTTTAAATTAAGGATAGAATCCCCAATTTTTGTGTTCCTTTTCTTTTGTGTGACAGGTTTTGCATATCTCCTATGATGCCCATAAGGATGTGTGGATGCTTTTTGTATGGGATGGAACTGATGTTCCCCCATTAAATTTACATGGAAAGTAAGGGCGTATCCCTTGTTCTCACTTTTTAGTTCTAATAGTTCAGTCTTACAATTTGGGGACGATAGCCATATTAAAGAAAGCGTAGAATTGAATTTTCTTTCGTTAAACACTTTCTTTGTCAATTTCCTTAAGGATGATATCTTTGTTATCATTAAATAATAAAGAAGGAATAATTGTTGATGTCGCCCACCATAAGAAAGAATGCAAAATTGCTTGATATGATTGGAATTATAAATGCAGAGGGAAAAACTGACTTTTGGTCCTATTTTGTATATCTTCTACCTTGTTTTGCTTGAAAAAACAAAAAGGACATTATGTGGTTTTCTGATCTCTTTGGAGATATTACCTATTATCAATGTAGAAAAAACTTGACCAGATTGTGAGGTATTTCTTGTTTCTTGAAGATCAACTGTTGACAAATTTTTCCCTCTGGAAAAGTCTTAATTTCAATTGGAAAGTTCATTCAGTTTGCAAATACTCTGAATTGCTTGTTATGGAAGATACATATAATATATTGCTATATTATTTAAATTATTTTGTGATTTGATAACTGCCAAAAGAATAAAACTATGTGCACTAATTAATGGGTACTAATCCAAGTACTAACATTGGAAATTTGAAATTCCCTCCAAAAAAAAATTTTAAACTTTCAATGTTAGTACTTAAATTAGTACACATGGGTTAGTGCACATAGCAATACGCCTGCCAAAATCTGACATGTGATAATTGTTTGTATGTTGTTGCCTTGTTTAAGTAACAGCTAAGAAGAGCTAATACATATTATTTGTATGTCTCAGACTTGAGGATGAAAAACAGAATCCCCTTCCCCTGCAAATTGAATCTGTTCCTCTAGACCATAATATTCTTCGCCAATTTCAACCAATTGGGACTGTGCTAAGAATCATGGCTGACAAAACCCATGAAAATCTTGACAAACATTTCAGGGCTGTTGGCAAATGGGTGAGATTGCTTGATGTAACTGGTCAAATTTCATCAGGAATCTGGCATGGATTTTTAAAACCTTCTGCTAGAGTTCGTTTTCTTTCTGACGACAACAATGTTGTCTTGGATTTGCATAGGTAGTTTATGCTTACTATTGATTTCGCAGATAAAAAGTTCTCTCTGTCTATGCTCTTTTTCATTTTTCATTTTTTACTCAGGGACTACAATGAGCGAATTTTTGAGAATAATGGTCATTTGCCGCAATGGAGCAAGTCTTCTCATTTTTTGACTGGTATTTAATTGTTTGAAACATAGTTAATTTGACTGGCATAAAACTTTGTTGCTTATTTCAATTCTCTTTGGCATTTCAGTGATTGATTTGGAGGACATCACGTTCGTGACATTGATGGATGTTATTACAAATGCCAAGGTACCGTAGGCATTTTCTTAAGCATTAATAATCTTTCATAGTATTTCTTTTATGATTGATTTGCTTTATCCTTACAGTTGAATGCTAGCTTCTGTTGTATTGTTCGTGTAGTAGCAAGCTATCCATCTGAAGCTGATGACTTCAGATCACCTTACTGTCCGAGTGCAACTAAGATGAGATTGACATTAGAGGACCCAACAGCAAGAATCCATGCCTTTCTACGTGGTGATGAATGGGTATTACTCTAGTTAATTTGATGTTTTTGCACAAAGCCACATAATGTTGCACAATTGAAGTATATATTGTGACTGGATTGTTAAATAATAATAACAGATGAAATTTTTTGATGGCTCCCCTATTGATGTTTTCACTACCAAACTAAATATGCTACTTGGTATGCCGGAACGTCAGTATGGCAGTAATGATGGTGAATTTTCAAGGAGTCCGCCATGGATACAATGTTGCATAGAAGTGAAGAGAAGTGCTAATGGAAGGCGTAAGCGTTATTATATTTGTTCCACTAGGATTGTGACTCAGTAGCCCTTTGATAGTATAAATTACGTTTTTTGATAATCAAAATATGCAGAAGAGTGTAACAGAGTGTATAATATCACAAGTTTTTGATGGTGATCCTTGCAAGCTTAATATATATATCAAGTGTTGTAAATAATGTGGTTGTAAATATAAGAAAATCTTGTGCTATGTTTTGTTGATAAAATTTAATTGTCTAAACATTGGATTTTGCTTTATTTACGTTGTGTATCTCCATACTAAAAGGATGATGAACAATCTCAACTTCTTGGCATTGCCCTTAAATCTTCATTTTCAGAATAACCATTGTAAACTTACTAGATTATTATTAGTTTCTTCTAATGAATGAGATCTCATGGAATCAAGTCCATTTGACAAGGATTCTGATTCACAGCTGTGGGCAAATAATGTATATGTGGGGTGTTGTACAGAATGTACTTGGACGACAGATGATTCAAGCAACACAGAAGAAATTGTTTTGAATGTCTACCCATTTCATAAGAAATTAAGAATTCACCCCTAAGAAGGATTGATCTTGAAGAAATTTTCCATGAAAACAGGAATAAGCTAGTAGAAATGAAAAATGAAAATCTTTTGTAAAACTTCATATTCTATTATCTTGAAAATACCACCATAGTGGTGCAGTTAACCAACCAATTGGGTATAGTTTACTTTCTAATACACTGAAACAATCTCTTGTTATGGTTCTTGTTTGGTGACATCACCAGCCCAGCAATGGAAAATTGGAAATGGCTTCAAACAGAGAAATTCAATCTGAATAAGAAAAACGACACCGTTAAAGCAAAGATTATGAGAGGGATATTATTAATTAGGGTACAAACTTTTGCAATGGAAGGACAGAAGTTATAAATCTTTCAATTAAGGTGAAAAATAAACAGAACGACACCGTTTTTTAATGAGGTACGATGGGTTTTGAAAATCGTTTCTTTCCTTCTTTCTTTCTCGCTGATGAGCAATAACCAATTATATCCAGTTTCCTTAAACAACTGAAGTTCATCTGTACTGTGTAAAAAGAAAGGATTTTTGAGATGAGTTATGGAGTAGTAGGCCTTCCTTCGCCTCTATACCCAAATGGGCATCCTTCCACATCCCAAAAGCAGGTAAGTATCAAACAAAACTAAACAAATATCTGTTTTTTTTTTTTTTTGTGCAAATGATATAAAAAGCTTTTTGTGCTTGTGTTTTTTAGCAGAATGGTGGGTGTTTGGGCATAGAGGATCCTATTAATACATTCAAACCTCCCAGTGATGATAATTCTCCTGGGTTTAAGTGGCGTTTGGTCATTGCATATGATGGCACCCGTTATGCAGGTTCTTTCTGCTTATATTGTCATTTTCTATTGAAAACTTACTGCTTTCGTTATAACTTTTGCTTATAACTATTTGATGAACAAGGAGAGATTTTAGAGTAAGGATAGATTAACCATTGTTGATGATGAGTACATTAGTTTCTTTTGAAGACAGAAGCACCTGAAACTCATTTACTGGTACTGACATATAAGCCGATTAAGAAGGATAAAAGCTAAAACAGAATAAGAGATGGAAGTTTAGTAAAAATTATTGAAGAAATCAACTCTTTAGTTGATTTCATCTCTTCTAATTTGTATAGTGGCATTTATGAGGTTCTAGATTTATAATGCTTGGCCTAGAATTATTAATCTGGAATTTAATTAAAATGAAGTGACTGCTGTTAGCCATCAATTTAGGCAATGGTAACAAGGTTCCAAGAGCAGCTTGATAAATAATTAGGGATTTTGAATTTGTAACTTCTGCTGCCTTTTGAAAATTTATCTCAGGATGGCAGTTTCAGACGTCACCACCAACCATACAATGCATTGTGGAGAAAGCTTTAATTCGAGCTACGAAGCTTGAACGTAAAGATCTTTTGTTAGTTGGTGCTAGTAGGACTGATACAGGAGTTCATGCTTGGGGTCAGGTGTGACTTTCTTACTTTGTGATGATTCAACAAGTATCTTTGACAAAAACAGGAAGAAACTCACATCCCGTTAAGCTTTCAGGTGGCGCACTTCATTACACCTTTCAATTATGACAGCTTGGACAGCATTCATGCAGCTCTAAATGGTCTTCTTCCTTCTGATATCCGTGTTAGGGAGATTAGCCCTGCTGTGCCGGAATTCCATGCCCGGTTTTCAGCAAACAGCAAGGTTTACCACTACAAAATTTATAATGATGCCGTCATTGATCCATTTCAGCGCCATTACGCTTACCATAGTGTTTATAAACTGAACACTGCTTTCATGAGAGAAGCTGCAAAACATTTTATTGGAAAGCATGATTTTTCTGCATTTGTCAATGCATCACGCAATGATCGAGTGCCAAATCCTGTGAAAACTATCTTTCGCTTTGATGTTATTGAAATGGTAATTGTTGACTTCCACAACAATGATTCTTCGGAAGTTGGAGTGAAGATTTATTTTGTGCTCCTAATTGAATGGACTGTTCCATCCTAGATAATATACTTGCTAAATTTTTGTATCTGATATTAATTTTAAGGCTCAAGAGTTTATGACTGATTATTTCATTGTGCCTTCGTTTAGGGAGCTCTTTTGCAGCTAGAAGTTGAAGGCTCGGGTTTCTTATATAGACAAGTGCGAAACATGGTAAATTATTCACACCTTTTCCAAATAAAAGAGTTAATGATTAGTTATTATGCATCTTACCGATTTTAATCTCCAACCATTTGATGAATGAAGTTGATGGTAATTGACTTAAGCTTGCTGAATAAATGCATATGTTTTCTGGAAGTTTATGAGTTAGTTTCAATTTGCAGGTTGCTTTGCTGCTTCAAATTGGAAAAGAAGCAATTCCTCCTGATATTGTTCCGAAGATTCTGGCAACTCGAGATCGCAGGGAGCTTGCTAAATATGCTTTGTCTGCCCCACCTCATGGACTCTGTCTTGTAGCCGTTAATTATAATGAAGAGCACCTACGGCTTCCGGCAGGTTGCCCCACAGCTAGTTTTGGTAGGCGTCATAGTATAAGCAAATGTAAGCTTCCGTTCTATTAGCTAATTGTGTTGTTCAGTGCCAACAGTAACTGAAAAGGGGGGAGTAGGAAAATATAATCCAATTGAAAATAACAGAGTAGAGATCATCCTTGTTGGAGATTAAAATATGCTGTTGTATGAACACTTAAATTTCAATGTAGCAATTCATTTTTTGGTTTAAACGTTGCATCATACTTCCTCTATCAGACATCATCAGATAGTATGGTCTCTCTAGCTTTTGAACCATGTAGGTTCTTTATTGCTCATTTTTCGAATTTAGAACAAAGGAGTAGAGTTCTATGCGAGCCTGATCTCTATTTTGTGTCCTAATTTACACAAGCTGCCTAAACAATGTTAACCCTTGTGATCTAGATGAGCATGCATGCATACATATTGATTCAGAATATCAAATCTTTAGAATGTACCGTATTCAATTGCACAGAAGGTTTCTCCAACATTTCACAGAAAGCTGGCTGTTCGCTGAAGCATTTGGTATTTATATTTGTAAATCAAATATATGTTTCTCATAAGCACATTAATCATACTCGATCACTTAAATATTCTTAGGAGAGCCCACTTCTGGCTGGCTGGTAGAAAGTTTTGAGTTATTATTCAAGAGACATGGTGAGACATGAATGCAAAGCTCTAATACATTACCACCATAACTCATTGTTACAGTTTACCTGCATAACACTTTTAAGGTTTACTCGAGTCCAGCACAGTATAACTTTCACTATGAGAAGTAATATGGTCATAGAAACTGAAGGGCTCTGAACCCTAATATGAATCCATCACAGTTAACCATTCCAGTACCATGGAAGTTGTCAAATGGTGAACAAGAAATTAGACACCGATCAATTCAATTTTATGTCTCAAAAAATCTAAGCTCTATCATAAATTCTTGTTGCTTTGGGGAATACCAAGCAACAGCCTTTGCTGAACCAAGGACCTGCAATGCATATTCAATGGCAAACACTGAGTCATTGGCGCGAATGTCTCTATTCTTCAAATCAATTTTAACTCCCGAATCAACTCTGAAACTGAAAGGCCCAGCAATCTGCATGAAGAGCAGGAAAATATTTATCAATTGTCCCAAAATGCCAAAGAGAGAAAAGGAGAATTTTCTAAAATGTAAACCTAAAGCACTTGATGTCAAACAAAATAAATTAAATCATCCAAAACTATCTACAACCAAAATATAGACATAAAAAAAGTTTTTTTTTTTTTTTTTTTTTTTTTTTTCTAATTTTAAAAAACCAAGTACAGAGTAAATGCTTGAAAAATACTGACATATAAGCCGATTGAGAAGGATAAACGCTAAAACAGAATAAGAGATGGAAGTTTAGTAAAAATTATTGAAGAAATCAACTCCTTAGTTGATTTCATCTCTTCTAATATGTATAGTGGCACTCATGAGGTTCTAGATTTATAATGCTTGGCCTAGAATTTTTAATCTGGAATTTAATTAAAATGAAGTGAATGCTGTTAGCCATCAATTTAGGCAATGGTAACAAGGTTCCAAGAGCAGCTTGATAAATAATTAGGGATTTTGAATTTGTAACTTCTGCTGCCTTTTGAAAATTTATCTCAGGATGGCAGTTTCAGACGTCACCACCAACCATACAATGCATTGTGGAGAAAGCTTTAATTCGAGCTACGAAGCTTGAACGTAAAGATCTTTTGTTAGTTGGTGCTAGTAGGACTGATACAGGAGTTCATGCTTGGGGTCAGGTGTGACTTTCTTACTTTGTGATGATTCAACAAGTATCTTTGACAAAAACAGGAAGAAACTCACATCCCGTTAAGCTTTCAGGTGGCGCACTTCATTACACCTTTCAATTATGACAGCTTGGACAGCATTCATGCAGCTCTAAATGGTCTTCTTCCTTCTGATATCCGTGTTAGGGAGATTAGCCCTGCTGTGCCGGAATTCCATGCCCGGTTTTCAGCAAAGAGCAAGGTTTACCACTACAAGATTTATAATGACGCCGTCATTGATCCATTTCAGCGCCATTACGCTTACCATAGTGTTTATAAACTGAACACTGCTTTCATGAGAGAAGCTGCAAAGCATTTTATTGGAAAGCATGATTTTTCTGCATTTGTCAATGCATCACGCAATGATTGTGTGCCAAATCCTGTGAAAACTATATTTCGCTTTGATGTTATTGAAATGGTAATTGTTGACTTCCACAACAATGATTCTTCAGAAGTTGGAGTGAAGATTTATTTTGTGCTCCTAATTGAATGGACAGTTCCATCCTAGATATATATACTTGCTAAATTTTTGTATCTGATATTAATTTTAAGGCTCAAGAGTTTATGACTGATTATTTCATTGTACCTTCGTTTAGGGAGCTCTTTTGCAGCTAGAAGTTGAAGGCTCGGGTTTCTTATATAGACAAGTGCGAAACATGGTAAATCATTCACACCTTTTCCAAGTCAAAGAGTTAATGATGAGTTATTATGCATCGTACCGATTTTAATCTCCAACCATTTGATGAATGAAGTTGATGTTAATTGACTTAAGCTTGCTGAATAAATGCATATATGTTTTCTGGAAGTTTATGAGTTAGTTTCAATTTGCAGGTTGCTTTGCTGCTTCAAATTGGAAAAGAAGCAATTCCTCCTGATATTGTTCCGAAGATTCTGGCAACTCGAGATCGCAGGGAGCTTGCTAAATATGCTTTGTCTGCCCCACCTCATGGACTCTGTCTTGTAGCCGTTAATTATAATGAAGAGCACCTACGGCTTCCGGCAGGTTGCCCCACAGCTAGTTTTGGTAGGCGTCATAGTATAAGCAAATGTAAGCTTCCGTTCTATTAGCTAATTGTGTTGTTCAGTACCAAAAGTAACTGAAAAGGGGGGAGTAGGAAAATATAATCCAATTGAAAATAACAGAGTAGAGATCATCCTTGTTGGAGATTAAAATATGCTGTTGTATGAACACTTAAATTTCAATGTAGCAATTCATTTTTTGGTTTAAACGTTGCATCATACTTCCTCTATCAGACATCATCAGATAGTATGGTCTCTCTAGCTGCTGAACCATGTAGGTTCTTTATTGCTCATTTTTCGATTTTAGAACAAAGGAGTAGAGTTCTATGCGAGCCTGATCTCTATTTTGTGTCCTAATTTACACAAGCTGCGTAGACAATGTTAACCCTTGTGATCTAGATGAGCATGCATGCATACATATTGATTCAGAATATCAAATCTTTAGAATGTACTGTATTCAATTGCGCAGAAGGTTTCTCCAACATTTCACAGAAAGCTGGCTGTTGGCTGAAGCATTTGGTATTTATATTTGTAAATCAAATATATATTTCTCACAAGCACATTAATCATACTCGATCACTTAAATATTCTTAGGAGAGCCCACTTCTGGCTGGCTGGTAGAAAGGTTTGAGTTATTATTCAAGAGACATGGTGAGACATGAATGCAAAGCTCTAATATATTACCACCATAACTCATTGTTACAGTTTACCTGCATAACACTTTTAAGGTTTACTCGAGTCCAGCACAGTATAACTTTCACTATGAGAAGTAATATGGTCATAGAAACTGAAGGGCTCTGAACCCTAATATGAATCCATCACAGTTAACCATTCCAGTACCATGGAAGTTGTCAAATGGTGAACAAGAAATTAGACACCGATCAATTCAATTTTATGTCTCAAAAAATCTAAGCTCTATCATAAATTCTTGTTGCTTTGGGGAATACCAAGCAACAGCCTTTGCTGAACCAAGGACCTGCAATGCATATTCAATGGCAAACACTGAGTCATTGGCGCGAATGTCTCTATTCTTCAAATCAATTTTAACTCCCGAATCAACTCTGAAACTGAAAGGCCCAGCAATCTGCATGAAGAGCAGGAAAATATTTATCAATTGTCCCAAAATGCCAAAGAGAGAAAAGGAGAATTTTCTAAAATGTAAACCTAAAGCACTTGATGTCAAACAAAATAAATTAAATCATCCAAAACTATCTACAACCAAAATATAGACATAAAAAAAGTTTTTTTTTTTTTTTTTTTTTTTTTTTTCTAATTTTAAAAAACCAAGTACAGAGTAAATGCTTGAAAAACAAATTGGCAGCAGCTTTCAAAACCAATGATGGCGATTCTGCAGTTAACCTCCAACAACCAGCAACATTTATCTTTAAATTTTGTGACAGTGCAGTCAAACAGAAATAAAGTAACATAACCAACATGCATTTAATTATTTTGATTAATTTGTGTTTCCATCTCTTCTTCACGTTACCCTTAGCCAAGCAGTAAAGTATTTTGCCAATACGGAGATATGAACATGGGAGATTCTAAAAGAAATGGAGGTACCTGTTGCTGAACAGAAACAAAGACATCAGGGCAAACTGCCTGAATTGTATCCAAACATGGCTGTTGGGAATTGAGAAAGTCCTGTGCTAAGCGTGTGGCACCATAAAGAAATTTTGAACCAGAAGGAAAATCCAAGCGAGTATGAAATCGGGTAAGATCTGAAAATAGTCTCTGGAAGGTCCCATGTTGGGCTGTGATTGCTAAAGATGCAAAACTATCTGCTAGAAGGGTTGATTTTATAGCAGGTGCATGCATATGAAACCCTCTAAATCCCTCTGAATCGCCTTCTACTTGGGATCTAATTGCATTCTCTCCAACAGAGGCAGTCATAGTAGCACCTGTAAAAAAAGATTATTTCTAAGGACTGACCATCGTTGTGTATGCATTCAAAAAACCTCTAGAATGCTAAAACAGTACATAGAAGTATTAATAAGCATGTTATTGATAATGAGTAAAAACATTAGTCCCCAAGTCTACAAAACCTTCCAATTAAGCTCTCACGTGATGCAAGTGCAATGTTAATTTCTACAATCAAGGCCAAGAGTGCAGCTCACATGATGAGGATTAAAGAAAACAAGTAATATTATGCTCATAATTAGTGCAACCATATAAACTAAGAGAAAAAGAGGCCAAAATTTTACCAATGATCCCAGAAGCTGAAACGTGAGGCTCTGAAAGGAACATGTCATAAGGCTGCACCATCTTCAACTTCTGGGATTTACTTCTCCAAATATCGACATTCGCCTTATAAGAAAAAGCAGTTTTCAAAGAGAAACCAGGATGTAAAGAAGGTGGAACTGCAGGGGTATTCTCATCACCCTCAAACGGGTGTGGCGAACCAGCATTATGATGCATTGTGAAATGATAACTTGGACCCGAATCTGAAGGAAGTGAAGCCAAATCAACAGCCATGGAAAAGGGCACATCCCAATAGTCACTAGACTTGTCCACAAAAAGTCCAGGCCAAACAGCCTCCACCGTCAAATCATGATACGGGAACTGAGAGCAAAAATAAAAATAAACAAATTAAGACAAAGGCTAACATATTAACGAGTAGTTATGGAAAAATATGATCGCAAAAATACTTGCCTTGTGATGAAAGACAGCTTTTTTCCGAGTGGTATCATTATGACCATATGAATCAAAGCTAACAAGAAGAGTATCATCAGGTGTTAACAAAAACTCAGAACAGAAACCAAATGCATACAATGACTTATCACGAAGTGCTTGCAACCAAGTGGATTTGGAGTTTGGATCCTTAACAGCAGATACAAACTTGTGCAAATTGAACTGACCCAGCAAAGCAGTAAACCTGCATATAACTTAAAATAACACTAAACATCAAACACAATAATACTAAAATGGAATGACTGAATAGTAATAGTGAAGTGAGAGGAGAAAGGGGAATAAAAAGAAATGGTTACCAGTTATTAGAAAAGGGGATGGTGAGGACACGCTGAAGAGTGAAGTTAGGGGCGGAAAAAGAGGGAACCAAAGGGGTGGCCATGAAACGCTGGAAGAAGTCGATTTGTTTGGGTCGGGAGAGTCGGGTGCCTCTAGAGAGACCTAATGGAAGTGGGTTTAGAGAGAGTGGACGAGCAGTGGCTTCGATGGTCTTGGGAGTGGACCTGTCCAGCTCCCAAACGTCTCCCTCCATTGCCCATCTCAGCTTCTTCATTCTTCACCCAATTCAATTTCACTCAATCACCCATAAATAACTCTCCTCTTCTTTGTGTTTAGTTTTATCTCATCGCCTGGCTAATGTTTAAGCTTTGCTACTGCGATTGCGAAACGTTTTGTTTGCTTTCCTCTTGAAATTACCGAAACGCAAGAAAAGGCTTTCAACTCGCCTTCAGAACATGAACGCTGCCGTTTTGATGCAAATTTTTTTTTTTATTTTGGGGCTTTTCTCGACCTCTTCTGACTTCTAAGTCTAATCAAATAACAAAAGGCTCCTTGAAATTTCGGCTCCGTCTGGTTTTTAATAATTTTTAGAATAATAGTTTAAAAAAAAGTAAAATTAGATGGGCATTACGTTGTAGGATTTAAAAATTAACAAAAATATATTTCTATGTTTGTTTATTTACTAAACACCCCTATAATAAAATATTAAAAATTAACAAAAATACTCCTAATCTATCCATTATATACGAACAGCCGGCTACTATCGTCAGAGTTGCTGTATCAATGCACGACTAGTTAGATCTGGTCTGTCATGTGCTAATCTGGCTTTTTCCGAAAGGCCAGATCCACGACTACTGGCCGCATTTGGTTGTCGTTGACGATTGGCTACGACCAAAGATCTAACTGTTGATGGCCAGATCTTTGGCCGTAGATCTGACATTTTTCAGTCAGATCCACCGTAGATCTGGTCGAAAAAGGCTGGATTGGCGTACTACCGGCCAGATTCAGCTGATAGTACACAATTATACCAGATTCTGACCAACTTCTGACGATGGTGGCCGAAATATGGTAAATGTGGGTTGTTGAGGTGTTTTTGTTAGTTTTTAAATTTTTTTGGGGTGTTTAGTTAAGTTAACAAATTTAGAGGTTTTAAAAGAAATTAAAAAATATAGAATAATATTTTGAGAATAATAGAACTAAAGATCAATTTTCTGTTTAACTTGATTGAGAAAACCAGAATAATATTTTAAAGAGTATACAAAAAAGAGCCTCAGAAATTCTCATATATTTACTTAATCATTAGTGTACCATTAGGATTTATACTTTATAGTGTGTAGGTTAATGAAGATTAACTTAACTACCCCTCTCCGTTTATTTTAATACCAAAAAAATAAATTTTTATCATTTCTCTTATCACAAGGGGATTTTTGTTTATTCAATCATAGCTAAGGATGATTATTATTATTCATCTACTTGTATGTCTAAATTGATTCTCCAACAATTCTTCCCTTGTTGGGCTGATGTAAACTGAATTAAATAGCTCAAAATCTACCTCAATTATCATATTTCTAACCAGGCAATGATTAGGTTGACCAGTAGATGAAAACAACAACAACAAATACATTTCCAGAAGAAAATTGGGAATCCGATCTTCATGATATCAATATACAAAAAGAGATAAGTTGGAGATATAAGGTGACAAATCCTTGTTTACATAGCAAATGGGTCTCTAGGAGCAATACAATCTTTTCTACAAGAGAAATATACAACCTCAATGTTGTTGGTGGTCTTGCAGCAGGCTTCTCCACCTTGTTTAGCCTCAAGTGCCCACTTGAAAATGGATCATCATCTACCCGTCAAACCAGTTTCAACAAATGAAAGCCGAAAAACTTCACATGAATCACATCTGCAATCATGAAAAAATCATATTGTATTATATGGACTCAGAATGAATGTGAGGTGTTGTATCACTTTTGTTTCTCAATGTCATCATCTCCCATTCGAAATTTTTCAAAAGAACTGATAAGAAAATGCAGCTCTTGCCAAAGGAAGCACATTCAACACCCAAACTGCTATTGCTGATCTTGAATCTTCAAAGAGACCAGTTCATTTTCTTCTTGTGGATTTATAAGCCTCGAACTATTAGGTAACCATCTTCGAAATCTGTCAGGCCAGAACCTAAGAGGAAATTCTTCAGTCAGAATACCAAATATGAAAATGATTAATGAGAAAGAAATGCAATAACCAAAAACTATAAAACAGCGACAAATAAAATTACCAATTGCAACTTTTCAAATAAATATGAAGTGATAAATCATGATAATTGATCGTAGGCTACAATTAGAAACAATATCAGTGAGATAATGGAAGACAACACTAGCACACTTATTTTGGCACTAATGAGCTATGACACTATGTAGTCACCTTAAAGGTCATTAAATATGGTAGTCCCTGACTCCCTGCACATAGCTAAGAACTGTTTGAGACTATCAATGAGATAGTGTCAACCACACTTGACATACTTCAAGCGCTAATAAACTAGCAGGGAAATAAGTTAACATATAGTGGTCTAGATAATACAATATAGAGATGCTTTCAATGTCATCTAAATGATAATCCAGTAGATGACTTTACAATTTCTTGAGACATGATTTAGTCCAAAGGGAAAAAAGATGAAGAAGAATTTGCAACTCACAAATCCAGTCTTTCACATATTGCCCGCCGCACCGAAGCATTAAGCCCATATGCTATTGAGTTAAACAGACCCTAAAACAAATAATCAGCAAAAAATAAAATCAGTTTCCATATATGCAAAAAATGGTAAATTACATGGCATGCAGTAATAGTCATAAAATTGGTTTCGTTAGAGAATTACATGCAACCCACAATTATTTATGTATCACATATTTAATTCATAGAATATATGTCCGGGAACCTCTTGGTTCAGTGTCAAGTACACAAATGAGTACAATAAGTGAAATAAAGAACCATTGTTCCCTTCCCAGATTTAATATGATACAATACAAATATGTGAAATGTGATCAGGAAAACTTTTTTCACACAAAAAATGTCCCGGAACCCCTTCGTTCCTATCCAAGTACACAATTGAGTAAAACAAAGATTTTGCCTTCACTAATACCATCCTTCAGCTCAATATTGTTTCTACTAGAAAGAAATCACGACTTATAGTCAATCTGAGGCAAAATCCTAGTGCCATTGAGATGCATACACACTAACAAACAAAATCTAACTATAAAGACTGTCATACTTCAAGAAATGTAACAGAATATCAATGAAAGATAAACCAAATAGAATCAGAGTGTATATCATAGCAAGTTACCATAAGTGCAGCTGTCCCAACATCAAGAAATGTGAGCCAAAATATTTTGTGGCCTGGTTCAATGAAATCATGAATCCGGTTGATTGTGCCAAATGCCCATGATCCTATTAAAATGAGTGGATAATATCCCCATCTGTTCAAAGCCTACAAAAAAAAAAAAAAAAAAAAAAAAATACACACACGAAACAAAAATGAGATCACGAACAAAGGTAAGAGGACCATGCATTATATTTACTTTAACATGGTTTCCTTCATGTGTAAGAATACCAAAACTTTAAGTAGAGAGATTAGAATCTCAAGATATGACCATGTTTCTCAGGCTTATATATATATATATAATAAGTCAGTATCCACCAGAAACAAGACAAACACAAATTGGAAAAAAAGAAGAAAAAAGATTGAAGACAAGTGAAAGGAATGAACAAGAACTTTGATGACACAAACTGAAGACATGCAAGATTCATTCACTATACAAGTATGCATGATATCACTGGCATGGGGATTCTAGAAATTGAAATAACAGACATAGACAGAGTCATTCAATTTAGCACAACCTATTTCATTTTAATATGCTTATATCTCTATAACATGTCAATTATCTCGTTTAAGTTAAACAATTTGCATACCTTCATATCAAATTGATATGCTCGGTCTGACATGCCCACCGCCATCTGAAATATCCAGCAGCAGGATAAGTGCAGCCTTGACAGTTAATGAATGACTCGCAACATAAGTTTGCCCAAAAAAGAAAAAAAAGGGAAAATAATAGATTCTTGAATACATACACGTGTTACGTTGTTCAACATGCGTATCACTTGAAAATATGTAAAACCATTGTACAGAATTGCACTCCAAAGCGGCGCATAAAAAGTTATAAAGTGAACTGCCTGCAGAATTAGTAAACAACAAACTTGTCAATTATATCAGAGATCAAAACTGCACAATGCAAAACCACTCTTGGCAATCACAACCTTTCATGTATAATTATTGAAAGAAAAGTGTCATACACCTTAAGTCTAATGAGTCCTTGTACATGAAGACTACCTAATTTGAAAAAGGTTCAACAATATTCCCATATCCAGAAAGCTGAATAGAAAAAAAGAGAGCGGTAACTAAAACTACTCTGCACTTACCTTTCCAGTTCGCCCGGTTTGTGTCCAGCACAATACACCTAAATGTCTATGGTCATTACCAAAAGAGCGTATGACAGTCATAACCAGTGAAGTTCCTGTGAGAAGTATCAACCTCAAATCAGCTTCAGAGATAACCATGGTTACCAGAATTGAAAAAAAATTTAAGAGAAAGGTTATCAGATAGTGTCGAAAATTATTTGCCACAGCCAAAAACATACCCCAAACATACAAGTGAAACATGGCTTCTAAATCTTCAACATCGGTTTTGTGTCTAACGACAGTACGATGAAGAGTAAAGGCAATGACAGTAGTCCACAGGAAAGATGCCACACAAAAGAAATGTGTGCTATATCCCTGAGCAGAACAAAAGAATCCTTTGGACGGATCCCTGCATCAACAGTAGATAAACTGTTCACTTCACATGAAGATTTTTTTTTTTCTTCTAAGTTTTAATAAAAAGGGTACAAGAAACTGGTTGCAGTTAAGTTTAAGACTCATTACCCTACTATGCCGAAGAAACTGCAAAGCATGTCCTGTAGTCGAAAAAAAGGAAAATGTAAGGAGGGAGGTTATTTCAATCAAAATGCAATTTTATCGATACTGAAGATTAAATAATTTTATGTCCTTGAAAAATGTAGTTAGTAACTGCAAAAGAGTAAGATCCAAATCAAGTGATTGATGAAGTTATCGATTAACAAATAAATATCAATAGATCTAAGGTGAAATTTCATGGATGCAGTAAATATCTGGAAAAAAAGAATGCAAAAGACAGAGAGAGAGAGAGGGAGGAGGTACAGAGAGAGCGAGGTAGAAGACGAGTTTGAACGAAAACTTGCGAAGCTCTTTGAAGAAACAGTAGCAAAGGACAATGAAACTTGAGCCGACAAAAGACAAAGTGGATGCTCCAGTGTTGACAGCCGTGAGAATACGGCGATCGTGAGGCGTGAAACTCCCAGCAAGAGTAGCTGCCGCCATAATATGGTTGCTCTAAGTAACGCCAACTCGCCAAGTCAAGTCGCCGGAGGTGTTGTACTTGCGTGTATATGTCATCTATTAAATGGTTAATGAATGATGGTATTATTATTATATAATATAATATGATATATATTAAATAATATCAGTGATACCCTTCTGCTTTCGCTTCTATGGGAAACATGGGACCGTACATATTATGTTCATACTATTTTTAATTCCCATCTATTTATAGCTTCTTTTGTAGAGTTTTATATTTCAATAGAATTTCCCTGTTCATATAAATATTACTCCATGTTTATTTCTTTTAACAAACTGAACAGAACTAAACAAAGTTATATTATTCTTCATTTCAATTTTTCAATTACAAAAGACAGAATGGAGAAACCATATCATATGTCAATCTTCACTTATTAATCATCTACTCATATCACATATTTATAAGTATCATCATCAATTCTTCCACTAAATTATACTCTCATGCTGCTGCATCACAAGCTAAATCCATTCTCGTTCCCAAATGCAGATCCGTTGAACTCTGAACAATAATATGAATACGAGTCGTGAGCAAGCGTCTGCACAAACAGAAACACAACATTAGACAACTTTACTTCAAATGCCTTGCCACACCCTTTAACAATCAAATGAAACTTCACAATTCAATTTACCTGTTCCTGTGAGTGGAAATACATGAAGGGTGTATAATGTAGAAAATTCGACACCCTAGACGTATATATATCTGCATACCTGAATTTGAAACAAACACAACTATTCATATAGGACTAGAATTAATCTATGACATCCATCACTTAAAATCATGAGGCAAAACCACCTACTTCTCAATTTGTCTCATCAAATGGCTTTTATCCCAAAGTCCTGCACGTGATAGATATCCCCACCTAAGCCAAAAGGAGTACAGCAGCTCAAATTTTATGCTTAAATGTAGCTTTTCGAGAGGTCAAGGTAATTAGTTCTGTACTGTTGATGTTTTCATCATTGTTTTACCTTTTATTGAAGAGCTCCCCATCCGCTTCTAACATAGGAGCTATTTTCTCGTCTAGCCTTTGCATAACCATAAGTAGCTTTTGAACACTTTCTGTGAGTTCCTGATCGTCCATGTTAGTCGCAGCAAGGGTCTGAAAGTACATGTGAAAAGTAAACCATAAAAACATGGTCATTTCACAACACTAACTTAATCATCATTAAACTCAGGTACACGAAAATTTTTTAGGCCTATCTTCTGGGATGAGGCTTAGCATCCTTTTAGTTGTTTCATGTGATAAAATTTGGGTTGAGAAGGGCAATCCAAGCATATAGCTCAATTGTGGATATATGTACAATCACAGGGTACTTTGATAGGCTTGTCCTGCTGCCATTCCTTTATTTACACTGCAGTCCACATTGTTAACCAGCAATTCATGAAAGAATGTACATGTATATGAAGGGCATGGCATTTTGTATTCAAAATGTAGACAGGAAAAAGAGAAAAGTGTAGTGTTGATTGTGTTTTTGTTTGAATAAACTGACGGATCAAAATCATATTATTTGTTTCATAAAGTATATCAAGCACAATCCATCAAATCCTAGATAGTCATTATAGAAAGGAGGGCCAAGATGAAACACCACAGATATTGCCAGAAACAGACATATAAGAGAAGCTCACTTGTGCAGGACGCCCTTTAGTTCGCCTTTGCAGTGCGAGCCGGAGTTGGTTAAAGAGATCACCTACAACCTCTTTTCGATTTATAAGCTCTATTAGCCTGTCTCGATGATCCCGGCTACCAATTAATGCATTATACTGCAGTTCCAAAATATAATAGCACAGAAACAGACCCAATCAGCATCAATCAGCTGAAAATGAAATCTAAGACAAAAATTTGATTATGCTGGGTTCCAAATTATAACAAATAACATAGCAGAACATAGAGTAGCATCATGCATACATGAGGACAGAGGGAACATTGCTTTGGGTTCAATTTTGCATTTTAGTAACATTTTTGGTTTGCATACCATTTACTAGGCCTATCACTAAAATGATCTTAAATTGGAAGAAAAAAAATATGACTTTCCAGAAAATTAGATGTAAAACTTTCAAACTATGATCATATTCCATAAGTGAAAATAGAATATTCGAACCTCATCTTCTAGTTCTCGACAAATCAGTGCCGTTCGCCATCGCAGATGAACTTTGGACTGACTGACATCAGTGTAAATATGGTCACCAACATACAATATTTCATCTCCATGGACATTTAGAGAACTCTCTACCATCTGAGCACTTCCCCCAGAGTACAAGCCCCCTGGAAAATTAAATAAAAGAATCAATAAATGAAATCAGCATATATGAGAGTAGAATCATGTCAAAAAGGTCATCACATCATTGGTATAAATATTGTCACCAGCATAAAAAATACAAAACGCAACAAAAATACCCAAACAGGAACTTCTGTTAGACAATGCCAAGGTTGCATGGGAAAACAAACACACCTACCATCTTAGCTGTGTTATGTGTTTTACCAGAATATAAGGATAAATATTTTTTTACCTCATTTGTTGGCAAATCTAGAGCATAGAATACCGATTGGACAAAAACAAGGACTGAGGATAAATCACCTTTACGGGCTTTGAAACATGGACGCATTAAACCCTCACCCGTCACCACCTCATACAATGGGTGTGACATTTGAAAGAATTCTGGCTTCCTTGCTGAGACTATCACCTAACATTGAGAACTCATTAGTAATTCCAATGTCTCATCAATGTCAAAGGAAGTTCCATTATTTTTTAGAAGAAATAAAAATAGAAAAAGTTATCAGTGCTGCAGGAAATCCTTCAGAATATTTATGAGTTTTCCATTTCAAAACAACTTGACGATAACAATATTGTAGATGGTCAAGAAAGGAAGATGGTTTCATTCAAGATCATTCTATTAAACGTAACTCTGTCTGAGTTTTGTGCTTCTTTTCCAGGGTTTTTGATGCCGTTTTGGATGTGTGCTGGGGTCCCTGGGGTGCTTTTTTTTTTTTCTGGTCTTGGTTTGGCCTGCGGTTAGGAGGTAATGGGGCTGTTGCTGGCTGCCTGGGTTTCTCTTTGTGAACTGATTTGAGGCCTGATGCAGCTTCTGGAGCTTTGGGAGTGTGATGGGGAGTGGTTTGTTTGCTGTCTTTGTGCGTAGGCTGTTTTTCTCTCTTTTGTTGGACTGTGGCAGTTTTGTCTGCTCTGGGTTGTGGGCTGTGTTTTGAGGATTGTCTATCCTTTTCCCTTGGGGATTTCTTTTGTTAGTTTCTCTTTTGCTGCTGCAAAGAGTTTCTTTGTGTAGGGGTTCTCCCCTCTTTGTTTCTATTCTTTATTCATTATAAAAATTACGAGTTACCCAAAAACAAAAACTTACGTAAGTGATCATTTCAGCTGAGGCTGAAGCAAACAATAACAAGTCAGAAATGGCATGCAGTTGAAATACTCAAATATCGTTCCCTCACCATGTCAAATAGATCTCGCCAGCCCATATCATTTGGCAGGAATCTGTTAAAGGAATGCTGCATCATTTTGTCTGTGTAATGGTAATCTGAGTTTGTAATCAGCAGAAGTTTTTTACCGGCCTGATGCAAGGACAATGTGTAAATAACTAAACTGTACAATAACTGCATATTTCATAAAACGTAAACTAGAAAACAACTACTAAGAAATACCTCCTTTTGATCTAAAAGTGCTAAAGGTAATTCCGGATCAGGCTCTACAAAGAGTTCAGGCTTAGACATTATCTCACTCTGCACAAATACCACAACTCAACAAGTGCTTGGGGATCACAATTTTCAACAGTCCACTATAAATTTATCAGGATGTATTACCTTGAGCTGACCCTCCACATGGGCCCTAAAAAGAGCCTTTCCAACAGCCTGAAAATCCAGGTCAAAAGTTAAAAAGGACACATATAACTGACAGCATTGTTTGTTTACTTCATTAAATATTCTGCAACACATTACCTTGTAAAGACCTTTATAATCAAGTGGACCAAGGTCTGGTGATATAGCTCCTTCATCCAATTTATCAACCATCTGGAAGCAGAGTGATATGGCATTAACAAAGATTGACAAAAATAATAGAACTAGTAAGGGACTCTACAAAGATGTAAGCCAAAGCCCCTGAAGCTACCTGCATATAAGCCACAGCTTCTGAAACAGAGAATAGTGTATTGAGAAACTCCCACCGACTCTGCTTCAAATCCACTAGTTCTCTCCCATACATCTCACTTCCATGCAGATAAAGTTAAGCAGCACTATGGAAAATATAACTACTATTTGACACAGACAATAGATGATAGTTGAAACAAAAGGAAAATTAAACAACACATCAATGGATAATGAGGGCAAGTTATTGGAGTCAAAGTGGTATGCGTTGGGGCTGAAGATGCAATATATGGGGCTGAACTAGGATCTTCTTTGCTTTTCTAAGAAAGTGCGGCAGCAACGGCAAAGCACATAAACTATTGGAGAGTTTGACCAACGACTAACTCAAATTCCTTCCACATTTTTTAACAACTCAGAAATCCCTCAATTTTTTTAGTGAAGTCAAGTTTGAAATTGGGATCATCGTCAAATCCTTCAATCTTTAGAAAGCATGAAACTTGAAATTTTTTTTCCAAGGCAAATAGCTTTGTGGAATCTAACCCCATGCCTTGTGGCAGAGGACCACAAGCTTAACTACTCGATTCACCTTCAGGATTGCTCAGATCCCCCCCCCCCCACATAATCTCAATAATTAAATGACATGGTTTAAACAATACCTGACAGCTCGAGTAGACAACATTTTCGTGCCATGCATAGCCCTTTTTACATAACCAAATCGATCGGCCTTAACCAAATTGCCTTTCTCCTTGTCTATAACAAGACCTCTAATTACCTAACCAGAATATCAGAAAAAGAACATGCTTAGAACAATGCAAAGGCAAAAGACTTTATGCCTATTAAAGAACATAACTCTCAATTCAACAGGCATAAAATAAAGAGCTCACTAGATTGGGATCAAAAGCAAGACCACCAACTGGGAAACCCATGTTCTTTAGATTTTCCATACAGTAATCATAAGCACGACCTTCCCAAGCCTGGAAAAGTACAGACTAATGTCAGACCATCTGAACTAAAGGGTTATTTGCTATGTTATAACATATTTATCATCAGTATTCACTCAAACACTAATAGTACACCGATGATAAACCAACTATATGTTCAGTATAACCTAGAACTAACATAATAAGAAAGATTATCACCGTGACATTATAATGCATCAAGGTGTAGTCCATGTCATAGCCAATGGCACTGATTGAACGAAGATTCAATGTTCTACTACAAAATATTCCACGAGGCGAATTTCTTGCCGAAGAAGGACTCTGCAGATGAGCACTAGATATCATAATAATGATGAATCAAACAAGCATGTAAATGGGAATACATTGAAGCAAATCTGTTTAAAGTACCGGGATACCCAAGTCAGTAAGCAAATTATCAGCTTCTTCGGCCTCAATCCTAGCAACTTCCTCAATGGGACCATCTAAAGTTATTTGACCATCAAGGCCTAATAAAAACAAAGTACTCAACTTTTAACATAATTAACTTAAAAGGAAGCATATAATCTATTTAAAGAGATAAGGTCACTCAAAAAGATTACCAAAAGCCTGAAGATGGTCGAGTTTGAGATTCAAATCCCCTTTTGTGCTCTGTCCTAGATAATCAACGTCGTACTTACTAGATGATGTAACTGAAAACACTTCAAAACTGGTACTGTTACTGCTACTGTTACTGCAACCACACTTTAATGAAGTCGCCGGGATTCTTGGTGTTGTAGTAAGAGAATCCACGTTGAAAAAACCAACTGGGTTTCTGAAACCGTTGGAGTTGAGGATGGCCATTGAAAGACTAGACAACTTGAAGTTGCCCATAATCTCAGCTGAACAATACATGTTTATTGGGTGAACAAAACGGAAAAGTGTGGATAAGTCTCTGAGGAATATTTCACTTTATAAGTGTTGTTTTCCGACTTGAGTTCAATATAGTCTTCGCCAAAAGACTTGAGTTTAATAACATAAAACATTGGATTCGTCTAGGTCATTAGAGGATATTTTTGTCCCAAAATCTGCTACCAGCATTTGTGTTATGAACATCCATCAATCCAATAAATAGACTTACTGGGCTGGGGTTCCATAGCCCGTTGGGCTTTCTGGGCCTGGCAGAGTTTCCCGCGTCCCTTATGACTGCATCACGTATGAATCACTCTCTGATCACTTCAAAATTAGACGGCAGAAACATCCAAATACAGGTACAATTACCTTGAAAATGTCGGTACTTGGCGTGGCGCTGTCTAGTGCAGCACAACACTCATGTATGGTACCATTCCATTCTCTATTCTCTTGTAATATATAATTGTTTAAGTGGCTTTGATTTAATCGATACATTAATCATTATGTTTATGTATACGTGTTCATGTGAATCGTTAACTTACCTTAATTGCTCAACGTGAATATGAATTCTTCTGTGTATTCTTTCCTTCCTCAAGCAATGCCCCTTTAATTCCTTTATTTCATGTAATGTTACTCAACCTGCTATATGTTTTGTTTCTGCAACATTCTAATCATACTCTTTATGTTAATACTGCACTACACAAGTATGAATAAATACTCAATGTTTCAAGATGAGGTTTATAAGCTTTAGCATCATCAGTAGTAGAGACGGAGAAAATCCATAAAAAGATAAAAAATCTTCCATGTTTGGATAGGAAAAAGGAGAAAAATCAAAGCAGCAGTATAATGCCATATTACAAGTTGTTTTCCCTTGCTGATTCTTTTGATTATCTATTAATGTTCTTTGGTACAGTTGATGCTGTTGGAAATGGGATATGCATGCCCCTTATGGCTTTACTATTGGAGAATTAATCAATACCACCGGAAAACCTGTGAGCACTACCGTAATGGTACATGGAGTTTATGAGGTATCCTGGCACTATGGAGTAACATTGAATCTTTATCTAGCCATTTGTATGACTCAAGAGAAATGATCCCGAAAGTGTATCTTTACTCTTTAGCAATTAGGTTTCCTGTTATGTTAGTTTAAATGCATAAAAAAAGCTCCTTCCTGCAACAAGGAAAATTAAGATTCTGTATCTTGTAGTAAAACTACTTTGTTGGATACAAGGAGTAATGACATGATTAATTCTATCTTCAGGTGTCACTGAAGTTTGTCTACTTGGCTTTGGGGTCGGCTGTTGCATCCTTTATCCGTAAGTACATTGAAATTCGGTTTTATATTAAAATAGCATGAAAGGCAGTTGATGTCATTTGAAACCGGTACACCCAAGTGCACAAATAATTAATGTAATAAAATGAAACACGCCCATGTTTGCAATTTGCCAGAGGTGGCTAGATGGACCATCACAGGGGAGACACAGGCTACACGGATAAGAAGTTTATACTTGAAAACGATATTAAGGCAAGAAATTGGCTTCTTTGATAAGGAAACTAGCACTGGAGAAATTGTGGGGAGGATATCAGGTGACACTATTCTTATTCAAGATGCCATGGGGGAGAAGGTATAAACTGATTTCCAGGAAAAAAGCATAACTACTGCCATACATAATAAATGGATTTGAAGATATTCTCCTTTTGGTTTAACACAGTTTATTGCAGGTTGGAAAGTTTATACAGACGATAGCTGCATTCTTTGGAGGGCTTGTTATAGCTTTTAAGAAGGGGTCGCTGCTTACCCTCATAATGTTGTCCTCAATTCCACCGATTGCTATTTCTGGTGCTGTCAAGTTTAAGCTCATAGGAAAGCTTGCTTCTCGCAAACAAACTGCCTATTCACTTGCAGCAACTATTGTAGAGCAGACAATTGGCTCTATCAGAACTGTAAGCCACAATGACGTCTTTGAAAATCTTTTGTTACTGGCATTATGAATATAAAGCTTATTGTTCATGTAGGTGGCATCATATACCGGGGAGCAACAAGCTATTTCTAAGTACAACAAATCTCTCATTAGAGCATACAAGTCTGGCGTACAAGAAGGCTTGGCTGCTGGGTTAGGTGTTGGAACAGTATTGTTAATCTTAAGTTGTGGCTATGCATTGGCAGTGTGGTTAGGTGGAAAAATGGTAATTGAAATGGAATACAAAGGAGGAGATGTTATCATTGTGATTTTTGGCGTGCTGCTTGGCTCTATGTAAGTGCACTCTGATAATTTTCATCCAGCAAAAATTTCTTTTAAGATATTCAACTACAAGCTGATAAAATTTATGAAAAAACAGAGAAATGTATGCATGGTTCATGTTCGTTGCTTTGTGGAACTAGAATTTTTATGAATAAAATATTTGGAATTCTTTTTTCGGATTTTAAGGTCTATAGGGCTGGCATCTCCATGCTTGAGTGCATTTGCTGCTGGAAAAGCTGCGGGATTTAAAATATTTGAGGCAATAAACAGGAAGCCTGAGATTGATGCTTATGATGCTAATGGACTGAAATTGGATGAAATTCGTGGTGATATTGAATTAAGGGATGTTAATTTCAGTTATCCAGCTAGACCAGATGAACTAATATTAGATAGATTCTCTCTTTCAATGCATAGTGGTACAACTGCTGCTCTGGTTGGGCAGAGTGGAAGTAGGAAATCAACAGTGATCAGTTTGATAGAGAGATTTTACGACCCTCAGGCTGGTGAAGTTATTATAGATGGTGTCAATCTCAGAGAGTTTCAGCTTAAATGGATAAGAGAGAAAATAGGTCTTGTCAGCCGGGAACCCGTGTTGTTTACATCAAGCATTGGAGATAACATTGCTTACCGGAAGATTGGTGCATCTAATGAAGAGATAGAAGCTGCTGCGGAGCTTGCCAATGCTGCTAACTTCATAAATAAGCTACCTCAGGTTTTCATTCTTTAACAACGTTATTCCTATGCATTTTTTCCATTTTCATATTGTTGAGTCCTTTGGATATGCATTAAATCATTGTACCATTTGAAGATTTATATAAGATTTCTTCTTTCTTATGCTATATTTCAGAGCTTTCCAGGTCTTTGACTGTTGCAAAACTATTCTTTTAAGGGTGGATGCTATCTCCTCTAAAGTCTGATTGGAGAACATGGCATAATTGTGTTGCATTTGTTCAGGGAATAGACACAATGGTTGGAGAACATGGAATTCAGCTATCTGGAGGCCAAAAGCAGAGAGTTGCTATAGCTAGAGCAATTCTTAAAGATCCAAGAATCCAGCTTCTCGATGAAGCCACAAGTTCTCTCGATGCTGAATCAGAAAGACTGCTGCAAGAGGCACGTGACAGAGTTATGGTCAACCGAACAACAGTCATTGTATCCCATCGCTTAACTACAATAAGGAATGCAGATATGATAGCTGTTATTCAGCAAGGAAAGATTGTTGAAAAAGGTTAAATTTTGCTCATAGTGCCTATTTTAATAGTTTAACACTAGAAGCTGTCTAGCATTGATGCATATGCCTCAGTAATATATGATTTATGTTGACAAGTCTTTGTGTCTCCCTTGTATTGATTTCTCCACAGGGGAGTTATTTGTAAATGAACCTTCCTAGTTGCGATTGATATTCATGATAAATTGTGGCACTTCATTAGTTTGCAAGTTAAGCTACATCCCTATTATATGCTTTATTAAATATTTGACTCTTAAATCTTATAATTAGTTGCCACTTTCTTTCACATTATCAGGTTCACATTCTGTGTTACTCCAGGACCCTGATGGAGCATATAGCCAGCTCATAAGGTTGCAAGAAAGTGGGAAAAAGCAAGAACAAAAGGATTTAAATCATTCAGACAGTGCTCGTCGCTCCTTCTCTGTTGAGTTTGCTGCATCCCCCATGATTAGCATTTCTGAAAAATCATTTGATAAACGAATTGGTAGTCCTGCTTCAGAAAAATTACAACTGCCTCAAGCAGTGCCACTTAGTCGGTTGGCCCGTCTAAATAGCCCTGAGATACCTATCTTACTTCTAGGTTGTATATCTGCTGTAGCCCATGGTGTAATAACACCAATTTTTGGGACAGTGTTTACTGCTATGATTAGAATTTTCTACGAGCCAAAAGAAGAACTTACGAGAGATTCCAAATATTGGGCATTAGTGTTTGTGGTTCTTGGTGTTGCATCATTTTTTACTTCCCCAATGAGCACATACTTTTTTGCTGTGGCAGGGTGTAAATTAATAATGCGAATACGGTCGATGTGTTTTGAAAAGGTTTTATACATGGAGATAGGTTGGTATGATGAAGCTGAGCATTCGAGTGGTGCAATTGGTTCAAGGCTTTCTTCAGATGCAGCTTCAGTGCGAAGTTTGGTCGGAGACACACTCTCTTTGATTGTTCAGAGTACAGCAACAGCAGTTGCAGGCTTGGTAATTGCCTTCAAAGCAAGCTGGCGATTGTCTCTTTTAATCCTTGCCATGTTTCCTCTGTTGGGTGTCAGCAGTTATATTCAACTGAGGTCCGTGCAAGTATTCGGTGGAAAATCTAAGGTTTGTTCTGAACAGACTACATTGAAATGATCATTTGTTTTTTATTTATTCAGATAAAGATTTTCAAATAGTTGCAGAAAAGGCACGAGGAAGCAAGCCAAGTTGTGAGTGATGCAGTTAGCTGTATCAGAACTGTAGCGTCTTTCTCTGCTGAAGAGAAGGTGATACAAGTGTATAACAAGAAATGTGAAGGCCCAATTAAGGCAGCAACAAAGCAAGGACTGATTAGTGGGTTAGGTTTTGGGACATCCTTCTTCTGTTTCTTTTTATTGTATGCAGTCTCTTTTTATTTTGGAGGCTACTTACTTGATCATGGCAAGGTAACATACTCTTGAGTTTTTTTGTGTAAGTGTTTATTCCTTTTATGTCAAACAAATATTTCAAGTTTATTTGTTTCTACGCTTGCTAATTCATCACTTATGACTACAGGTGTTTTGTGCTCTCAGTATGACAGCGGTTGGAATTTCTCAAGCAAGCTTTCTGGCTCCTGATGTTGGTAAAGCCAAGAGTTCGGCTGCTTCTATATTTAAGCTACTTGACAAGATATCCAAAATAGACTCCAGTGATAACTCTGGAAAGACGTTGGAGAATGTGAGAGGTGAAGTTGAGTTTCAACATGTCAGTTTCAAGTATCCAACAAGACCTGATATTGAAATTTTTCGAGATCTTTGCTTGACCATTCATTCTGGCGAGGTAATTTTGAATGTCAATTACTCAATCAACTAGTGGAAGTTAATCCATAACTTTATAAAACCTATAGCCATATAGAATTTTTGGTCTGGCTTAAAGCCATGAAAACCGATGTTAGAGTAACAGGATTCTTCCCTTTTTGCTTGCTTCTGCTTAACTGTAAATAGGAAATGATATCTTCCATAATTCCAAAGTATGCGCTGTTTTCTTTGAGTCATTAATAGGCTATAGTTTCGAATCAAATTAGTGAACCCAAAGAATGAATTAAAAAAAAAAAAAAAAACCAAAAGTTCTATTAGAAAATTAACAAATTGTATCTCTTATATCAGATGGTTGCTCTAGTGGGAGAAAGTGGGAGTGGAAAATCAACAGCGATCTCATTATTGCAGAGATTTTATAATCCCAATTCAGGTAAAATTACACTAGATGGAATAGAAATTCAGAAACTACAACTGAAGTGGTTAAGGGAACAGATGGGCCTAGTGAGCCAAGAGCCTGTGTTATTCAATGATACCATCCGAGCTAATATTGCATATGGAAAGGAAGGAGATGCAACAGAAACAGAAATTTTAGCTGCAGCGGAGTTAGCAAATGCCCACAGCTTCATCAGTGGTTTACAACAGGTTAGACATTGGAATTTTAATGTGGTTGTACACTATCTTCCTACTTACTAACATTTTAAATTGCTATTAAATGACATTATTGAGAATTGTTAGTTTTGCATGCAAACGAAAGAAAAAAACAGAAAACGAAAGAGAAAACCAAGTCTGCAATAATGCTCTGTTTTTGATTCAAAAAACTGTGGTAAAATATATACATGCCAACGTCACTGTTTCAACTAAAACAATTCAAATTTCAAATTTTAAACTAACGCCACCTACTAATACACTTACAACCAAGTGAGAAACTACACTTAACCAAACTTAATACAGCTAAACAAGTCACTGAATAAATCAAACACAGTGACCAAAAAAACTGCTTCTGCATGAATTACGGGAGATCAACAGGCGTTAAATTGCAGTTCAAAATTCTGCCACCTTTCTGAATTTCCAGCAGGATATCACCTTTCAACAAGAATGTTTCATCGCATTTCTAATGGAGGCTTCTTCCACAAAATCTGTTTGTTGATTGAGTCTAAATATTTTTATATTTCTAATTCTTAAAGCTCCAAAATGCAGAGTTATGATACATCAGTAGGAGAAAGAGGAATCCAATTATCTGGAGGACAAAAGCAAAGAGTGGCTATCGCACGTGCTATTGTGAAGGCTCCAAAAATTTTACTACTAGATGAAGCCACCATTGCTCTTGACCTTGAGTCTGAAAGAGTGGTTCAAGATGCATTAGACCGAGTTATGATGGGTCGCACTACAATTGTGATAGCTCATCGATTATCCACGATTAAGAATGCAGACTTGATTGCAGTGATGAAGATGGAATCATAGTAGAAAAAGGAAAACATGAAAGTTTAATCAGTATCAAGAATGGTATTTATGCATCCTTAATAGCATCTCATGCAAGTACATCAAACTAAGCTTCTTATTCTCTTTACCACTTGGCTAGCTTTTGGCTGAAGGTATTTTTATGGGCTCTGAATATGTTGCTTCTTTTTGAAATCTTATATTGAGTCTTGATCTTAATTGCAACTGGTAATGCAAGTTACAGAGAGAAACGAAAATGAAATAGGTTTTAGTCACTTTCTGTGTAATAAGGTCAGTTAAAAGTAGTCGCAACAACTTGTGTTCCACAAATCATATAATAATTGACAGCAGAAAACATCAAAGAGAAAAGTGAAAATTTGGTTAAAAACATCAAGAATGGTATTTATGCATCGTTAATAGCATCTCATGCAAGTACATCAAACTAAGCTTCTTATGCTCCTTACCACTTCGCTAGCTTTTGGCTGAAGGTACTTTTACGGGCTCTGAATATGTTGCTTGCATTTTTGAAATCTTATGTAGAGGCTTGATCTTAATAGCAACGTGTAATGTAAGTTTCAGAGGGAAATGAAAATGAAGTTGGTTTTAGTCACTTTCTGTATAATAAGCACAGTTCAAAGTAGTTGCAACAACTAGTGTTTCCCAAATCATTAAATAATCGACGGCAGAAAACATCAAAGAGAAAAGTGAAAATTTGGTTAAAAGTGCGAAGGCAGTACTAATTACATGGGCATATGTTTTTAACTTAATCTCACACATATTTCTTGAGATTTAAGCTGACAGAAACGCCTGCATCGATGATGAGTAAAAAGATGAAAATTGGGTGTAGACCACGTAGTGTTAGTTTCCAAAACCCATACGGTGAATCTCAGAAGTGTCAAAGTATCTTCTCCTTTCTCTTTATTAATGTTCAGCATTTACAATAATCAAGTCTTGCAAAAATTAGTTTCTCTTTTGGGGTACATTAGATCTAGTTTTTGTCGTAAAATCTGCTCGAGACTTTTTAGTATGAAGGTCCATCAGTACAAATCATCTATTTGAAATGCCATGTTTGATTATTCATGTGGTGTTATAGTGTTGATAACAGTGATTGTCATGGTTATGCATTATAAATAACCGGTGCCGGGGTAATCAGTATTGTTTGATTGAAACGGCTGATGGCTGTTTGTGCCAACTAAGATAAAAGATGTGACAGCCATGAAACATGTTTTGAGCAACTTATATATTTTCTTTATTAGGCTAATGTAATCATAGTTATTATAAGATAAAATAATGTTGACAATAACAAAGTTAGGAAGATATAATCTATTACTATGTCTTCCAACTAAGTATGGTTTATTTTTGGGGAAGCTGAAAATTTTCAACGGCTGCTTAATTAAAAATCAAATATTCAGTGTTTTCAACATAACAGTTAAGAGTATATGCTTTAGTAGGAGATTGTTTTGGATAGGTACACGGCAGAAATATCCCAGGACGATATATATGAGACAAAATGAATACGATCAAATATGTTAAAGAGTTTATAGTGTAAAACAGTTGTATATGGGACATAAATGAATAAAATACATGATTATACACTATGTTGAACAGTACCTTTATGTTTCAGAAGCCATATAAATAAATGAATATGAATGGTATTTGATTTATCATCTTCTTGTAACGGCTTACTAAGTGCAAATGTGGTTGCATGTTTGGTGTAATAGTAACTCTCATATCTTAATTTTGTTCTTCTGTTTCTTCTTTTTCAGTGGCTGAGTATCTCTTGCAAGTAAACTGCTTTGTTTTAAACGGTGGCTTGCCCATCATCTGTGTAAAAGTTGGTTTATAGATTGCATTTTTTATTGATTGCGTTTAAAGATATAGTCTAAATAAATGTTTTATCTTTTTCTCTTTGTTGGCAAGGCTACCTTGCTTAGTTGGCAACATGGTCTCCTCTCTGTTTTTCTTGGTTTCCTGTCATTTGTCAAGCAATGTCTTTGGAGCAATTATCCTTCTTTATACTCTTTTCCCATCAAAGAATGGCACCACTGATATTATTCAAGAACATTCAGGTTGACTTTCAACCAATTTTCTTATTCTTTGTCTTCACTCTTTTTGTTTTTCTTTTTTACTTTCTGAGTTTTTCACACAAAGGCTGCCAATCACAGATATTTATAGAGATACTCTGCATGTTAATGGTCCATAAATACTGAAATAGTTTGAATGTTTCAAGCTGAGTTTTAGTGTGTATGGCAAATCGCTTTTGTGCTCTGATTCATGGTGAAAGATAAAGAACATGCTTAATAGAGAAATTTTCTTGCTTCTTTTCAAATTAATTTCTTGATACACTATTCAAGTCTTATTAATTATTGTGATACATAATACACCTCACTAGAATCCCAAATCTGCAAAAACTTCCTGTGTAGTCAATTTCCTTCAACTTTTAAATGGCCATTATGTAATATCTTTCAAACAGACTAGCATTTGGGATTTAATTTTACCTTCATAATGGATGCATTGTTCTTTCTGCCGCAGCTGTGATCCAAGTACTCCATTGTTGTGAAAGACAGTGTACAGCATAGGAAGTTAAGTGTTGTGCAGTTGGAAAAATGGCTGATGACAGCACCTCTGATGTAGATAAAAGCAATGAACAAGCTCTAACGTCATCAGGCCATTTAGTAGTAGAGAATGAGAAAATCCCTGTAAAGACTGACAAACTTCAGCAGTATCAGGACAAGTTGTGAGTGATGCAGTTAGCAGTATCAGGACCATAGCTTCTTTTTGTGCCGAAGAGAAGGTGATTCAATTGTATCAAAACAAATGTGAAGGCCCGCTTGGGGCAGGAATAAGGCAAGGACTGATTAGTGGGTTCGGTTTCGGTGTATCCTTCTTCTTTTCCTTCTTTGTCTTCGCAGTCAGTTTTTATGTTGGAGGCATATTAGTTAACCATGGCAAGGCAACATTCTCTGAGTTTCTTCATGTAAGTATTTCTTTCTTCATGTTAAAACAAGTAATTAGACAATACTTCTTTGTTTTGCATTATCATTTGTCTAACTACTGTTTACACAGGTGTTTTTTGGTCTCAGTATGACAGCCTTTGGTATTTCTCAAGCAAGCTCTCTGGTTCCTGATGTTGGTAAATCCAAGGGTTCTACTGCTTCTATATTTGGGCTTCTCGACCAGAAATCCAAAATAGACTCTAGTGTTAACTCTGGAATGATGCTAGAGAATGTGAAAGGTGAAGTTTGAGTTTCAACATGTTATTTTCAAGTATCCAACAAGACGTGATATTGAAGTACTTCGCGATGTTTGCTTGACCATACACTCAGGCAAGGTAATGTTGTCTGTTCAATTACTCATTCTAGTGGAAGTTCATCTACAGCTTGATAAACCATATGGTGAAATATAAATTTTCAGCTAGCTGCAATCCATTATAACCAATCTCGGTCATGGAGGCGATGGGATTATTTCATTTTTGCATGCCTCCTGCATTCATTCTAAAGTATAACCTATTTTCCTCGTATCATATATAGCTATCTAATTAGCATTATGAACCCAAAGAGCGAATAAGCAAACTATAGAGTTGTATTTGAAATTGACAAACTGTATGTCTTATATCACTTGGTTGCTCTGTTCGTAGAAAGTGGGAGTGGAAAATCGACAATAATCTCAGTGTTACAGAGATTTTATGATCCGTTTTCTGGTCACGTTATTCTTACAGAAAAAAAGTAACAGGAAAGGTGCATATATATATATATATAAATGACAGGAAACGCAGCTACCAGTCTACCACAATGGTTTCATCAGAACAGAGAATGTAATAAGAAGGAATAAATGAGGATAAATCACAGGGCCTTAAAACAAGGAGGGAGTAAAGTAAATCCTTATCATCTATGAATATGATCACCACCTGCTATAAGAAAAAGATTAATGTTATATGTTTCATTTGAATGAAAAGCATATTGTGATTTTTGGGCTCGATTCTGAAGCCCACATGGGAGGACCAACTTGATGTCAGCTCAACTCATCTAATCTACTAGATTATGATTGATGTGGGTGTTAGTTTGAAATTGTCAACTGATGTTGTTGTGTGTTTATAAGGGAAAGAACAAATGCTGGCGTTAACTGATTGAAATAGGTGATGGCTTTTTGTGCAACTGCCAACTGAGATTAGATGTGACCCTCATCAAGCTCCTCTTCAGTACCAACTCACTTATTGTTTCATTATTTTGGCTAATTTAAGCATATACCTGTTAACCATATGCTATGTTGATGACTCTTCATCTCAATTCAATTAGGGTTAATGTATATAGTTTAAAATAATGTTCAAGTCCTTTTCAGCATAATAATTATTCATGTTATGGGATAATCCTTAGTTACCCCTAACGTTTTATAAATACATAAATTTACCCTTACCTTACAATTATATGTCCTTATAAGCGTTCTACTTTACAGATTTGTCAAAGGGATCAATGTAATACACATCAAGGACACTTGAGGGGCTAGTCCAGTAGTTAGACTTGTATTTACTTCCATAAGATTAAAGGTTCAAATCTACCAATAAAATGTCATTATTTCTTACTTTTCGATGATAGTAAAATTTGGTGAATACTCCGATTTCAACTAGATTTACAAAGAGATAGAGAGATTTCTGGATCATCAAAAACATATGTATACATACATGCTCTTACAGTGGATTAATATTGCCTGAAACCTGAATGGGAAACTGTAATTATCCTATGAGTATGTATAATAATATATATGCTCTTATTTGATTTGGACAAGTAAGACGGCATAAATATACAAACAAAGGGGAACAGCTCCATCAGAAAAAACCTTGAAAAAGTCCATTGTTGGCTCTGTCAAAGATTTCTCAGCGCGAAGACAAAATGAAGCACATTTTCTTTTATGTTAAGTAGTGCTTATACGTTTCGTAAACTGCATAAATGGATCCATCAGTCAACTTTTAAAGCCTCAGTGTAAATGAGGTGACATATTTCAAATATAATTACAGTTCCTCTCATTTCTTAACTTTGTTCTTCTCTTTCTTCATTTCCAGTGAGTGAGCATCTCTTCTATTTACTTCTCACCATGTTTGTCTAAGGCCATTCAGATTATTGAGTGTCAACCAATTTTCTTTATGCAAATATATATTTCTCAATGGCTCAAGCTGTTAATATTTTCTTTTAAAAATTTTTGCACACTACTTCTGCTATATATCTATAACCTTCATGGTATATAAATAAATTGATTTTCAGTTGACTGTAACATATTTTTTTGTCTACCAAAAAGTTGTTTTCTTTTTGAGAGATTAACTTTCATTACATTATATGTTGCTAATGAATGCTTATACATGTTTGTTTCTGTGCAGCTGTGATCCAAGAGCTCCATTGTTCTGAAAGGCAGTGTACATTTTAGGAGATTAAGTACTGAAGTTGATGAACATGGCCAACAACAGCACTTTAGATGGAGATATTAACATGGAGCAAGCTCCTAACTTATCAACAACTTTAGATAAAGACATTAACACCGAGCAAGCACCTGAATCATTAGCAACTTTAGATGGAGAGAGTAACACTGATGAGCAAGCTAAATCACCAGGAAGTAGTTTAGATGGAGTTATGAAGATCGAGCAAGCTCCTGAATCACCAGGAACTTTAGATGGAGGTCGTGAATTATCACGAAATTCGCCAGTGGTGGAGACGGAGAAAATCCCTGAAGAGAATGGAAATGCACAAGTTTCAGATGGGAAAAAGGAGAAAGAGCAAGGGAAGAGTGTAGTTCCATACTACAAGTTGTTTTCCTTTGCTGACTCTTTTGATTATTTTTTGATGTTTTAGGGTACAATTGCTGCTATTGGAAAAGGGCTCTGCATGCCACTTATGTCTTTATTATTGGGAGAGTTGATTGATGCTGCTGGAAAACCTACCTCCACTACCGTTATGGTGCATGGAGTTTTCAAGGTATCTCTGAAACTAACTATGACTACTCATTTTTTATTTGGAGTTATTCATTTATTGTCAAAGTTATTTATTAATAACAATTTCTGTTTATTATTGTAAAATTAATTTAATTGGGTTTAGTGAGTAATGGTTTGATTAATTATTTCTCCAGGTTTCCCTGAAATTTGTTTACTTGGCTTTGGGTGCCTGTGCTGCATCCTTTCTTCGTAAGTACCTTCTTGCTATTGAGATTGATTTGTACGATAACATAGCGTTGGAAAGTGATAAATTTATTTCATGCTTAAATAAAAATTATGTGAAAAGATGTCAATGTTTGCTATTTGCCAGAGGTGAGTAGCTGGACACTCACAGGGGAGAGGCAGGCTGCAAGGATAAGAAGTTTATATTTGAAAACAATATTGAGGCAAGAAATTGGCTTCTTTGATAAGGAAACTAGCACCGGAGAAATTGTTGGAAGAATGTCAGGTGACACTATTCTTATTCAAGAAGCCATGGGTGAGAAGGTATAGCTTATTTATAGTAAAGAACATAAATGTTGTCCTGATTGCAATAAATTTCACCACCATGTATGGATTTGAAGATTTTTTTTTTTTCTTTTCAGGTTGGACAGTTTATACAGAATATATTTTCATTCTTTGGAGGGTTTGTTTTATCTTTTGCGAGAGGGTGGCTCCTCACTCTTGTAATGTTGTGTTCAATTCCACCAATTGCTATTTCTGGTGGTCTCATGATGAAGCTCATAGGCACGCTGGCTTCCCACGAACAAACCGCCTATTCACAAGCAGCCACTATTGTAGAGCAGACAATTGGCTCTATCAGAACTGTAAGCAACATTTGCATAGTGAAAACCTTTTGCTTCAATGGAATTATTGATGTAAAATTTATTGTTCATGTAGGTTGCATCATATACAGGGGAGCAACTAGCAATTTCTAAGTACAACAAGTCTTTGATTAAAGCATACAAGTCTAGTGTACAACAAGGATTGGCTACTGGCTTAGGTATGGGTATTGTAATGTTTATCTCATATTGTGGCTATGGATTGGCAGTGTGGTTCGGTGGAAGAATGATAATTGATAAGGGATACACAGGAGGAGATGTCCTCATTGTGATTTTTGGTGTGTTGCTTGGCTCTGCGTAAGTGCACTCTCCTGCTTTTTAATCCACAAAAGAATTGCTTTATCATGTTCAACTAAAATCTAATATAGGATTTATTTAAAATTAAATGGAAAAGGATGCATGTATGTAGCCTTCAATCAGTTTGTTATTTTTATGGAGTTATGAATTTTATATTGACTTTTTAGCATTTTTTTCGGATTTTAAGGTCTCTAGGGCAGGCAAGTCCATCTTTGAGCGCATTTGCTGCTGGACAAGCTGCAGCATTTAAAATGTTCGAGGCAATCAATAGGAGGCCTGATATTGACGCTTATGATACTAATGGAAGGAAACTGGATGAAATTCGTGGTGATATTGAATTAAAGGATGTTAGTTTCAGTTATCCAGCAAGACCAGATGAACAAATATTAATTGGATTCTCTCTTTCAATACCGAGTGGTACAACTGCTGCTCTGGTTGGGCAGAGTGGAAGCGGGAAATCAACAGTAATCAGTTTGATAGATAGATTTTATGATCCACAGGCTGGTGAAGTACTTATAGACGGCGTTAATCTCAGAGAGTTTCAGCTTAAATGGATCAGAGAGAAAATAGGTCTTGTCAGCCAGGAACCTGTGTTGTTTTCGTCAAGCATTAGAGACAATATTGCTTACGGGAAGATTGGTGCAACTAATAAAGAAATAGAAGCTGCTGCAGAGCTTGCAAATGCTGCTAACTTCATAAATAAGCTACCTCAGGTTTTAATTCTTCAACTATCAGTCATTTGGAAATATCTTATTCTTTCTTAATTCCTTGAGAAGGAAGACAAATCACTAAATCCTCCAACTATCAGAAAATTTGAAGAATATTTCTTCTTTTTAGAGCCATCTATCACAGTTTTCCCACTTCAACTCCTTTAAGTTTGAATCTTACCCTTGCATATTTATGTTGCAATTGCTCAGGGACTAGACACAATGGTTGGAGAACATGGGATTCAGCTATCGGGGGGCCAAAAGCAGAGAGTTGCTATAGCAAGAGCCACCCTGAAAGATTCAAGAATCCTACTTCTTGATGAAGCCACAAGCGCTCTTGATGCTGAATCTGAAAGAGTGGTGCAAGAGGCACTTGAAAGAGTTATGGTCAACCGAACAACTGTCCTTGTAGCTCATCGCTTGACTACAGTGAGGAAGGCAGATATGATAGCTGTTATTGAGAAAGGGAAGATTGTCGAAAAAGGTTAAAATTTGATGATATTGCCCTATTTTAATAGTTCATCTCTAGAAGCTGCCTATCATTAATGAATTTTTGTTTGAGTAGTCTATGAATTACTCATGACCAGTTCCATGATCAAGTGTTTTGTGTCCCGTGCATTACCCTACCCAGTTACCATTCATCTTCTTGATAATTTTTTGCTGCAAGCTGTATTTCTATTATATGCAAAACTGAGTTATGTTTGTTTCAAATTATCAGGTTCACATTTTGAGCTACTCAAGGATCATGATGGAGCATATAGCCAGCTCATACGGTTGCAGGAAATTGGCAAAGAGTCACAAAAAGATGCTTCAATTCAGTCAGACAGTGGTCGTCATTCCTGGGTCCAATATGTTGCGTCTCCCATAAGTAGAATTTCTGATAGATCACCTGAAATGTCACCTGAAAAATCACCTGAAAAATCAATTGATAGTACTCCTGCTTCAGAAAAACCACAGATTTCTCAACAAGTCTCACTTAGCCGCTTGGCTCGTCTTAATAGCCCTGAGATACCTATGTTAATACTAGGTTCTATATTTGCTGCAGCCAATGGAGTAATATTACCAATTTTTGGGATGGTGCTTGCCAGTGTTATTAAAACTTTCTACGAGCCCGAAGAAAAACTGAAGAGAGATTCCTCATTTTGGGCATTAATATTTGTGGCTATTGGTGTGGCTTGTTTTCTGAGTTTCCCAATGAGCTCATACTTTTTTGGTGTAGCAGGCTGCAAGTTGATAAAGCGAATACGATCAATGTGCTTTGAGAAAGTGGTACACATGGAGATAGGTTGGTTTGATGAAGCTGAGCATTCGAGTGGTGCCATTGGTGCAAGGCTTTCTTCAGATGCAGCTTCAGTACGAAGTTCGGTTGGTGACACACTCGCTTTGCTTGTTCAGAATGCTGCAACAGCAGCTGCAGGCTTGATAATTGGTTTCAAAACAAACTGGGAATTGTCTTTGATAATCCTTGCCTTCTTTCCTCTGTTGGGACTTAGTGCTTATGGTCAAATGAAGGCGATATACTTTAGCAGCGTTAGCGGTAATGATAAGGTTTGTTTTTAACTACTTTGAAAGACATTCATGTTATACCTAATTTTGATTACACAAGATCAATTTTGATAAGGAAAACCAAATATGTGATTCTTTTTTTAAAAGAAAAATGATGAACAAGCTGTATGTTATTCTAAATATTGAGACTCACTATTGTTATTATTATTACTTTTTTATCAAGATGGAGATTTTCAAATGTTTGCAGAAAATGTATGAGGAAGCTAGTCAGGTTGTGAGTGATGCAGTTGGCAGCATTAGAACCGTAGCTTCCTTCTGTACCGAAGAGAAGGTAATTGAACTATATCAGAAGAAATGTGATGGCCCAGTTAAGGCAAAGATAAAGCAAGGATTGATTAGAGGATTATGCTATGGGCTATCCTTCTTCTTTTTCTTTTTTATCTATGCAGTCGAATTTTTTATTGGAGGCATATTAGTTAACCATGGCAGGACAACATTCAATGACTTTTTTCATGTAAGTATTTCATTCTTCATGTCAAACAAGTATTTCAAGCTTGTGCTTTTACACTTGTTGATTGATCACTGATAACCTGAAGCAAAAATTTCTCTGATTATTCTTGTGATGATCATTAGCCTAACTACTGTTTACAGGTGTTTTTTGCTCTCAGTATGACAGCCTTTGGAATTTCAAGAACGACCTCTCTAGCTCCTGATGTTGCTAAAGCTAAGAGTTCCAGTGCTTCTGTATTTGGGCTTCTTGACCAGATATCCAAAATAGACTCAAGTGATAACACTGGAACAACATTGGACAATGTTAGAGGTGAAGTTGAGCTTCGACATGTCAGTTTCAAGTATCCAACAAGACCTGATACTGAAATTTTCCATGATCTTTGCTTGACCATACATTCTGGCAAGGTAATGTTTTATGTCTCATAACTCATTCTACTTATAGAAGTTCCCCCACAACCTGATAAACCTTATAGTTAAAATGGAACTTTTGAGCTGGCCTGAAGCTATGGCAACAAATTTTGGTGTAACAAGCTTCTTCCAATTTTGCTTGCTTTTGCTTAACAATTGTAAATATAATTCAAACAGGAAAAGTGTTTTCTTTGACACATATATAGGCAATACTGCTACAGCTTTCTAATTGACTTGGTTGAACCAAAAGAGTGAATAAAATTAATCATGAAATTTCTATTTGAAAATTAACAAATCGTATCTTTTGTATCAGATGGTTGCTCTAGTTGGAGAAAGTGGGAGTGGTAAATCGACAGTGATCTCTCTATTGCAGAGATTTTATGATCCTAATTCAGGTCACATTACTCTAGATGGAATAGAAATCCAAAGGCTACAACTGAAATGGTTAAGGCAGCAGATGGGCTTGGTGAGTCAGGAGCCTGTGTTATTCAATGACACCATCCGAGCCAATATTGCATATGGAAAGGAGGGAGATGCAACAGAAAGTGAAATTTTGGTTGCAGCAGAATTAGCTAATGCCCACAGCTTCATTAGTGGCTTACAACAGGTTAAGACACTGATACCTATATTCCCACTTATTGGCATTTCAAATTATTGTTAAACCTTCATTGATGAGAATGATTCATCACGTTTTCAATAGTGACTTTTCCATTGCCACTAAATTTATTTATTATTGAATTGAAGAGAAATTTATATTTCTGATTATTATAGTTCGGAAATGCAGGGATATGATACATCAGTGGGAGAAAGAGGAATCCAATTATCTGGGGGACAAAAACAACGAGTAGCTATTGCGCGTGCTATTGTGAAGGCTCCAAAACTTTTATTGCTAGACGAAGCCACTAGCGCTCTTGACCTGGAGTCTGAACGAGTGGTTCAAGATGCATTAGATCGAGTTATGAAGGATCGAACTACAATTATGGTAGCCCATCGGTTATCCACAATTAGGAATGCAGACGTGATTGCAGTGATTAAAGATGGAGTCATAGTAGAAAAAGGAAACCATGAAACTATAATCAATGTGAAGAATGGTGTTTATGCATCCTTGTTAGCACTTCATACAAGTGCATCAAATTAAGTGCTTATGCTCCTGCTTCACTCTGTTTGTAGTTTGTTTATGGGCTATTTTGCTCTCTTATGTTGTTCTATATATAATTTTCTTGTTTCTGGAAACACTAAGAATGTAAGTTTCAGAGGAATGAAGATGAAGAAGTAGGTTTCAGTCACTGTTTTGTTAGACAAGCTCAATCTAAAGTAGTTGCAACAAATTTTGTTCCATAAATTGTTTAATAATTGACACTAAAAAACATTGAAGACTGAAGTAATATATCAGCTAACAAGCTCAAACACAGAACTGATTACATGGGTATATATGTGTTCACTTAATCTCACACACTGGTCTTGAGATTGAAGCTCGTTGGAACGACCTGGACAGATGATAAACAGAATCATGAAAATTTGAGTGGAAAGTTGGATGCTTGTTATGATTCACAGAATAAATATAAATACGAAAATGATGTCTTTCGTAAGTGTTGCTAGCATCTCAAGTATTCTTTGATTTCAGAATTTTGTTCAATGTTGCTGTTGTTTGATGCCAAAGTTGTCTTCACAACCAGCAAATTGATGAAATGAAGAGCCTTGTGAGACTAAAAACCCTAAATACTATTGTCAGTAAATTTCCAGGTTAGTTTTTGTTGATAAATTGTGCTCCTGATGTCATTTTCAAAGTATTGATACTGTTGCAATAAAAGCAATTTATGTGCAGAAGTAACACAATCTCAATTCGGGCAAGAATGACAGTATCTAAACCAAGAATGGAATAAAAAGAGCAACAACACAAGAAGCATAACAGACTCTCATATCTACTATCCAACAATGATAAAAGACAGCTGCTGCTTCCACCGTCACTGAACTACCAAAATGGCTTCTGCTAAAACTTGACGGAAAGCAGCTTATCTCAAATAATTTTTAACCAGAAAATTTTAGTAGTGCAGTTCAGAAGACATGTTTGAGTTGTAGGTAGTATGATTGGACATAATCACATCTCGCATATTAGTAAACGATAGTCTGGACAAGTTTAAAAGTCTTGAATCGATTCAACTTTGGGTGAAAAATGTTTATGTAAGATCCAAAAGATAATTCTTGTCTGGGAGACAAAGCAGACCTGGGGTGTTACAATGATAATCTATAAAGCAGATATTTGTGGGAGACATATACAAGTGCGTTCAGTGTCTAAAAAGCAGAACTAACATTGTATGAGTGAGATTGTATAATAGTAGTGGATGATGCTAGCTAGATAATATTCTCTCAGGTGGGCATTAGCATTAGTTTCCAATCAGTATCAGTATTACCTAATAATTCGAATCAAAGTACAGTGAAAGACAAGAAGTTTTTCCTGTAGGGAATAATAATGAGGCACCATTGCTGGAGCATATATTCCTTGCAGGTAAGTATATATATATTTAGAAGAATAATACATAGTTAATGATATAATCTTTTGATATTCCTCCCTGGTTTATAGAGTCCTCTCCAAGTGCAAGCTAGCTAGCAAAGCAATATGAATTATGTATTAATAGTACCATCCCAATTCCATTCTCTTTTCTGCTATTTTTGCACCAGCTTTTCCTTCAGCCTACTTTTAAGCATATATTCTTATATTTAGAAATGTGCACAACACAACTAGACCCTCTCTCGTATATTTTGAAATAAGAGACAGGAGAAAAAACAAATCCTGCCCCCATCTAATATTATACACACAATCAAATATAATTTTTATTGGATTTGATTGAAACCAAAAGTCAAGGAGTTTTGTTTCTTCTGTTAATTATCCACCACATGTTTCATAGTATTATCATTAATTAGCATAATAATTCATGTATTATTATCATATGAAAAGGAAATGCATGTTATTAACATTTGATTAATCAAAAATAATGACAATAATTATGGTATGGTCCCCTACAACTTAAAATTATTCAATTAATCTCCCCAGTTAATTGGTATCGTGCACGAAAGGGAATTGCTAATTGTTTGATTTCAATCCCCTCCACCAATTCAAATTCATGACAATTATGTTCCCCTATGCCTCAACACTATTCAGCTGTTCATATTATTATCATACGAAAGAGAAATGAACAATGGCTAAACCCCAACTAATATAAATTCAAATGTGGATTAATTGCCTTCTACATTTCAACATTGATCAAACCAACATCTTTATCTTCATCAATTTAGCTGGCCTCATTGCTTGCGGCATGGAAATGTTGACTAATATTAACAAAATCTTTACTTGTTGTCTTATATTAATACACCATTACTTGTTGTTTAATTATTTGCTCTATAATATCTGAGATGCTATTCATATCCCAAATCATTGTCAAACTCAATAAAATCCAAATCTATTATTTTCATCTCCAAATCTTGATTACAAAATTTTATTTGACAGGAGAGTATGAAGCAAACTATGATCGACACAACATTATGAGGTCCCCTACGATACATATCACTAGTTTATTTAATAATATGTAGGGGTTATTTGCACCTAATATAATATTTTTGACACCCATTTCCTAAATATGTATATGCCTGAATTTTAATAGAAAAATTTGTATTCTAATGTTTGATTAGATGGAAAATATAATGAGAACAAAAGTTTTGTTGAAATTTATTAAAAAAATCATCTTTATAATGCTAATGATGTATTAATTAGAATTATGGTTGTGTAGAGTATTTTTATATATGCAAAAATAACCACACTATTATATATTTTGTAATTACGTATACACATAATGTCAAATCTAATTACAAACTTTTCATTTTAATCGATATGTTATCTTATGTGACATTGAATATAAAATATAAAATATAAATATGAGCGTAGGAGGACTTGGAATACGTATTTCTTGTATATGCATAAATTAATAGAATGAAGATGATGATGGTGGTGGCAAATAGTTTAATGTTGATCACACTATTCATTTGTATGTATAAAAAAGATTACAGTTAAGAGAGATTAGGGTGTGATTAAAATATGAAATCAGGAATGAACTTAAACTAATTATTAGATTTGAATAGTGAAAGGATGTGAGGAATTCAATCCTTTATAACTTATTCTTTTACTAGGTACCACTGATGGTGGCTTATATATATATATATATATAGGAGTAAACGACTTTTTCCTACCCAAGGTTTCACCTAACGACCTTTCCCACCCGCCAAGTTTTATAATGACATTTTCTCACCCACCGTTATAATTTGTCCGTTAATTTTAACTACAGAAGGATATAATGATTACTACTGAAGGTGGCTTATATATATAGAGTGTAGCTGGCACTGGGAAGCATGCACAACTCGAAGGTTGATTGAAATTGTCACCATTCAAAACCTACTTCATTAACCCACCACACTTCTAAAGACTCCATCATCAATCTTCTGTGAGTTTAACGTTTGAGTTTCTGCATGTCAATCGGGTTCTGTTAGTAATGGCTCTAAAATGAAGTTTCTTGTTCTTGGAGAAGTTTGAATATAGCATATAGTTGAGAAAGCTAATGTGACAAAGCTAGACAAGCCATAATAAGCTGTCGGATTAATTATATATCAATTTCCAAGCTACTACTGAATGAAAAAGTTATTGATTTCTTGAAAATTATTTTCAACATGTTTCACTAATTAAGAGGGTGTTGTTGTAGGTAACATGACTAAGGAGAAAGGTTTGGATGAAGAAATAATAGCAGAGCAGGCCTCAGCTTCAGCATCGACAAGCCACTCTCCAGTGGAAGAGTCTCAGGAACCTCCAAAAGAGGCTGACACCCAACAAAGAAAGAAGAAAGAAGAAAACACTCATGTACTCCCATATTACAAGCTTTATTCGTTTGCCGACTTCACAGATTTTCTGTTAATTGGTGTTGGCACAGTTGCTGCCATTGGAAATGGAATCTGTATGCCCCTCATGACAGTACTCCTTGGAAATTTGGTAAATGCATTCGGACAAAATGCTAACATCAAACAGGTGGTTGATGAAGTTTCAAAGGTATTATTTCAAACTTTGTTCTTATATCTCAATCAAGTATCTAACTTAACATGAATTTTGAACTTGCTTATATCATGCAACATGAAAAAGATTTTTAGTGAAACTTCATACTGTGTCAGGTTTACTTATAATAGATTGGCTTGTTTCATACTCAGGCGTCTCTGAATTTTGTATTCTTGGCGATGGGGGCTGGTGCTGTAGGATTTCTTCGTAAGTATATCAGGCTTCTTGCTAAGACAATACGTGGATCAGAGAACTTTTGTTTTCTTTTTCTTTTAAACTTTTTTAATAGAAAAGATGACAATATCATTGATTGAAAAATAATTACAACAGAATGAACAAACTGTCCACTCAAAGTTAGGATCATTTAAAGGACCACAAAAAGATCTATACAATTAGAATGAACAGTCCAATGAAAAGCTATGGATAAGTTAAAATCCAATGCCAATAACACAAAATTAACTGAAATTTTTCCATTACAATCTAAGTGAATAAAGAGAAAAGAAGACCTGTATGTACCATTAGAAACTGAATATCTATGTTTGCTGTATGGCAGAGATGACTTGCTGGATTGTCACTGGGGAAAGACTAGCAGCACGTATAAGAAGTTTGTACTTAAAAACAATGTTAAGACAAGATGTTGGCTTCTTTGATACGGAAACTCATACTGGAGAAATTATTGAAAGGATGTCAGGTGACATTGTGCTTATTCAAGATGCCATGGGCGAGAAGGTATTATGTTCTAGAAAAGCCTAAATTGTGGCCACTTTTTCCAGTTTTCTTAAAAAGAGTTTAGATTTTCTCTTAATGTCTTTCTTAACTCAACTTTTCTGCCTTTATATAGGTTGGGAAGCTCTTACAGCAAGTAGCAACATTCATTGCAGGATTTGTTGTTGCATTTGTCAAGGGATGGCTTCTCACCCTTGTCCTGTTATCTTGTATTCCACCGCTTTTCATCTCTGGAGCTGTCATGACCATTGTAATGGGAAAGCTTACAGCCCGAGGACAAGCTGCTTATTCACTTGCTGCTACTGTATCTCAGCAGACCATTGGTGCAATTAGAACTGTATGAAATCTTGGCGCGAAGAATACTTAATCTTTCCTTTTCTTTGTAAATTGTATGGAATATATGATTTTGATACTCTTTCATGATGCAGGTTGCATCATTTACTGGGGAGAAGCAAGCTGTTGCCAAATACAACGACTCCTTAAGCAAAGCTTACAAATCTGGCGTGCAAGAAGGCTTGGCTTCAGGGATTGGTTTTGGTTCAGTTAACTTTGTTTTATATAGCAGTTATGCCTTGGCTGTATGGTTTGGTGGCAAAATGATACTTGAAAGAGGATATTCTGGAGGGGATGTCATTAGTGTTATCTTTGCTGTAATGACTGGATCCTTGTAAGTTGTGCTGTGTATTGGTTTTATGTTTTACTAAATTGGTCTAGAAGGACTTTTTCACTATTTTGCTTTATTTTTCCAGTTCTCTAGGACAGACATCTCAATCCATTAGTGCATTTGGTCCTGGACAAGCTGCAGCTTATAAATTGTTTGAGGCAATCCAAAGGAAGCCGCAGATAGATGCTTATGATACCAATGGACTGAAATTAGATGATATTCGAGGAGATATAGAATTAAAAGATGTTTGTTTTAGTTATCCTGCAAGACTGGATGAACAAATATTCAATGGATTCTCCCTCTCAATTCCTAGTGGAATAACTGCAGCTTTAGTTGGACAGAGTGGAAGTGGCAAATCAACTGTCATCAGTTTGANAGTGTTATCTTTGCTGTAATGACTGGATCCTTGTAAGTTGTGCTGTGTATTGGTTTTATGTTTTATTAAATTGGTCTAGAAGGACTTTTTCACTATTTTGCTTTATTTTTCCAGTTCTCTAGGACAGACATCTCAATCCATTAGTGCATTTGGTCCTGGACAAGCTGCAGCTTATAAATTGTTTGAGGCAATCCAAAGGAAGCCGCAGATAGATGCTTATGATACCAATGGACTGAAATTAGATGATATTCGAGGAGATATAGAATTAAAAGATGTTTGTTTTAGTTATCCTGCAAGACTGGATGAACAAATATTCAATGGATTCTCCCTCTCAATTCCTAGTGGAATAACTGCAGCTTTAGTTGGACAGAGTGGAAGTGGCAAATCAACTGTCATCAGTTTGATTGAGAGATTTTATGATCCTCAGGCTGGTGAAATTCTTATTGATGGTATTAATCTCAAAGAGTTCCAGCTTAAATGGATTCGGGAGAAAATAGGCCTTGTCAGTCAGGAACCTGTGCTGTTTACTTCCAGCATCAAAGACAATATAGCCTATGGGAAAGACTGTGCTACTATTCAGGAAATCAGGGCTGCTGCCGAACTTGCCAATGCTGCTAAGTTCATAGATAAATTGCCTAAGGTTTTCTCTCCACCTTTAGTTAGGGTCAACAAACTATTGCATGTTTGATTTATCAGAATGATGTTTCCTATCAACTTGATGTACCTTGTTCATTTAGCTTCTTTTCTTTGTGTGTGTTTTATGTATTCAGGGACTGGACACAATGGTCGGGGAGCATGGAACTCAACTATCTGGTGGACAAAAGCAGAGAGTAGCTATAGCTAGAGCAATTCTTAAGGACCCTAGAATTCTACTTCTGGACGAAGCCACAAGCGCTCTTGATGCAGAATCTGAGAGAACAGTGCAAGAGGCACTAGACAGAATTATGATCAACCGAACTACAATTGTTGTAGCCCATCGCTTGAGTACAGTGAGAAATGCTGATATGATTGCTGTTATTCATCAAGGAAAAATTGTTGAGAAGGGTAAAACTTTTGCTGATATCAACCTGTCTTATCAGTTAAATCCCACTAAAAGTTCCTTAACACCATTATGCGTAAATTGAAAATCAATTTCATAAGGGCATATAGTTGATGAGTGATGGAAATTATTTATTGCTTAAAGACAAGATGCTTCTTTTTACCTCCCGGGGAAGTTTCCCAAATATGGTTTCTTGCTGAAATCAGTTAGTAAGCTGCCACTAATATTCTGTATGATCATTTCATTACTGTAAACGCATATTACAGCTTCAAATCTTTAATCTTTTTTACTGATCAGGTACACACTCTGACCTAGCCAAGGATCCTGATGGAGCATATAGCCAGCTTATACGGTTGCAAGGAACAAACATGGTATCAAAACAAAATGTTGCAAATGATCAAGAAAGGCCAGAAATATCTGTGGATTCAGAAAGACATTCAAGTCAACGGATGTCTTTACTGCGATCCATAAGCGGGGGGTCATCTGGAAATGGAAATAGCAGTCGTCACTCAATCTCAGTTTCATTTGGTGTACCCACTGGAATTGATGTCCTAGAAACAGCTCCTGCAGAAGCAGAACCACTTACTTCTTCTTCAGAGCTATCAAAAAATTCAAAACCACCTCCAGAAGTCCCACTTTCACGCCTGGCATATCTCAACAAGCCAGAGATCCCAGTGTTACTGCTAGGCACAATTGCTGCAGGTATCATTGGTCTAGTATTACCTATTTTTGGGATCCTGCTTTCCAGTGTAATAAAATCTTTCTTTGAGCCAGCGGACAAACTTCGCAAAGATACACACTTTTGGGCATTCATGTACTTCTTGTTAGCTGTGACATGTTTATTGGCTCAACCATTGAAATCATATTTTTTTTCCGTTGCTGGATGTAAGTTGATCAGACGGATCAGATCAATGTGTTTTGAGAAAGTGGTTTACATGGAGATAAGTTGGTTTGATGAACCTGACCACTCAAGTGGTGCAATTGGTGCAAGGCTTTCTGCAGATTCTGCTTCTTTTCGAAGGGTGGTTGGAGATGCACTAAGTTTGCTTGTTCAGAATATTGCAACTCTAATTGCTGGTTTGATTATCGCCTTTGAAGCAAACTGGCAAATGGCTCTCACAGTCTCTATGTTGCTGCCCCTGATAGGAGCTAACGGATACATTCATATGAAATTCCTGAAAGGTTCCACTGCTGATGCTAAGGTACAGCTGAAATCCTGAAGCATTAAAAAAAAAAAAAATTTTTTTTATCTTTTTCTTTTTGAGAATGGGAAGGGACGCTGCGGAATGTAGTTATCCTAATTCAACTGTACTTAAAAAGTTGTTTTCTACTTATTTCAGAATAGCTGAAATGTATTGAATGATAATGAAATATTTGTATGATTGCAGAAAATGTATGAGGAAGCAAGTCAAGTTGCGAATGATGCAGTAGGAAGTATTAGAACTGTTGCTTCTTTCTGTGCAGAAGAAAAGGTGATGGAATTGTATCAGAAGAAATGTGATGGCCCTATCAAAGCAGGAATGAAGCAGGGTGTAATTGGTGGGGTTGGTTTTGGACTAACATTCTTCCTGCTGTTTTTGTTCTATGCTGGCACTTTTTATGCTGGAGGCCGACTTGTTGAGGCTGGTAGGGCAACATTTCCTGAGGTTTTTCGTGTAAGTTTCTTTTCTCCCTTGTTCATCAAAACGCATTCAGGATTTCCATCCCAACAGTTCTTTAGGAAGAGACAAGATGCTTTTTTTTCTATTCTTTTCTAATTGCTGAATTTTCTGAATTTGCAGGTTTTCTATGCACTCTTTCTGGCAGCCACTGGGATTTCACAATCAGGCTTCCTTGCGCCTGATGCCAGTAAGGCAAAGAGTGCTGTGGCTTCTGTATTTGCAATTCTTGATCGGAGATCAAAAATAGACCCAAGTGATGAGTCGGGGACAATAATAGAAAGTGTTAAAGGAGACATTGAGTTTCAGCATGTCAGTTTTGGTTATCCTACAAGACCTTATATACTAATATTCACAGATCTCTGCTTGGCTATTCGTTCTGGCAAGGTAACTATATGCTATTTTCATTTTCTGTCTAGGCCCTGAAAAGCATAGAAACTAACTAAATAAACTCATTTTTCTATTAGACTGTTGCTCTAGTTGGAGAAAGTGGGAGTGGGAAATCAACAGTAATCTCCTTGTTGCAAAGATTCTATGACCCAGATTCAGGTCGCATTACATTGGATGGAATTGAAATCCAAAAGCTACAATTGAAGTGGTTAAGACAGCAGATGGGCCTGGTGAGCCAAGAGCCTGTGTTATTTAATGACACTATCCGAGCAAATATTGCATATGGCAAGGAAGGAAATGCAACAGAAGCAGAAATTTTAGCCGCAGCAGAATTGGCAAATGCCCACAAGTTCATTAGCAGCTTAAAACAGGTTACAACATATGCTTGGCCTAATTGGATAGATGAGATGACTTAAATTTTGATGATTAATTTGTTGTATTTGGAAAGTGCAGGGGTATGATACAGTGGTAGGTGAGCGAGGAATCCAATTGTCGGGTGGACAGAAGCAAAGGGTGGCAATTGCAAGAGCAATAGTGAAGGATCCAAAAATATTACTTCTGGATGAAGCAACAAGTGCTCTTGATGCAGAATCTGAAAGAGTGGTGCAAGATGCATTGGATCGAGTCATGGTAGGCAGAACCACAATAGTGATAGCTCATAGGCTGTCAACAATCAAGGGTGCTGATTTAATTGCTGTGGTTAAGAATGGTATCATAGTTGAAAAAGGAAGACATGAGACTCTGGTGAAGATAAAAGATGGTGTTTATGCTTCATTGGTAGCACTACAAACAAGTGCTTCATCCTAATCAGCTTCACTCTACTCTTGGTTTGTGTAATACTGATGAGTTTTGGTTCATAAATTTTGCTGGAAATGTGTTCACATGTGAGACACATCATATCTAAATTTGGATGAACAGGTAGCTCATGTAAGTTGGTATCTCAACATCTGAAAACCTCCCATTCACCAACCACTCTTTTTAATTATATAATTACTTTGTCTCTCTCATGCAAAACTAAAAGATTATGCACTACTCCATAAAAAATTAAGCCAACTTTCTTTATTGGGAAAATTCATGGGAAATTTGTGTTTAATATCTAAGCTTAAATAGGTGGTGTGAAACAAGTATATATTTTTTGTCAAAGATTCTACCGTCGGCACATCATATAATTGACGTACCAACTCCCCAAAGATGTAGCAGGTATACAGAGTATATTTCCAACATGCTTGAAAAGGAAAAAAAAAAAAGGGAATAATGGGTAGAACAAAATTAAAGAGGAATTAATGGAAGTGGAATCCAATAATTAATCCCACTACCATAAATATACAGCGGCTTTCCCACCTCTCAACTACTCTTGATAATTGTTATTATTAAACATTTGGAAATTGAAGTGAGTATATTTTACTCTTGTTTCCATCATTTATCACTGGGACTGGGCGGTGTTGAAATCATAAACCAGATTCTCATTGTTAATGTCTGTTTACTGGTGGAAAAATTGACCCAGGAGTACGATAAGACTCTGAAAATCCAAAACTTACCATCAAAATATTATAAACTAAGACTTAGAGGAGATGAAAGCACGTGAATTAAAGAGAGAAAAGTGGATGGTATTAGGAGAAAAGCCAAGTCTGAGATCACAATCAACCCAACAAATGACACTACATATGATGCGAAGTAGCAACTAACCAACAGAAACGCCGACTCCGACCCCGACCCGTCATATTATATATATATATTATCATTCAAGCAGTAGCTATCCTAGTAGTATTACTTCAAAGGAAATCCCCACTATCCCTCCTTTGTCTTCTTCTTCAACTAGTTATTCTAAAATAATGAGAACATACACCACATAAAACCATCAATTCAAACCATCAGAGCTGGAGACCAGTTTTCAAAGTTGAAGGTAAATACCTTTCTGTCTCTCTTATATATTGATATTGCTAGCGATTCTTGTTAAATAATCTTATACAACTTTATATATAAAGCTTTCTTGTTCCATGGATACACACCAGAATGATGAAATAAAGGCATGCAGTTTGCAGGTACCATATATAAAGCTTAATATATAGTTAACAAATGTAATGAAAATTTTAACTTGCTCTCTAGCTCTTGTTTATTAATGATCAACTAATAAAACATGAGAAGACGCACGTACAATAATTCTTGTCTGTGTAGGAGCATGTGCAATATAAATAATGCAAACAAACACTTGTTCAAATTAAGAAATTTGACAAATTAAAGTACTCTTCGGTTGTCGGCCTTCTTTCTCTTTCTCCCCAAGTAAAAATCTGTTAAGACTAAAGTAAATAAAATTCTTTCCTTGGATATCATCTTTTTCTTTGACCATATTCTAAGATTTTATCGAAGCTGCCATATCTGCGTTTTTATATGGTTAGAAATACAGCATATATATATTGATCTTTTGTTCAGAAAACACTTTATATATCTGGGCAAATTGATGAAGGTGAGAAAAAGCAATAGTGCAAGATTCATCATGGACCATTGGAGGCCATAAAAGAAGTGGTCCTTAATTAAGTTTTCTTGCGAGAGAGTGGCATGTGATTCTACAAATAAAATTTGGTGATGAAACTATAGTTTTCAGCGGTGTCTGTCTTGTCACATGTACAAGTGTTCATTTAGGTGTAATTCGTTTTAAGCGTAAGTTTCACTCACGGGTAACCCCATGCATAGAAATAGAACCCCATTTAGAAAGTCTCTTTCCTGTTGCTTTTACTGCATCAACAACTCTACCGATGGCTGCTTTTATCTTGTGACTTGTAGTATGATATCTCAGCAGATGAGATGAGCTGTATGCAACCTTATAGATTAGATAGCTTTGTATTACAAAAGAAGCTTTTTAAATTAAGTATCTAGCTAGCATGCATCTGCATTTCTGTTAACTTTACGACACTATCAAGAATCGGATTTATCGTTAAAGTTGAAAGGTGTCACTTTTGGTTGAAACCCGCAAAGGGAATTTGGTTTTTACAGGTGTAGAACAAATTAAAAATATGATAATGACTTGATTTTTGTGTCTTTTTATGCATACTTTCTGGGTAATGTTTGTGTGTTTGCTTTGGCTTTGGTAAGTAACAATCTTAATCTTATCCATCCCTTCTCTTCTTCTTTTATGGGTTTATGGCCTCTTATAATAGAAATTAGAAGTGGAATCTTGGTTGCATGGTGAACTGGAACCACGACTACAAATAGTTAATAATCAGTACCTAACCTAAACATTGTCAGTACAGTACACTTTAGAATAGTAATTAAAACACTTGAATTATACATTCAAAACTAACATTCCAGATTAATGATAAAAGGATTAACCCACTAACTTAATTGGGATGATTAGATGCACCAACCTATCCTATATGGCATTATAGGCTTTAGTATAAATATAGTGAATAGAATTAACGTGACTTCTAACCAACCATTTGGACAGACAACTTAAACTGGAAATCTACATTAACTTCATCATCATCATGATTAGGGTTTATACTTTAAGATAAAATAAGATAAGATGTCACCATTGATGTATATAAACAGTTGGTCGTAATTTTCCAATGATTCCCACTACAAACTGTTTGCTTGTGATCCTTTTTTTTTTTTTTTTTTTTTAAATCATGGTCATGGACCCATCTCATTATATATGCACAAAAAGAAGCAATAGATGTTCACGGAATTTACTTCACTAAATGCCCCACATGGAAAATAGTACAGGAGAAATAGGTGGAACGGACATCTTAATCTTGCGGTGATTAATTGTAGTTAAGATTAGGTGAAATCTTAGTCAAATTTAAGAAAGAAGAATGTCATGTCAGAAATTATGCACGTATTCATCAAAATGTACCCACATGATGAAGAATTTTGGTCATTGTTTCAAGGCAGAACACATGTAAAAGATCCTTTTCAGGTAAATGAATAACATTATTTAAATGGTTAAGCTTTTCTCTGTTGCAGAGCAGAGAATCCAAGACTATCAGTTGCCACTTCCCATTCCCAGTAATATTATCAGTAGCTTCTGCAATTTGTCTGATTTACAGAATATTTATTACTGTGGTTAATATTTGGGTTTATTTTATTTCAGGATCAGAGATAGAAACAGTGACTCGGTCTCCCCAAGCCCACGGGCTCCCACACCTCACCCTTTAACTTACCTAAATCAGTTACAGTTGTCATTTGTTTTATAACTTCCAGTTTCTGAAGAACCCCATGAACATGAAGCATCATCCATCAGAACCAGAAACGCAAACAAAACTCAACAACATGTCACATTCTACAACCCCATCTCGTTTCAGACCAAACTCTAAAACCAGGCATTCTCCGTCGCCAAAACAAGAATCTGTGTCCCCAGATGTAAAGACCAATGGTATCACTACAAAGACCAGGAGGTCTCTTGTCTTGAACAGGCCCAAATTTTCAGATGATGCACTGGGATCTCAAAAACTTGATGAAGTCAAAGTCTTGGGTCGTTCTGTGAACCGCCCTGTTGTTGAGCAGTTTGCTAGGCCGAGAAGGCCGCGTTCTACAGACGCTTGTTCTGGGAAAAATAATGAAGATGGTGTGGTGAATGAAGTGAAGAAAGAATTGGAGGAGAAGGTAAGTTTGAGTGAGAATTTGGTTAAAGATTTGCGGGCGGAGGTTGTGGCTTTGAAGACAGAATTGGATAAAGCACAGAGCTTGAATGCAGAGTTGGAGAAGCAGAAAAATAAGCTTGCTGATGATCTTGTTGCTGCTCAAGCTAAGATTGTTGCACTTAGCAGCCGTGAACAGGTGAATGTATTATATTTGTCTTGGTTTCTTGCTCTTGTGTTCATACCTGTCCAGAAAGAAAGAGATTCTTTTTCATTATGTTCTAAAAAAATTCATTTTGTAAAGGAACAAAAATTTATCATAATATGTTTGTGTAATTTCGAAGTGTTAAATTGGCATGGTAATTGGAGTTCTGATATCAAATTCTATGTTTGAATGAAGAGGGAGCCTACTGGAGAGTATCAGAGTCCTAAATTCAAGGACATTCAGAAACTCATTGCCAACAAATTGGAACACTCAATAGTAAGAAAGGAGGTAATCAAAGAGACAAGTAGTATTAAGCCACCACCATCAGGACCAAAATGTTCTGTTCCAAAAGCCGTGGATGCAGAAACCAAAGCTCCAACCCATCCTTCAATGCTAGCACCTCCACCACCGCCACCACCACCTAGACCCCCAGCCAGAGCAGCTGCCCCCAGAAAGGCTCCTCCACTTGTACAGCTTTATCACTCATTAACAAAACAAGAGGGGAAGAAAGAACAATTAGAGCCGCAGAATCATAATAAACCGGCAGTTTATAGTGCACACAGTAGCATAGTTGGTGAAATTCAAAATCGTTCAGCTCATCTGTTGGCAGTAAGGATTTGAGATTTTATGTTGGATGATATGATTCTGTTGATCTGCCTTGTTTTGATGTTTGAACTGTTGATATTTTAGATAAAAGCGGACATTGAAACCAAAGGTGATTTCATCGAGAGTCTTATCCAGAAAGTACTTGCTGCTGCTTACACAGATATAGAAGACGTTCTAAAATTTGTGGATTGGCTTGATGCTGAACTTTCATCACTGGTAATTTTTAAACCCTTTTCCAAATATTGATCAAACAGTTTTTTCTAAGTTTCTGGGTCACTCTATGTCGTGGGTTTCAAGATTATTTTCAATTATAGGTACTTCACCTCTCCTGTTTAACAGAATCTTATTTTAGGCAAAAATTACTTACATAAACTAGATATTTCAGAAAAATAAATTCAAGTTACTAAATTTATTGTTTCTTTTTATAGGGTGAAGATATACTCATGGCTGTTGTATATGCACTGGATTTTATCAGAATTTCATTTCATATGTAGATCCTTACTGGGTTGTAGCTCTTAATAGTCATGAATACTTGAAAAGCAACTTATGCATAATTTATCCAATTTCCTCTTAGTTTTTCTGGTTTTTATGGATATCTCACATGTAAATTAAGCCTTTCTGTAGTGATCTTCAAATTTCCAAAATCAAAACCTGGATATTATTATTATGGTTGCAATGCTAAATCCAACAAGATTATTGTGTATATACAACTGTGGATTACACCTCAGTTTCCTTAGGAAAAAAGATGCTTGAGATTCCAGTAGTTAGATTGATTATGATAATACATGATATTGACCAAAGATATTATCATGAAGGCAGAATTATGTTTCTCTGAAGTTGCTATTGTGCATGCAAAACTTATTTCTAGAGAGATGATACTTATTTTATGCCTTGCCTTCCACAGGCTGATGAGCAGGCTGTGTTAAAGCATTTCAAGTGGCCTGAGAAGAAAGCTGATGCTATGCGAGAAGCTGCTGTTGAGTATCGAGAACTTAAGCTGCTGGAGAGTGAGATCGCATCCTATAAGGACGACATAAATACTCCTTGTGGTGCTGCCTTGAAGAAGATGGCTAGCTTACTTGACAAGTAATGATTATGCTATGAATTCTTACTTCTCTTTAGATATTGAAGTATGCGATGTCAATTTAACATTATTGACTTGTCTGTCTTCCATCTCTTCTGCCAGGTCGGAACGGAGCATTCAAAGGCTAATTAAATTGCGAAATTCTGTTATGCGTTCTTACCAGGATTGCAAGATTCCAGTTGACTGGATGCTTGATTCAGGAATCGTGAGCAAGGTTTGTTTTTTTTGTTGGCTTGATTGTGATCTCAGAGTTGGCTCTTTTGTATTTGTGCAAAGTGATAATGTATAGCTTGTTTTTTGTTGAATGACTTTTTTTTTGTATTGAGTGATCTATTAAAATGTTTTAAGCATTTTTCAAGTGAATTATTCATACTGGAAAAGCTTTGCAAGTTGTATCTCTCATATTTGAAAGTTTTTAATGGCCTTATTGTTGAATCCCATGCTATAATATAATTGGGGTGAAGTGAAGATTTGTTGCAATTAATGCAGATAAAGCAAGCTTCTATGAAGCTGGCCCAGATGTACATGAAGAGAGTAACAATAGAGTTTGAATCTGTTCGTAATTCAGATAGAGAATCAACTCAAGAAGCTCTGTTGCTTCAGGGTGTGCATTTTGCATACAGGGCTCACCAGGTAATCCTCCAGCTTCTTGCTCTGGGTATGTGATTAGGATGTAAATGATAGAGTGATGTGGTATTGTTATGTGTGCAGTTTGCAGGAGGTCTTGATTCAGAAACATTGTGTGCATTTGAAGAGATTAGGCAGCGTGTTCCAGGACACCTAGGAGGATCTCGACAACTGTTAGCCGGCATACCAAGCTGATGAGAATAACAATAGTTTGTTTAAGCATATAAATTTATGGTTTAATTTGGTGTCTGTAGAGGATGTTTGAGAAAATATATGTAAAAGGTGAGTGAAGTTGAAATTTTTCAGGGTGGGTGTACATGCAATCAAGTTTCTGTTGGCTTTACACTAATCTACTCACAGGCTGGAAATGATATTACAGTACAAAACTATGGCAAATTCTATAATACTGGTCATCTGTAGATCACTATCACTATGTTTGCATTTGCTCATGTCCATTAAATTTAAATATAAAATAATAATATAAGACCATATCTCTGTTGAAGTTCACATGGAGAATTTATTATTCAAATTAAATGGGGACTGTAAGTTGGAGGCCAGGTCAAATAAGGATGCTTTTATTTTTAATATCCATCTGTCACTCAAACCCATACCTTAGCGTCACTACCCAATTCGCCACGTGGATACGCTATTTCTTACAAGGCATCCTACGTGTCACCACTTGGCTTAATCTTTAACCCTTAAGTCATCTTCCAAATAATCCGACGTCTCAGATTAAGCTCAAACGCATGTCTGAAATGCGAGAAAGTGTGGAAAACTCGAACCCATCACGAGGCAGCATGCGGTCCAATTAGAGAAACCCACATATGTTAAACACGCCACCATCTCTTTCATTCTATAAGAAGCAAAGTCTCTTTGTCTCTCTTCAATGGTGGAATTCTCAATCCTCAAAAGTTAAAGCTGTTTTCCGGTAGAAGTTTCAGCAATGGAGGCTTTGACACAAATTGCATGTGTATCCGGCGCTGGAATGGATACCCATCACCACTCCCGTTGGAATGAAAATGGAGTTAGTTTGAAGAAAGAAAAGGTGGGATTGAAGAAGAAGCTGAAATTGTTAAAGGGATTGTCCAAGGATCTCTCTACCTTTTCTGATTTAGGTTTTGCTTCCACTGATCAAAACAATGATTTGATCCTTCAAGTCCGGGGCAAAATGATCACGGTATGTCTGTTAATTATTATTATTATTTTTTTTTTTCCTGTTTTGTAGACTTGATTGATTCAGATCAGAATAATAGTTTGGAGGTGTGAAAGAATATATAATTCCATGTGCAGGAAGCAGCAGAGGTTTTGTTGAAACAGCTTGAGCAATTAAAAGCAGAGGAGAAAGAATTAAAGAGAAAAAGAAAACAAGAGAAGGCCAAGCTTAAAGCTGAAATATCACGTGAATCAAGTGATAGCGAATGTGAGGAGGAGGTGATGAACGTGAAGAGTCTCGCAAGAAGTCAGAGTGGAGTATGTGAAGAAAACAAAGTGAATGGTTTTGTTGTAGAGCGGAGGTTGGTAAATGATGAGACAAGTTGCTGCAGCGATGCAGTGACAAAGAGGATTGAGGTTTGCATGGGCAACAAATGCAAGAAATTAGGAGGTGGAGCGTTATTAGGGGAATTTCAAAGAGTAATGGGAACTGAGGAGGGAGTTGTTGCTGGGTGCAAGTGTATGGGCAAATGCAGAGATGGACCCAATGTCAGGCTCTACAATTCTGATCACCACACTCAAACTCCAATCAATCCACTTTGCATTGGGGTCGGATTGGAGGATGTGAGTGGTATTGTCACTGATTTCTTTGCTCAGGATACCCAATATTTGGGTTTGAATCCTGCATGTTAAGTCTTCGACATTTTGAATGTGCATATCTAGATTCAGTGCTGTATTAGATTAGACATCAATATTTCATTTTTATTAAATTATAACAAAATCACTTTTCTTTTTATTTGTTTCATACTTGTATTTGTTCATCTTTTCAAGTTCAATATTAATATGCTCTCCAGAATTTGATGCAAGATACAATAACAGTGTCAGATCATAATATATACAAGTCATTCGATATGATGACTATCCTTCGACCAGGAGCCATAACCAATTTAGGTGCCTTTTGATCATCAGAACTGCATAATGCAAGCAGAGGGCAGAATCTCTACTTGAAATTGGAGATTCTATTCTACTTAAAGGGCATGTTGGCAACTACTAATACACTAATTTCCATTTCCAGGAACTCATTAAACAATGACCCCACAACTACAAACCTGTATTCTATAATATTACAACAAATGCACATTGTTCCTCATGGGGTTTGGAGTACTGATCAATGTGCTTTTAGCATATCAAGAAGACAAAATTTAAATATTCCTGTACATGCGCAGCTATAGATGTCATTTTGTAGATTGTGGGGGTTCAGTGCCTTTGATATTTAGGCTTCGACTCATGTTCAGAGTCACCCACACTGTTACAGCGCTTCAAGAAAGAGTCTAGTGTTTTCTGCTTTGCAGGGCTGCTCTTCAATTGGCTGGCAGAAACTTCCAATACATTCTCATGGCCATCAAGCATCTGATTGTTCAGTAATTTAAAATCATTCATCTAGCTAAAGCAATATAAATAAACCATGACCCTACTAACTTTTAAATGCAAATCATGGAGAAGCCTTGTATAACTATCATGTATTCATCTGTTTTTCTACTTTTCTTTCTCATAAACAAAGATTAGCATTCCCTGGCAAGAGATTTACCTGTCCCAAATTTTCCAACTTGCTCTGTACAACATCCCTGCATAGATACAATAATGGATGATTAGGGATCATAATCAACATCAAAATCAATGCCTACATTATACTCTGTTAGACAAAAATGATAGCACGTGGAACATACCAAATAATGTCATCAACTGTGTCATTTGCCAGCAAGTAGTATATATTTACTGAAGAAACCTAAAAACATAACTACACTTGTCAAAGAATTAAACGCAGCTTTTCACTAGCAACAAGTATAGAATAATGAGAAATAGAAACATATAACATCGTTTACCAACATGAGCATAAACCAATAGCCATTGTCGCTTGTGATTACCTGGCCAATCCTATGAGCACGATCTTCAGCTTGAATCAGGTCACCCGGGGTCCATGACAACTCTGCAAATATAACAGTGCTTGCAGCCGTTAAAGTCAACCCCACGCCTCCGGCTTTGATCGATAGCTGCATAATTACATTCGAAAATAGCAAAAATGAACCTCATCACAATTGTTTCAACAAAGTTATAAACTTCCAATTTAAAACAGAAGAACAATGAGAAATAAATCATTGTCATACTACTGCTGCTTTGATATCATCTTTATCCTGGAAATCAGTAACCAAAGCTAGCCTAGAGGCAGCAGGGGTACTTCCATCAATCCGAATGCAACGAACTTTCTTCTTCTGTAAAGTTGTTAGGACAATGTTACAAGGATAGATCTATCTTGAGAAATTTCAAAAGAATCAAAGGGGTCTTACAAGAAGAAAATTGTGTATTGAATCAAGCATAGACAGATGGTGTGCAAATATTAGAAACTTGCAGCCAGCCTGCAATAATAATCATATTAGAATGTTAAAAATGAAAATACAATATGCAAAATAAATTGACAAGAGAAGTAACAAAAGCAAAGTGCATGTAGAAAACTGAGAAGGCCACTCAAAAAAAACATATAGCAAACATGTCAGGAGTTAAAAGCAAAACAGGTAACTCAATACGATGGATAACAAATCAGATTGACTTTTTACTCATATGTAAAGTAATGGGGGGTCACTGACTTGAATATGTAAATATGCTATCAGATGAAGCTCAAGTTAAACTTCATGCAAGTTGACACACAAATGTCAATCTGGAATCCCAAAAGGAACCAAATAAGACAAACCAGCGCATGCAGCAAAAGAGCATCAAGTCTATAACACTTTTTCTGTAAATTAACTCTACATCTACTATTGCAAAAGTCAATTTTTTTGATATAAGACACTTTAACTTCTCAAACTTTGCCCGCCCAAAAGTAGCATTAAAAACTGAATCCAGGAAGGAGCGCAAATTATGCTCATCACTAGAATCTGATCTTATTTTTTATTACACAACCTTCGTAGCTTAAATCTGCTTTTTTACATTGATCTATATTATGCACTGAAAGGAATGAAGAAGGTAAAGTGATAAGAGTGGAAACTAAATACCTCGATGATGGTTTCCAGATAATCTAGTACTGCTGGGATCTTGGCTTCAGCAGAATCAGTGTATATCTGAAATACAGTATAGAGTTACAAAGAGCAGAAAAAAAGAGGGAATGGGTAAGAAGTTTAAGCTAAGAGATCTGGTATAAAGTGACAAGAAAGGTAAAAGCATAGATGCCTGAAATTTTGAAGTCACACAAGGGCAACAAAATATGGCCTACTCCACTGCATCTAAAAGAGATCATGTTGGCTGACGGCAAAACCCAATTAAACATAATTTGGTCAATAAAACAAATACCTTATTGATCAGATTCTTCTCAGAAAACTTGAGTGTTTGAATCTCCCCTTCTGATTTGCAGGCCTTAATTTTGCCCTTTATCACCTCCAACTACAAAACAAAAGAGTAACTTTAGCCATAATTCTTTTACCCTTCAATTTTATTTTTATTTTTTTATTTTTTATTTTTTTATTTTTTTATTTTTTTATTTTTTTATTTTTTATTTTTTTATTTTTTTATTTTTTTGTCTTTGTCTTTCAGTGAAATTTCTGAAAAGAACCTACATGTTTTTAATTTAAACCATGGACACTTTGACTATAAAGATAGCAAGACTAGTCTAGAAAAAGAACACCAGATATGATGGCAAAATCATTCACATGAAAAATACTATGTTTTCCACTATAGCTAAATCCCACATATAAACAAAACCCTTGAGAAAATGAGAATTTATTAGGACCAATTGCTAGGTAAAACAGCATAATAAATTGGACAACAGTTGATTATCTCTCAATTTTCTAACAACATTATAATTGACTTCACCCAGGGACATTCAATAAAAAAATAGACTATAATGTTGTTGATTTACCTCACGAAATAAGGCATTTATTGGTTTCATATCCTTCTCAGCCAAATCCAGGAAGACCTGTAAATTGACATTCCAATTGTTAAAAATATAATGATTAAAACCAAATCCTTATTTACGATTAATATATGTATATTATACAAAATTTGTACCTTGTAAAAGTTTTAACTCAGATTTTCTGTGTACTGTCAAATTGATACTTGTTTACTATTACTCAAGAGTTGGGATGGATATTAAGACCTAATAAATTAATGAAATTACAGTTCAAGAAACGTTCTCTGACTTGAGTTCTCCAAGCCACAGATATGTCACAAACAGTTTTCAAATGCCAATATCATTGATACAAGCCCCCACCAGATAAAATATTTCAATGAGCTGATTTCCTTATTGAAACCAATTTGTTGCATCTCAAACCAAGTCATGATTGTAAGTTAGTAACTTTAGTTTCATACTATACTATCTTTCTATTGCTCAATAATTAAACAAGAAATAAATATAATATCTATCTACCTGCTGCCTACGCTTTACAGGTAGCTCAGAAAGGACATCTTTTTTAAGTCTGCGAATCATCACAGTCGCCTTCATCAAATTGTGCAATTCTTCATGGTTACTAGCGCCTTGATACATTCCAAATATTCCCTGGAAACAACAACGTTATTAAATGGACATGGCAGCCCAACAGTAGAAAAGATAAAGCAGGTTCTTTCCAACAAAAAAGAAATGACTTACACCCTTGCAATATCGGTTACCATACTCATGAACATTTTTATATACATCAGGATACAAGGCTTCTAGCTGTCAAGAGTGCACAATTTCCCAAAAAAAAAATTATTTAGATGCAACTCTTAAATAGTTTAAGAAGCAAGAAGCTATGATTTCCAACTAAGCATTAAGACTTACCTGCTTGAATAGTTCAATTGGTCGGGACAAAGCAGGAGTTCCACTAAGCAGTATTGCATATTGAGCTTTCTGTAATTGTAAACAGTCTATGAGAGCAAGCAAAAGAGAGAGAGATCATGAGCTCTTCCACTATTTACTCTCCATTGAATTATTGACCAGATAACAATTAAAGAGTAAAATTAAATATGTAGTACATTGAAAGTTTTAGTATGCCATAGCCTGATATTTTTATTTGCTTATATGTTTTTATGTTATTAAGCCTATCTAATTCTATTACTTAAACTTTGAAAACAGAAAGGTTGACATTTAATAAAAGGTATTGAGCTTTCAAATGAATTGTCACAAAGTAGACACAAGCATCTAATCACAAATCATCATGAAAGAAGACCTTTATAATCGGAAGGGCAGCTGTTGTCCTCTTTGCTTGAGCATTTTTTAGGAAATGTGACTCGTCCGCAATCACAACCTGAACCAAAATATCTCAATATTAGGAGAATATACGGTCCATACATGGATCCAGCCAAGTCACACATACAAGCAAGATACGACTAGGTCCAATCAGATAAAATCTAGAAAGATGTCACCCATTCATCAATTTCACCCCAATTCTATTGGCAATGCCTCTCTAATGATGGGAAAATAATTAAAAAGTAACGCAAAAATCAAAACAATTGATTATACTCACCTTAAAATCAGTTGCAATTAGTACATTCTGCAACTTAGGAACCACATCATAGGAGATGATATTAAATAAGCCATCAAGATGAACAGTGCTCTTGGTGCTTGAGGATACAATAGTGAAACCACTTCTATTTGAACCACCCAATTGAGATAAAACAACCTAAAAACATTACTTGTAAAGAAATAACATAACAAATCAGATCAACAGAATAAAAAATCTAGCTCCTAGAGGAAAAAGAATAAGAGTGATGAGAATTTGCTAAAATTCGAGCTACAAATACATTAGGAAAACTAACAAGAAAGACATCAGAAAGGGACTACAAATTACATACAACTATATCTGATGATGGGACATCCAGCCATTGTTGAATCATCTGCAACAGAAAATGAATGTCTGCATTTAGGGTAAAGAAACCTTGTTAAAAACCAAAATCTAGAGATGATACAGCACTCACTGAAGCCCAATGCAAACGTAATGAAGATGGAGCAAGTATAAGAACAGGCCAAAAATCACGAACACATGTAGCTATGGCAATAGCCTGCAAAAAACCATAAAATTTGAGATGCATGTTTAAAACAAAATCAGAAGAATAATATACTATTACCATTTATTAAACTATAAACGAATATAGACCAACATAGTTTTTTGGAGGTAATCAAGTAATCTTAAACAAAGCTAGTAAAGGAGGCTTCAGATATAAAGCCATGAAGCTTCAACCATAAGCCATCAAAAGAATTGACGTAGATCAAACAAAAATGCAATTTGCCTGTATGGTCTTTCCTAATCCCATTTCATCAGCTAGGAGAACACGGCCCCCATGCTTCAATGCAAACCTGGAAACAAAAATAAAGATTCTTATAGAGTTCCGCAATAGGATTAAAAAAAAACGAACTAAGGAACTTAAGAATTCTAATATTTACAAGTAACTATAATGTTTATCTGCAAAATTACAGCATACCTAACACCATCCCGCTGAAAGGGCAGAAGCTTTGATTCAATATGGCTAGGTATCTGGTCATATTTTTCTATTGTGAAAAGGGGCAAAATAAATAAGAATTTCTCAGAAGCAACATAGAAATCAACTGTATATGAATTAGCATTTACCTTGAAGATCAGAAGTGACTGAGGCAGCAGCAATAGCACGTCGAACCAAGGAATCTAAGTTCTCTACCTGGAATACAATATAATGAAAACTTAAGTTTCAGAAGACACAGTTGGTGACTATATAAACAATCATAAGAAATAAAATGCACAATTACTACCTCAACTTTATAACCAGATATTTCACTCAGAATTGTCTCAGCTGATGACAAAGAAGATATTGGAAACATCCAAATTCTGCATGTTCAATGGAAATATATCAAGCTAAAATTCAAGTCTCCTGAAAGTTCCAGCAACTGTGAAAAATGCAGAACCATGATTCCATAGATGCATGAAAAATAATAGATATATTGAGAGAATGAGGGAAATATACCTCTCTTTAGCATTCCATGTGGCTTTAGGGATCTTACGGAAAGCACCTACTAGTACCTGGAGTCAAAATAAAGCACAGTGCACGATCAAAATTAGACTCACAAACACAATGCATATGATAATTATGCAAGTGGATTGAAAGTATACTGGGTCATATGGAAACTTTGCAGCAACATTCCCGCTGGCATGAAGCAGTAATTTGACAGATAATTTCGGTGGTTGTTCCTTTGAGAATTCACCTTATTGGACACAAATCCAATAAAACATGCCAACAGGAGCCAATAGTTAGCCATAAGCCAGCACAATGATTATCACGAAATGAACAAAGCAACTATCAAGTCCTTATTCATAGCTATACATGGAGCACTATGAAGAACAATATAAAGTAAGAGAGTTAGTAAAATAGGAAGTAACCAACCAGAGTTCACACTCGGTGCAACTGATGTGGGAGAAACACCAGATATGATGCAAAATCATCACATGAAAATACTATGTTTTCCACTATAGCTAAATCCCACATATAAACAAAACCCTTGAGAAAATGAGATTTATTAGGACCAATTGCTAGGTAAAACAGCATAATAGATTGGACAACAGTTGATTATCTCTCAATTTTCTAACAACATTATAATTGACTTACCCAGGGACATTCAATAAAAAAATAGACTATAATGTAGTTGATTTACCTCACGAAATAAGGCATTATTGGTTTCATATCCTTCTCAGCCAAATCCAGGAAGACCTGAAATTGACATTCCAATTGTTAAAAATATAATGATTAAAACCAAATCCTTATTTACGATTAATATATGTATATTATACAAAATTTGTACCTTGTAAAGTTTTAACTCAGATTTTCTGTGTACTGTCAAATTGATACTTGTTTACTATTACTCAAGAGTTGGGATGGATATTAAGACCTAATAAATTAATGAATTACAGTTCAAGAAACGTTCTCTGACTTGAGTTCTCCAAGCCACAGATATGTCACAAACAGTTTTCAAATGCCACATCTCGATACAAGCCCCACCAGATAAAATATTTCAATGAGCTGATTTCCTTATTGAAACCAATTTGTTGCATCTCAAACCAAGTCATGATTGTAAGTTAGTAACTTTAGTTTCATACTATACTATCTTTCTATTGCTCAATAATTAACAAGAAACAAATATAATATCTACCTGCTGCCTACCTTTACAGGTAGCTCAGAAAGGACATCTTTTTTAAGTCTGCGAATCATCACTGTCGCCTTCATCAAATTGTGCAATTCTTCATGTTACTAGCGCCTTGATACATTCCAAATATTCCCTGGAAACAACAACGTTATTAAATGGACATGGCAGCCCAACAGTAGAAAAGATAAAGCAGGTTCTTTCCAACAAAAAAAAATAACTTACACCCTTGCAATATCGGTTACCATACTCATGAACATTTTTATATCATCAGGATACAAGGCTTCTAGCTGTCAAGAGTGCACAATTTCCCAAAAAAATTATTTAATGCAACTCTTAAATAGTTTAAGAAGCAAGAACTATGATTTCCAACTAAGCATTAAGACTTACCTGCTTGAATAGTTCAATTGGTCGGACAAAGCAGGAGTTCCACTAAGCAGTATTGCATATTGAGCTTTCTGTAATTGTAAACAGTCTATGAAGCAAGCAAAAGAGAGAGAGATCAGGAGCTGCATATCAAGAAGACAAAATTTAAATATTCCTGTACATGCGCAGCTATAGATGTCATTTTGTAGATTGTGGGGGTTCAGTGCCTTTGATATTTAGGCTTCGACTCATGTTCAGAGTCACCCACACTGTTACAGCGCTTCAAGAAAGAGTCTAGTGTTTTCTGCTTTGAAGGGCTGCTCTTCAATTGGCTGGCAGAAACTTCCAATACATTCTCATGGCCATCAAGCATCTGATTGTTCAGTAATTTAAAATCATTCATCTAGCTAAAGCAATATAAATAAACCATGACCCTACTAACTTTTAAATGCAAATCATGGAGAAGCCTTGTATAACTATCATGTATTCATCTGTTTTTCTACTTTTCTTTCTCATAAACAAAGATTAGCATTCCCTGGCAAGAGATTTACCTGTCCCAAATTTTCCAACTTGCTCTGTACAACATCCCTGCATAGATACAATAATGGATGATTAGGGATCATAATCAACATCAAAATCAATGCCTACATTATACTCTGTTAGACAAAAATGATAGCACGTGGAACATACCAAATAATGTCATCAACTGTGTCATTTGCCAGCAAGTAGTATATATTTACTGAAGAAACCTAAAAACATAACTACACTTGTCAAAGAATTAAACGCAGCTTTTCACTAGCAACAAGTATAGAATAATGAGAAATAGAAACATATAACATCGTTTACCAACATGAGCATAAACCAATAGCCATTGTCGCTTGTGATTACCTGGCCAATCCTATGAGCACGATCTTCAGCTTGAATCAGGTCACCCGGGGTCCATGACAACTCTGCAAATATAACAGTGCTTGCAGCCGTTAAAGTCAACCCCACGCCTCCGGCTTTGATCGATAGCTGCATAATTACATTCGAAAATAGCAAAAATGAACCTCATCACAATTGTTTCAACAAAGTTATAAACTTCCAATTTAAAACAGAAGAACAATGAGAAATAAATCATTGTCATACTACTGCTGCTTTGATATCATCTTTATCCTGGAAATCAGTAACCAAAGCTAGCCTAGAGGCAGCAGGGGTACTTCCATCAATCCGAATGCAACGAACTTTCTTCTTCTGTAAAGTTGTTAGGACAATGTTACAAGGATAGATCTATCTTGAGAAATTTCAAAAGAATCAAAGGGGTCTTACAAGAAGAAAATTGTGTATTGAATCAAGCATAGACAGATGGTGTGCAAATATTAGAAACTTGCAGCCAGCCTGCAATAATAATCATATTAGAATGTTAAAAATGAAAATACAATATGCAAAATAAATTGACAAGAGAAGTAACAAAAGCAAAGTGCATGTAGAAAACTGAGAAGGCCACTCAAAAAAAACATATAGCAAACATGTCAGGAGTTAAAAGCAAAACAGGTAACTCAATACGATGGATAACAAATCAGATTGACTTTTTACTCATATGTAAAGTAATGGGGGGTCACTGACTTGAATATGTAAATATGCTATCAGATGAAGCTCAAGTTAAACTTCATGCAAGTTGACACACAAATGTCAATCTGGAATCCCAAAAGGAACCAAATAAGACAAACCAGCGCATGCAGCAAAAGAGCATCAAGTCTATAACACTTTTTCTGTAAATTAACTCTACATCTACTATTGCAAAAGTCAATTTTTTTGATATAAGACACTTTAACTTCTCAAACTTTGCCCGCCCAAAAGTAGCATTAAAAACTGAATCCAGGAAGGAGCGCAAATTATGCTCATCACTAGAATCTGATCTTATTTTTTATTACACAACCTTCGTAGCTTAAATCTGCTTTTTTACATTGATCTATATTATGCACTGAAAGGAATGAAGAAGGTAAAGTGATAAGAGTGGAAACTAAATACCTCGATGATGGTTTCCAGATAATCTAGTACTGCTGGGATCTTGGCTTCAGCAGAATCAGTGTATATCTGAAATACAGTATAGAGTTACAAAGAGCAGAAAAAAAGAGGGAATGGGTAAGAAGTTTAAGCTAAGAGATCTGGTATAAAGTGACAAGAAAGGTAAAAGCATAGATGCCTGAAATTTTGAAGTCACACAAGGGCAACAAAATATGGCCTACTCCACTGCATCTAAAAGAGATCATGTTGGCTGACGGCAAAACCCAATTAAACATAATTTGGTCAATAAAACAAATACCTTATTGATCAGATTCTTCTCAGAAAACTTGAGTGTTTGAATCTCCCCTTCTGATTTGCAGGCCTTAATTTTGCCCTTTATCACCTCCAACTACAAAACAAAAGAGTAACTTTAGCCATAATTCTTTTACCCTTCAATTTTATTTTTATTTTTTTATTTTTTATTTTTTTATTTTTTTATTTTTTTATTTTTTTATTTTTTATTTTTTTATTTTTTTATTTTTTTGTCTTTGTCTTTCAGTGAAATTTCTGAAAAGAACCTACATGTTTTTAATTTAAACCATGGACACTTTGACTATAAAGATAGCAAGACTAGTCTAGAAAAAGAACACCAGATATGATGGCAAAATCATTCACATGAAAAATACTATGTTTTCCACTATAGCTAAATCCCACATATAAACAAAACCCTTGAGAAAATGAGAATTTATTAGGACCAATTGCTAGGTAAAACAGCATAATAAATTGGACAACAGTTGATTATCTCTCAATTTTCTAACAACATTATAATTGACTTCACCCAGGGACATTCAATAAAAAAATAGACTATAATGTTGTTGATTTACCTCACGAAATAAGGCATTTATTGGTTTCATATCCTTCTCAGCCAAATCCAGGAAGACCTGTAAATTGACATTCCAATTGTTAAAAATATAATGATTAAAACCAAATCCTTATTTACGATTAATATATGTATATTATACAAAATTTGTACCTTGTAAAAGTTTTAACTCAGATTTTCTGTGTACTGTCAAATTGATACTTGTTTACTATTACTCAAGAGTTGGGATGGATATTAAGACCTAATAAATTAATGAAATTACAGTTCAAGAAACGTTCTCTGACTTGAGTTCTCCAAGCCACAGATATGTCACAAACAGTTTTCAAATGCCAATATCATTGATACAAGCCCCCACCAGATAAAATATTTCAATGAGCTGATTTCCTTATTGAAACCAATTTGTTGCATCTCAAACCAAGTCATGATTGTAAGTTAGTAACTTTAGTTTCATACTATACTATCTTTCTATTGCTCAATAATTAAACAAGAAATAAATATAATATCTATCTACCTGCTGCCTACGCTTTACAGGTAGCTCAGAAAGGACATCTTTTTTAAGTCTGCGAATCATCACAGTCGCCTTCATCAAATTGTGCAATTCTTCATGGTTACTAGCGCCTTGATACATTCCAAATATTCCCTGGAAACAACAACGTTATTAAATGGACATGGCAGCCCAACAGTAGAAAAGATAAAGCAGGTTCTTTCCAACAAAAAAGAAATGACTTACACCCTTGCAATATCGGTTACCATACTCATGAACATTTTTATATACATCAGGATACAAGGCTTCTAGCTGTCAAGAGTGCACAATTTCCCAAAAAAAAAATTATTTAGATGCAACTCTTAAATAGTTTAAGAAGCAAGAAGCTATGATTTCCAACTAAGCATTAAGACTTACCTGCTTGAATAGTTCAATTGGTCGGGACAAAGCAGGAGTTCCACTAAGCAGTATTGCATATTGAGCTTTCTGTAATTGTAAACAGTCTATGAGAGCAAGCAAAAGAGAGAGAGATCATGAGCTCTTCCACTATTTACTCTCCATTGAATTATTGACCAGATAACAATTAAAGAGTAAAATTAAATATGTAGTACATTGAAAGTTTTAGTATGCCATAGCCTGATATTTTTATTTGCTTATATGTTTTTATGTTATTAAGCCTATCTAATTCTATTACTTAAACTTTGAAAACAGAAAGGTTGACATTTAATAAAAGGTATTGAGCTTTCAAATGAATTGTCACAAAGTAGACACAAGCATCTAATCACAAATCATCATGAAAGAAGACCTTTATAATCGGAAGGGCAGCTGTTGTCCTCTTTGCTTGAGCATTTTTTAGGAAATGTGACTCGTCCGCAATCACAACCTGAACCAAAATATCTCAATATTAGGAGAATATACGGTCCATACATGGATCCAGCCAAGTCACACATACAAGCAAGATACGACTAGGTCCAATCAGATAAAATCTAGAAAGATGTCACCCATTCATCAATTTCACCCCAATTCTATTGGCAATGCCTCTCTAATGATGGGAAAATAATTAAAAAGTAACGCAAAAATCAAAACAATTGATTATACTCACCTTAAAATCAGTTGCAATTAGTACATTCTGCAACTTAGGAACCACATCATAGGAGATGATATTAAATAAGCCATCAAGATGAACAGTGCTCTTGGTGCTTGAGGATACAATAGTGAAACCACTTCTATTTGAACCACCCAATTGAGATAAAACAACCTAAAAACATTACTTGTAAAGAAATAACATAACAAATCAGATCAACAGAATAAAAAATCTAGCTCCTAGAGGAAAAAGAATAAGAGTGATGAGAATTTGCTAAAATTCGAGCTACAAATACATTAGGAAAACTAACAAGAAAGACATCAGAAAGGGACTACAAATTACATACAACTATATCTGATGATGGGACATCCAGCCATTGTTGAATCATCTGCAACAGAAAATGAATGTCTGCATTTAGGGTAAAGAAACCTTGTTAAAAACCAAAATCTAGAGATGATACAGCACTCACTGAAGCCCAATGCAAACGTAATGAAGATGGAGCAAGTATAAGAACAGGCCAAAAATCACGAACACATGTAGCTATGGCAATAGCCTGCAAAAAACCATAAAATTTGAGATGCATGTTTAAAACAAAATCAGAAGAATAATATACTATTACCATTTATTAAACTATAAACGAATATAGACCAACATAGTTTTTTGGAGGTAATCAAGTAATCTTAAACAAAGCTAGTAAAGGAGGCTTCAGATATAAAGCCATGAAGCTTCAACCATAAGCCATCAAAAGAATTGACGTAGATCAAACAAAAATGCAATTTGCCTGTATGGTCTTTCCTAATCCCATTTCATCAGCTAGGAGAACACGGCCCCCATGCTTCAATGCAAACCTGGAAACAAAAATAAAGATTCTTATAGAGTTCCGCAATAGGATTAAAAAAAAACGAACTAAGGAACTTAAGAATTCTAATATTTACAAGTAACTATAATGTTTATCTGCAAAATTACAGCATACCTAACACCATCCCGCTGAAAGGGCAGAAGCTTTGATTCAATATGGCTAGGTATCTGGTCATATTTTTCTATTGTGAAAAGGGGCAAAATAAATAAGAATTTCTCAGAAGCAACATAGAAATCAACTGTATATGAATTAGCATTTACCTTGAAGATCAGAAGTGACTGAGGCAGCAGCAATAGCACGTCGAACCAAGGAATCTAAGTTCTCTACCTGGAATACAATATAATGAAAACTTAAGTTTCAGAAGACACAGTTGGTGACTATATAAACAATCATAAGAAATAAAATGCACAATTACTACCTCAACTTTATAACCAGATATTTCACTCAGAATTGTCTCAGCTGATGACAAAGAAGATATTGGAAACATCCAAATTCTGCATGTTCAATGGAAATATATCAAGCTAAAATTCAAGTCTCCTGAAAGTTCCAGCAACTGTGAAAAATGCAGAACCATGATTCCATAGATGCATGAAAAATAATAGATATATTGAGAGAATGAGGGAAATATACCTCTCTTTAGCATTCCATGTGGCTTTAGGGATCTTACGGAAAGCACCTACTAGTACCTGGAGTCAAAATAAAGCACAGTGCACGATCAAAATTAGACTCACAAACACAATGCATATGATAATTATGCAAGTGGATTGAAAGTATACTGGGTCATATGGAAACTTTGCAGCAACATTCCCGCTGGCATGAAGCAGTAATTTGACAGATAATTTCGGTAGTTGTTCCTTTGAGAATTCACCTTATTGGACACAAATCCAATAAAACATGCCAACAGGAGCCAATAGTTAGCCATAAGCCAGCACAATGATTATCACGAAATGAACAAAGTAACTATCAAGTCCTTATTCATAGCTATACATGGAGCACTATGAAGAACAATATAAAGTAAGAGAGTTAGTAAAATAGGAAGTAACCAACCAGAGTTCACACTCGGTGCAACTGATGTGGGTAATACTCTGGACCCCGGAGGCAAAGCTTCTAACTGAATTACAACATAAAGAAAAATTAGGACATATCTCACATTTAGAAAGAAAAAAGCCAAATGTATAAACTACCCCAATACAAAGGCGTGTTCTATAATGTTTATGATTATGAAGAACATAAAGAAACAAAAGAACAAGGAACCCTAGATAAAGAAAAATACAATCTTGAAAAAGCAATGAAGAAAAGGAGAGAACTTTACCTTGTTAGAACGAGAATCAGAGATGGGTTTATTGGTAGAAGTTATAGAAGGCTGATTATTGGTAAAAGAAAAAGAAGGATGAGAATGTAGAGGATGTGTTGTTTGTGGGTTTTGATTATTACTGTTAAGAGAAGTAGAAGAAGAGTTATCGCGTTGAGCAATCTGTTGAAGAGCGTCTCTTTCAAGAGAATCCAATTCTTCAGCGGTTAAGTCCCAGTCGTCCACTTCCATTTTCTCAGCTGTCCACTCCCGCTCTAACTGGGCTCTCTGCTTTTAAATTGGAGAACACAGTTAGAGTTGGTCTGCTGCCAGTCTGCCACTATTTCCAATTTTTGAGACGAGAATGAAATATAACTAAAATAAACAGTGTTTCCACTACTACTTTTCTATTTGACACTTTTTAGACCCCTCTGTGTGCGCAATACACTGAGTATTTATTTTACGGGAACTGTGAAATTATGGGTTTATCCATTGGTCTTATAATTAATACTGTAAATAAAAAGAAATGGATTTATGATGACTGTGATTCTTGTCATATTATACATTAAGTACATGATAGTAGGAGCATGTTCTAGAGGCAGTGTTGTAGAACTGATTATATCTCTCTTAACTAATCTACAAATACGCCACTAGATGAGTTGGAACATTAGTCTTGTCTTTTGGCTTCGATGTTTTGCCCAAACAAGTTCGTACGGCGTTGGTATCCCAGTAGAGGCCATATGCATGTTATAGATACATATAGCCATCATCGGGGAAATTACTCCGTTGTTTCGCGATTTAATCACTTAAGTGAATCAAGTCACGGTACTACGGCAGTATTTATGTACAAGCAACTTCATGTCTCGCAGCGTCTCCCTTTTTCTGTTTTAACCAACTTAATTCAGGTATTGACTCTTCCATTACAACTGCTCCTCATCATCATTGTATAACATATGTGTGATCGTATTTTACTCATTGTGTTAAACCAGAAAAGTGTTTCGAAATGGGGATTAAGTTTCTTCTTCTTGCAATCTACATGGGGGCTTGGTCTTGCACCTTAGCTTTTATACCGCCTTCTGATGGACTGATGAGAATTGAACTTAAGAAGAGGCAGATAGACCTTGACAGTATAAGCGCTGCGAGAATAATTCCTGGAAGAGATGTTGATACTAATTTGAATGATCTCAAGGCGGATATAGTATACTTAAAGAACTATCATGATACCCAATATTATGGAGAGGTTGGTATTGGTTCTCCTCCACAAATCTTCACCTTTGTATTTGATACTGGTAGCTCCAATCTGTGGGTCCCTTCTTCTAAATGTCTCTTATCTGTAAGTCTTCTTCACCCAATCTCAAGTGTTTCATTTACCTTTAATTTATGAGAACTATTCTTTAACATCATTATACGCAGATATCTTGCTATTTCCATTCCAAGTACAGGTCAAGGATGTCCAGTACATACTCCAAGATTGGTAATTTTGCCCCTGCATTACTTTTTTGGGTAGAAGAGTTTGTTAATTATGATAAATAACTTTAAGATAAATTGTTATGTGTTCAGGAACACCTTGCAAAATTCACTATGGTTCTGGACACATTTCCGGCTTTTTCAGCCTAGACTATGTCAAAGTTGGCGATCTTATCATTAAAGACCAAGTGAGCTCTGAGTTCCTATAAGGTTTCAATCTTCATATATATGTTTGTGAGTTCATGAGGTGATGGGATGAGATATCTTTTTATCCTTCAGGAGTTCGTTGAGGTCACAAAGCAAGGATTTTTGACATTCCTACTCCTACGTGCAAAGTTTGATGGGGTTCTTGGACTTGGGTTTCAGGATATTTCGGTCGGTCAAGCTACACCACTGTGGTATAGTTTTTGAATGAGCACACTACTATGTGTTACTTAAAGTACTGTGACATATTTCTCTTCTATTCTATCTTTAAACCCTGCTCTTATTGCTGTATCTACAGGTATAATATGATACAACAAGGTCATGTGAGCCAGCAACTCTTCTCTTTCTGGCTCAATCGAGATCCAGATTCAAAAGTGGGGGGTGAGATTGTCTTTGGAGGTTTTGATTGGAAGCATTTCAGGGGTGACCATACCTATGTTCCTATTACTAAAAAGGGCTATTGGCAGGTCGGCCAAGAGTAATGTGTTTTAACCATTCTCCTACTTATACAAAGGTTGAATTTAACCTCAAATCCATTCTTCTTTTCAGATTGAGGTCGGAGATATTCTTATTGCAAACAATTCTACAGGTTAAGTTCCCATTGTGTTGAACTTATGTTTAATCAGACTGATTTGAATGTTAAGTAATATGTTTGCGAATTAAGGGTGTGTTTGGTTGGGGGTAACGGGAGATTACTGAGGTAACGTCATCTTATATTACTTGATTACCACGTTTGGTTGTCAAGTAATATAAAATTTTAATAATCTTCCAAAACCAATATAATTACTATTGGTAAATGTTAATATAAAAGGCAATCTGTCTACCTTCATTTAGTAATCTATATAACATACCTACTAATTTATTTTCCCAACCAAACATATCAATATAAGATACCCATCAATTTATTCTAACCTAACCAAACATATTTTCCTAAACATTTTCGATAATTTAATGTCTTTACCTTAATATAACATTCCCAGTAATATAATTTTTTCTGAACCAAACACACCCTAAATGTCTTTAAGACATTCATGATTCTTTTTCTTGGCTTCCCAATTAAAATTTTATGGTTCAAAATTTTCAGGATTGTGTGAGCATGGTTGCGCAGCCATTGTGGACTCAGGGACATCAGTACTTGCTGGTCCAACGGTATTAATTTGTAGCTTAAATTTTTTTGAAGATTTATATGTTTTGTTTTGTTTTTATTTTCCTGTGTTTTATGTGCCATTCTTACTGACTCCTCTTTCCAGACTATAGTGACTCAAATCAACCATGCTATTGGAGCCGAAGGAATTCTTAGCTTGGAATGCAAAAATGTTGTTTTTAATTATGGGAATGTGATGTGGGAGTTCTTGGTATCTGGGGTCCGTTTTCTGCCTCCACCTTCTTAATGACTATTTATTTACCTTCATATTAAATGAAGAAACACCTCTTAATCTGCTTTACATCTCTGCAGATACGTCCCGAAATTGTTTGTGTTGACATTGGACTATGTGTACAAAATGGATCTAACTATATGAGGTAACTTACTTTTTCCTCTTAATCAGTTTATGTGTCATCTGCAGTCCCCTGTATGAAAACCAAATTGTGATACATGCAGCAGTGATATTGCGACAGTGATACAAAATAAAACTAGTGAGGGACCTTCTGTGGATGAGAGTGTTTTATGCACTTTCTGTGAGATGGTTGTTTTCTGGATTCAAATGCAGATTAATCAACAGAAAACGAAGGAAACAGTATTCAAATATGTTAACGAGGTAATTTTTTTATTTGCTCTGTACAATATAACTACTTTTAATTTGCCAGAATATTTCATTACTGATAAGGGTGTAGTGTAAGACTAATGCTAGTCTTGCTCTTTCTATCCTGAAAGTTATGCGAGATCATTCCAAACCCCGGAGGGAAATCATTTATCAACTGCGATTACATTGCAAGCTTGCCACATGTTTCATTTACTATTGGAAATAAAACATTTCCACTCTCCCCAGAACAGGTATCCATTTTCTCATTCAAAATATTTACAGAGTTCACATAAAAATTCATATGCAAAATCAATAACTAGTCAGTATGCTTTGTTAGAATACAGTTTTTCGTAGATTTAAGATTTCTTATGTCCTTTGGGCTTTGTATTCAGTATGTTCTCAAAATTGAAGAAGGATGTTCCACTGTATGCATTAGTGGGTTCACAGCATTGGATGTGCCTCGCCCGCAAGGTCCCCTTTGGTACGTCAACCTTAAACCTGCATTCTGACGCTAATCTAACAAAGTCTGCATCCAGAACTATATACAGCTATAGTATTATAACTGTTTGATGTATTATAATTTGTGTGGATACAGGATTCTTGGAGATATATTCATGGGGGCATATCATACAGTTTTTGACTATGGTAATCTAAAGATAGGATTTGCAAAAGCTACATAATAATCTTTAGATTCGTGGTCACTGCTTTCCAGAGATCAGTTTAGCTTATAGTAAAAATAAAGGTCATTGAATTGAAAGAAACTAAAGAATTGATGTTAGTGTATGTGGAGAAGATGCATGCCACTTTATTGTAAAGTAGTGCAAAATGACAAGAATGGGAGTTGTTAATTAACTGGTATACATGCTCCGAATGCATATCAGATGTTAAAAAGTATAGCCATATCCGGGTTCGAAAAAGTTCTAGGTTCTGCACCAGCCGGGAATCGAACCCGGGTCTGTACCGTGGCAGGGTACTATTCTACCACTAGACCACTGGTGCTGTTGAAAGCTTTGTTTTATATAAAGTATTCTTATTATTTATTAGTATCAATTTTTCCAATTTTTTTTTTTTCCCAACCATAGTTGTTATAATACCATACCATAGCTTTGATCATGAAAAAACACATAAACACCTAATTACTAATTGGAGCTTTACTTTAGGCGTTACTAACTGGTAAATATTGTAGGGAGAGTGTTTGATACAATAGCTATATTACATAATTGTATCAAATGTGCATACTGTATATTACATACATCTCAATATATCACTCACAACTTATGTTCAGTATAAAATTCATAGGGTATGAATATATCAATTTGTGACAAACAAAAATAATAAATTTTATTGATGTGAGATTGATACTCCTGGTTTAGAGAAAATGTTAAAAAACAATGTAAACCCAATTCAAAAGTTAAAAAATAAAATAAATTTAGATAAAAACAAAATTAAGCAAAAGCATCATATAACTTGTTCTCTTTATATATATATAGCGGATGCACCACCTCCCATTACATTGGGTCTTAGCAAGTAGATGCAGATGGTGTAGTAGTATTTAAAAACCAGGGTGTTGGTCACTGTTAATGCTACTCTTACTGTGGCTTTCATGAACATCATTGCTTCTCCTACTGACTCCCAAAATTGAGGCAACAGCTTCTGATAGTGCTGTTGTGAAATAAGAGTCATTGGAAATAGCTGAAGTGACTGTATCAATCATCGGTAGCATCATTGGCAATTTTGGAGAAAAGTACAAGGGATGTCCCATAACTTCTGGGGGTCTATAGCTGCCATGAAAAGGGAAGGAAATATTTGAATTAGTGTTGTCTTGAGTTAGGTCCAGTGTGATTGTAGGATGCGGAGTAGAAGTAGATAGAGTTGCCAATCCTGGGAAGAGGCCTGAGTTTGATACGGAGGTCATTGAACCAGAAAGCAGCATACTTGCTGCTGCAGACGTTGTATTAGCCATTGCTGTGGCTACTGCTGGTAGAGGGTGGCTGTGGTTTCCTTCATAGGTGGTAATGAGAATGGTGTTGTCCTCCATACATCTTTGAACCTGTTAAAATAATGCATACATATAAATATTTATTTGATATCGACGAAAGGAAAATGGTAATTTAATATGGAATAATGTTATATTTACAACTAAACCATACAATCAGATAAAAATTGTATAAAATTCATGTAAAATAACTATTTTATCCTATATATTTTGCTTTCTTTCAATCGTAAACATAACATTATTCTTTAATTTGTAATTAAGATTGCTCTATTGACAAGTTTTACCTGCTTTCGGACTGGACATCCGGTGCCCATACTACAACGATAGTAAGCTCGAGGGCAAGGGTTACCCTTTGCTATCTTTTGACCGTATTTCCTCCATTGACACCCATCGTTTATCTAAACCCACCATCCATAGATATACATATATAAACACTCCACATATCTCTTGTTAGCTATGTATAAATATTACACAGAAAATAATACAGTTACCGGAGGATGCATATCGAATTCGTGTACTGAATGACGTGATAAAATCCTAACCGTCGATTAATATTAATTCAATATTAATCAACGGTCAGGATTGCACTACGTTATTCGGTGTACGAATTCGGTGTGCATCTTTCGGTGACTATAGCATTACTTATATTACACATAGCTAAATCATCACAAAATATAGATATGTATAACCACGTCATGAATTAATCTCAATAATAAATAAAATTTATGCAAACAAAGTATGATATAAGTAAGACAACTTAATTACCGTTGCTGCAACTGAGCGAGCTCTTATGGACACCCTTGCCTTCCCACAAGCTGCCTGCTCTTCCTCACCTTTTAATTGTTCCCCACGAGATCCCGAGGTTTGATCAGGATCATCATCCCTGGATATCCGTTTTTTCCCACCCTGAATGAACGTGTCATCTTCTCTTCCTCTTGCCATTACATTCATGTTCATTGATGTTGTGCACGACAATAATCTTTCTAGTCTTTTTTCGTCTAAAATTTCAGCATTGTTAATATCCTGTTCCCTAGAGGAAACGTGATCTATAAATTGCCGAGTGCACAGCTTTGGTCCACCACTGCCATTCCTCTCATCCTTATTATGAATGAAACATGACTGTAATTCAATATTTTTGGCTCATGCAATACAGATAATACTACAAAAATTAATTGTCCAATTATATCAGTTTAATTATATATCAGCGTTTATATGACAACTTATTTTCTCATGAATGTTACAATATATGACACTCGTCTTTAGTTGTTGCAGCTAATTTTTCTGTCGTTCTATCTACACTTAAAATAATATAAATTTAATTGAACAATTGACATTAATTAGTTTACTGGCCGCAATTTGTCCTCGTAGGTCAAATATATAATTGATTTTAAGTTGGTTTCAATGAATTAGTCAGATGGTGATTTAAAGATCGATCATAGATACTTTGAAGCCAGCAATCACTAATGATCAGTTGTTCTAGTTTAGATCGATGATCAGGAAACAAAATATATACCTTGAATTGATGATTGTTGGAAGGCTGTTTTTGCCTAGCTGAAAGTAGCTGACGGTGAAGAGCTGTGTACCTAGTTTTAACCTGATCCAACATGATCCTCAAGTTCTGGTTTTCGGCTTTCGATTTCTCTATCTGCTCTTGCAGCACTCTCAGCTAAAATATACACCAGAAGGAATTCAGTTGGTATATATAGGTCGTCGAACAAAATGGTAGGATGAATAAATTAATACGCTAATGAGAAATAACAAGAGTACAAGTACAGACTACTGACTTGGATTGAACTTGAAGGATTGTCTGGTGTGAAGGTTGATGCATGAGGAGGTCTCTGGTTGTGATGCTGATCATCATGATGGTAATCTCCGTGCATGGAAAACAAGTCTAATTCTTTGTTGCCAACAGTTGCACCGCTTGTACCACACTCATTATCACTGCTGTACAACTTGGACAATATCATATCTCTGGACATCTATATCATAAAAGATCGGGATTAAAGAAGTGTCTGCAGATCTAAAACAATGGTTTTGATAAAGAATGATAGAATCAGTATAAAGTATTAATAGAATATTTATGAGATAATAAAAACAGTAGTTGCTGTGCAAGTTCAATGATGATGACAGGAATGAAAACTTGGGTATATATTTTAAGACAAAACGATTCAACTTGCAAAGTAAATTGTCCGAAATATCTAGTTTTAGTCTTGTACGCTGTAATCACATGGTCATGTAATTTCTTTGGTTTAGCTATCATGAGGCTTGACTTATTGTGTCACCAACCAAGTCAACTAAATAGAAATCCACCGAAGGCACCAGATATGGTCAACACACCATTAACATTATTCTTGGTTATAATATGAACATGACTGGAGGAAGGCTAACTAGCTCATGATCATCATCCTTCTGTATCGAACTAATATGAAGAACGTCCAAGAAAAGTTTTCCATTTTCATAACCCCTTCCTTACAAGGTTGAAGATTGATGTAGAAGACAACAGGCCCAGTCAACTTGCAGGGCAAGTTAAAAACAATATAGACGAGTAATTTGTGGTGGTAAAAGAAAGCGGCGCCCGAGGCAACACTCTAGGGCAGATAAGTCTAAGTCTAGTGCTGACAGACATCAACGTGTTGTCCATTGCTGACCATCCATCTCCAGTTATACATGCTAAGTCAACCCTTGCAAGACTGACTGGTCTGGTAGTGGTAGGCCGCGTTAAAGTTTGGTGATGAAAATTAATGCGCCTTTTGTTAAACGTTATTTATTAAAATGACCTTTCTTTAAAAAAGAATGGGGGAGTAAAGCAACTCTAGAATCTGTACATTCAGATTCAAACCACAAAAACCAATTCATATGGGATGTGGGATGTGGGATGTGGCATCTTCATCTTCTTCTTTGCTTTTTCTTAACCCCAATTAGTTCTCCCCATGAGAATTTGAGTATAATACTTAGACCTAGCAAAACGGGCGGGTGGACCGAGTACAGGGCAGGTCTAAACGGGTGTAGGTCTCACAAGTACGGGCCCAAAACAAGTCAATTTAAACTGGTCCAATATTTTGGACCTGCACCCTATCCTATGCAAGTATGGGTGAACCCGCGAGTGCCCGTATTGTTCACTCCAGTTTTAGATTTTTATAGTTATACCCCCAAATCTTCCTAAAATCTTGATTTTTGAGCAAAATCTGTCACCAACCAAACAGATAAAAGAAACCCAAGTTTTCTCACCAACCAAACAGAAATCCAGAACCTAACAAAGAAAAAGATAAAAAAACTATATCGATTGTCCTTTCATTCCTCATCAACCAAATAAATCCACATAAAAAAATCTGAAAAAAGAAAAAATTTACAGAAGAAAAGCAACAACGGCCGCTGGAGAATCGTGTTACAATGGTTTCTAAAAGAATACAAATGATTGTTATCTGCAGAACAATAAGAATAGAGCAAGAAGAGCAACCTTCAATGTTACTAGATTGCAGCCGAGGAGAAGCTAAAGACGCCGGAGAATCGACTCCAAGAATTGGAGTTGCTGAAGAGTAAAGAGTAAAGACAAAGGAGATGAGATCAAATCGGTGACAGTGATACACATACCTTGATGCACTGACAGTGGAGACTACAAACGTGGCTGATGAGAAACGAAGACAGGAGAAGCGGCGACGATGGAGTTAAGGATTTCGGTGACAATGAGTTTGAGAGAAGGTTGATGAGAGACAGAGAGAGTGAGTTTGAGTCATGTATTTTGCGATTTGGGGCAAAATGAAAAGGGAAAAGGGTTTTTTTTTTTTACAAAAAAAAACAAACAAGTACCTACAGGCACCCACGGGTGTACCCGCTTGACTCGTTGGCAAAACAGGTCAGGTCAGGCACGGGTAGAAGAAAAACAGGTCCAATATTAAAGACCCACACCCTATATTTTTTTATTCGGGTTTAGGGTCGACTCGCAGGTCCAAACCTGTTTTGCCAGGTCTACTGATACTGCAGCCACCTGGGTGGTATACATCATGCCACAGATTTTATCCAAGAAATGGGTAATATGACAAATTTAAGAACATCAAAGGAGATAAATTATACCATTCTATCATGGATTCAAATATTCACCGATTAAACAAATTCTGTTATCGCTTTAACAGGGCATGTATATCAACATTTCTGTTTATCAGTGACCATATGATATCAACATTTCAAACTTAATATAGTTTATCAATTATTAAACGATTGCCTTTAAAATTATGCCAATGTACCGCATGGATCAATTGCTAATTACAACCAATCAAAGGCCAACAGAAGAAATCAATACATCCTGAATTTTTCCTTTGTCTTCTCAAACACCTGTTCTGCTATGGCAGCCCCATTGCCATCTGCTCTTTTGATCTCCAATTGAGACTTTTGATAGAAGCCAGTTCCCCTTAATGCATCTGCAATAAAATCATCAAACCCAATAGCGATGGCCGCTTCAGCCTTGGCTCCATAAACCAGCCTCTGTTTGACATCAAAGTACTATAAAACGTTATGTCCAACATCCAAATTGACAGGAAAGAGAAGAAAAGAGATAAGGAGCAAAGGGGTTTGACCTTAATTCGCGAAAGGTGGATTGCACCAAAGCACATAGGGCAAGGCTCACAGGAGGCATATATCTCACAGTCTGAGAGCTCAATCTTATTGAGCTTCTTACATGCCTGGTAACAATATATTATCACACACAATGAGAATCATTCGACCACACTAAGGAAACACAAACTGGTGACAATTATGAAATTTTTTACAGAAGCATTAATGAGCTCAGACTAAGTGCACCCCAATCATATTTCGTAAAAGCACTAGCACTTAGTTAGGGGCGATGTTAAATGTACATGAGCAGATCCTTAAGGTCTGACAGACTTTTGTGAGGTCAGAGAAGAGTAAACTTGGTTACCCTTGTTATCCCCGCTATATCTATATACCTTATTACGCAATAAATCTAGAGAAAATATGGTATCATGGATGCAAGCATTCTCCATCTCTAGTTCATCACCTAAAGACATATTTTCCCCAAACTGACAATCAGATGCGACTATTACCAGAAAACAAATATCACTTCCATATAAAAAGTTTAAAAACACAAGTTGTACTGCCGAACTTTAGATTATATATTCAATATAAATCACTTTCATATAAAAAGTTTAAAAATACAAGCATTTTCTGACAGAAAACAAATACCACCTCCATATTGTTTACTCATTAAACCACATAAAGCAACCACTACACAGACAGTCATGCATTCTCTGTCAAATATAAACTCGTTTTTTCAAATTAAGGTCTTGAAGCTCCTCTTGCACATGTCTAATTCAACTATGGGAAACATTGGGGTAGGGATATGTTTAAATAAACAGCAAACAAAAATCTCAGCTTCATCTTTCTTCTTGGTGCATCAAGGAAAATACTATGCATGTAATACTATTTCAAATTAACTATAGCTCAATGTCAAGGAACGAATCATGTAAAATTGAAGAATGTAATTTAAAAAGACTCCAAAAAAAGGAGTCATCAACCAATTCTAAATACAAATCCACTATCAACAGTTTAGGTATGGCTCCAATGGTTTGAGATAACAGACAAGTCAACAAAGTATTCAAACATGTAATTCATGCAATTATGACCACCAATCCAGAACTTCTACTTTCACAGTACTTTCGGCGTCTTGGCTATGAATAGAATCTAAAGAATTAGTGAATTACAGTCACCTAATCAGATAAGACTCAAAGTAACTCCTAGGTGACAGCCATTGAATGGGGAGTCTCAGCTCTTGGGTTGTAAAAGTACCAAGTAAAAACAATGTTCTGTTGTTTGACTATCCTATAAGCTAGAAAATTTCAGATGGTAAAGGTTTTGAATTTTGATATTTTTAAACAACCAATTAAAAACAAGAAAAATTGAAGTAATATGAGCAAGATATTAGGTTTCTTCCATTCAAGTGAATTGGTGAAGGTCATTATAAGGGTCATTGAAGATAATGGTAAACATAATTTCAAGCACAGTTGCAAATGCCATATAGTATAGACAATGCTAATGATGTCACACCAACAACCATCATTGAAAAATGAAAAATATTGAAGCAAATATTCCGACCTCTCTCACTGCAGTGACCTCCGCATGAGCAGTAGGATCTGTGTTCTTCAAAACCATGTTGTGACAACTCACAACAACTTCATCATTACGTACAACAACAGCACCAAAAGGACCACCATGTCCACATTCAACCCCTTTATACGCTTCTTCAACAGCTTTGGTTAAGAATTTGTGATCTCTGTCCTGAACAGCTGGTTGATCAACATAAACATGATATAACGAATAAATTTCAAAACCTACCGGTTATTCAATAACAAATAATAGAGAAATGAACAACATTACCTTCCTGATGTCCAGCAAATGCAGAAGCCACAGAAATAGTTCCCTCCTTTGTCTCCACCACTGCAATCATAAGGCAGGCAAAGATTACGTCTTAGAGTAATCAAGTTAACAACACTCAATAAAGCCTTTAACTGGAATCAGAAGGTTACCAAAAAAAAAAAAAAAAAAAATCAATTAAATTTATGAAAAAGTTGCATAGGATTGAAGAAATTAATTTATAAGAGAATCCCATTATAATTGTGGTCATATGGTAGCAGCCTTCGACAAAAGGTATTGGGTTTTGATGCAAATAGTCAAAAGGTTAACCGTGTTTGTATTTCTCTTAAATAAAAGAGCGTGGAATCAGATAAAAAATAAGAGAAACATAATAGTTATACAGTAAAAGCATTTCAAAGAAGCGGGGAAAGGGTTGAATTGAAGAGAGAAGAAGTAGAAAGACGATATGACGCAAAAGAGATTACCATTAGCTTCTTCCATGATGATGATGATGAAGAAGCGAGAGAGAAGTGAAGGAAAAAGAGAGATGAAAGTGAGCGAAGGAATGAAAAAGAATGAGTGTATATATCTTCTGAATGAGGAGGAGATGGAGATGCAGATACAGAAACAGATACAGATGCGGATGCAGATGAAGGAAAATATGGAAAGACAAAATCACAAAAATAATAGTTGGAAGACGCTGATTCAGGTCCACATATTATAAATATTTAAATTACGTTAACGTGTTCACATGTAAAAGTTGGGTTGGGCCCATCCAACTAAATTCTTGTTTTTCTTCCCTTAATAAGCATATACAATATCAATTTTCTCACGCTTGCCTTACCCCAAATTGTAAGATAACATAACAATAACATCAATGATTTAGGGGTGTTTGGCTGAGTTTATGAAAATTAGCTTATAAGTAATAAGTGCTTATAAGCTAATTTTAGCTTATAAGCATTTAAAATTTTAAGCAATTACGTGTTTGGTTAAAATACTTATAAGTGACTGATAAGTAGTTGACGTGTTTGGTAAAATATGGCTTATAAGTATATTTTATTATAAAATGACTAAAAAAGGTACTACATTAAACAATGGTATACTAAGGAATTTTAAAAATAAACAAGGATAATGTGATAATATACTTGGTCAAACTAGCTTATAAGCAGAGTGCTTATAAGCAAAAAAAAAAAGTGTACCTCCCCCCTAACTTATTTTTTTTAGCTTATAAGCTCAACTTATAAGCTCAAAAAAGTTATAAACAAATAGGTCAGCTTAATTTTAGAGTTTATAAGCTAATTTGACCAGCTTATAAGCTTAGACAAACACCCCTAATATCTTGCTAAAAAATGAAAATTATTTGTTTTCAAATTTCACACTCATTGGGATATTGGAAAAACTTTTTTAACCATCCTAGCCCAAAACCTAACCTATGGGCCCATCCCAAAATTAGACAAATGTACGGGTCCAGTCCAGGTGTGTGGGGATGGGGACGCGGGACGGTATCTTATCCGTTTCATTTGCCATCCTTGGTGTAGACATAGTTTGCAGTTGGATTGGATCGTTGTTGGAGACATTATGTGGAGGGGTGGTGGTGGTTGCATAGATTTGTTCAACGCACAACCGGTGGGGGTAGCTCTGTCTGTCAAACAGAACCCTCTCCATTGGGGGTTTCCACCTCTTTCAACCAAAAGGAATGCTTTCTCGGTATCTGTCTCACCAACACCACTTTCAAACTCCAATAATGCTGTTAGTACCCTTAAACAACGACCGCAACTCTCCTTCCTTTCTTCTACTTGTTCATCACCTCCTGCTCCCCCTCCTCCTCCTCCTCAATTGGCTCTTCTCTCCCTCCTCTTCGTCCTCTCTACGGTATTTCCTTATCAATCTAAATCTCCTTTTTTTTTTTTTTTTTTCTCAGCTTTGTATACATTCTCAATTTCATGTCTTTTATTTCAAACCTCTCCAGGCTATTGGAGCAATTTTCTCCTTGGCTATTATTTCAATTCCTACCTTGATGGTAAGTTTTGTTTATTTGATTAAGTCGGTTCTGTTTCATCCCTACCTCTTGTAATTTCAGTTTATTTTTCTGTTGTGTACAGACTTTTAAGAAATTAGGTGTCTCGGTGGATAAATTGTCCAAAGTAGTTTCTGAAGAAGTGCCCGGAACCTTATCTTCCCTCAAACTTTCTGGATTGGAGATTAATGAATTGACTCGACAACTTACCAATCTCAGGTATTTCATTCCCCATTTAATGCAACTTTTAATTGTCTTTTGATGATTGATTTGTGTGTTTTCATTTTCAAGGCAAAAGATTTCTGGTACTCCCTTTGCCAACAAAAGCAGAAGCAATAACCCCACAAGTAAAAGCGGCGATTGATTTCACTTCTGTTTTAGGTTAATTAAGTCATCCATCCCTATGTGATCTCCGTTAAGCTCTATGTTGTTTTAAAGTTTGTTCCTTTAGGCTTTAGACATTTTCTATTGTTTCTCTTGTCCATATGGATGGTTTGATTGGTTTCCAACTATATATAAGAGAGTCAACTTGTTCCAACTTCTAAAGCCAAGTAATAAGCAGGGCTGGAGACAGTTGTGCAAATCGTCTCATTATTAGTTGTAAAGAAAAGCATTCAGTGCATAGATCTGAAACTGTGGTGGATTTCTTCAATTTATATACTACGAATGGGTTTCACTAAATTTATTTGGTGTTGAAATTTAAGGCGACATCAACCTCGGCTCTGCTACTTTATATATTGAAATTTACGAGAAATGCAGTTGTAATGGCAGCGGACTTATTAACAACATTGATTGAGATTGGTAACTCAGAAATGAGATGAGCATAATGATATATTACTTTCCAAACAAGTGTCAAGCATAATGATCCACTCAAGTAATAAGAGAAGATAATAGCCTGGTTCACAATTTAGCAACCATTTTGAGAATATCTCCAGCATCTTTGGCATTATCAGGCACAGGCATGTTGGCTACAAGAGTAACTCTAGAGGAAGAAACCATAGACTTTATGTCTGAGTTTGAAGGATCAATTTTCCAGAGTCGAACCTCCCATACCTGAATGGTCTTTCCAACATTGATGGGGGAAGCCTCAGCATAAACAAGATCACCAAGCTCAGCACGTTTCAAATGATTAATGCTAAGGTGAATACCAGCCACTCTACTGAAACCAGATGCCATGTGGGCCCCTATGCTAGCCAACGACTCCGCTATCAACGCCGATACACCACCGTGTAACACCTTGAACGGCTGTGTTCAATAATTCAACTCAATTCTTCAATCTAAAACAAATGATTGCAAAAGAAAAGAAAAGAAAAGAAAATTTATAAGCTAACCTGGCATGTCTTTTCGTGAACTCTAAGGCGGCCTGTGACTCTATGCGGGGATAATTCATCAATTTCAAACCCAATAGAATGGAGGGGAGCATCGACTTTGGCTGTCTTGCTGGAGGACGAGGACGAGGATGACGATGATTCCTCCATCAAATTCAAATTCAAAGTTGAAGCTTTCTTCTTTCTTCCAAAAGGACCACAAATAAGCAACAAGAAGTTTTGCTTACTTTTATTTGTTGTTGGTGGGGTGGTAGGTGGAGGCTGTGGAATGCAGCAATACTAGGTGATTATATCATCTCCCAATTACAATTCCAAAGTATGGGCAAATTAATCAACCGTTGTCCTTTTCAATGTCTTATTCAATTCTACAAACAATTTAATGCTATCCCAAAACCATTACTTTAATGACATTTTTCTACCTTCCATTGTCTATCTAATTCTAACAACCCCCACCCCACTACATCTACTCCAATTTCACTTCTCTCATACCCAACATCATTCATTGCTTCATCAAAAGGGTTTATTACGTTGGACCCCCAAAGCTTGGCCGGAAACTTCCCCACACCCTTCCCAACAACCAAATTTAGGGAAATTAACACTCTCGCCCCAAAATAGGGTTTCTGTAAACTAAATATGAAGGTACAAGAGGTAGAAATCTGATAGTTTTAGACAAAACAGTTGGCTTGTGATCGTTTGACTAAACACCCTAGTACTATTGTATTTTTTGGATGTAAAAAGGTCTACAGTTTATTTAAAATATTATTTCTATCTCCTATACCGTTAACCTCCATTTGCGATAACAATGTTAGTTTCCCAAAATTAGGGAAAAACTTTTTACACAAAATCTCGGAGGTGACCCTTATCATTGAAATTGCCCTTTTTAACATTTTTCAGATGTATACATGGTTTAGTTCTTATTACATAGAGAGATTATCATCATATCTGACACTGAGAGAGAGTTAAATCTCACTAACGTGGGTCAAATCTGTAAGTATTGGTGTTGGCATGGGATTTAGAGAGCATGTGCAGCCCGAACCTGAGTTAAGACATCTGCCATTTTATAATGTCAAACAACACAATCATATGTATTGATTGAATCATCAAGTTGACTTTATATATATTCATATGGATGTTTACAATAATGTGCAAGCCTCTAATTCTATCAAAACAATTTTCTTTAATCCTTGCAAAAGATTCTTTTCTTTCTATAGGATTTTAAGTCTGAATTTTAGGAGAAACAGCAATCAACATTATTGAGACTGAATTAAAGGTGGCTCTTCTTTAGTTAATTAATCCTCTACAACTTCAATATATCTCCACATTCTCAGAGGAAGAACACAAATGGTAGAATTTCCTTAATGAAAGGACTAGATTGATGAGAAATAGAGGTGATAGCATGCATCATGCTCAAAACGTAAACGATGCTTCATCGGCCTCAACATATGGGCTCTTCATAATAAAATCATGTTTTCATATGGAAGGAATATCATTTAACCAATAATTAATAACCTCATGTTTTTTGTCGTGTCACATTTGTACACCTCTATAAATATCAACGCAACAAGTTGTCTCCTCGAGCATTAAAATATGTTTTTATTGGATATGATGTTTATCAAAAGGGGTATCGCTGTTACCATCCTCCAACTCAACAAATGTTTGTAACCATGAATGTTGTGTTCCATGAAGAATTGATGTATTTTTCTTCTGAGTCTAAACTTTATGGTGAGTATTGTTAGGAAGAAATTCAGATGCTTGTCTAGGATATTCAAGATGTGGGAGACTATGAGTCATAGATTAGACCTATTGATCGACAAGAAAATGAAGTGGATGATGAAAATGTCAAGGTGGTATCTCTGTACGAACAAACTTCATCTCAATCCAAGTCTCTCGTTCCTGGTATGTCACAACCATCATTTGCTGCAAATGTCCCTGATTTAGAGTCTAGACCAATTTAGTCTGAACCAATTAGAAATCAATTACCATCACGGAGTACTAGAGGGATTCCTAAACCAATATACGAACCTGAGCTATCTAGTAAGGTCAAATCCCCATAAGTCATTATGTGTCTAACCATTGTCTATTATAATCAAATTTGTCATTTGTGAAACAATTATCTACCGTATCGATTCCTAACAGTGTGTAGGAAGATTTATTTGATCCAAAATAAAAAGATGATATGAATGAAGAGATGAAATCATTATAGAAGAATGAGACTTGAGAACTTGTTGATCGTCCACTAGGAAAGAAGATTGTTAGATGTCGATAGGTTTACACTGTGAAGTATAAAGTTGATGATATGATTGAACGATTTAAAGTAAGACATAGCACAAGGGTACACCCAAACTCATGGGATAGATTACACAAAGACATTTGCACCCGTAGCCAAAATCAATACAATATGTGTCTTGTTATCTTTGGCTGCAAACCTGGATTGGCCATGACAACAGTTCGATGTAAAAAATGTTTTCCCATATAGAGAATTATCTGAAGAGATCTATATGGATCCTCCACCAGGGTGTATTTTACCAGGAAAGCATAACCAAAAGGAATGTAGGTTAAAGAAGTCACTGTATGAGTTAAAACAATCTCCGAGGGCATGGTTTGGGAGGTTCACCAAAACTATGAAGTTTTTTGGCTACCATTAGAGCAATTCAGATCACACATTGTTCCTTAAAAAATAGCAAGGAAAGATCACTGCACTTATTGTATATGTGGATGATATGGCGGTAATAGGAAATGATCCAGAAGAAATGAAGGCTTTGCAAAAGTACTTGTCAAAAAAATTCGAGATAAAAGAGACCTAGGTTTTTTGAAGTATTCTTTCGAAGTCAAAGTGTCTCGATCTAAAAAAATATATATTTCTATCACAAAGAAAGTATGCCTTGGATGTGCTGCAGGAAATTGGTATGTCAGCATGTCAACTAGTTGATACACTAATCGAAGAAGGTTTGAAATTAGGAGTCGAGACTAATCAAGTACCAGTTGAAAAAAGGGAGATACCAGAAATTGTTAATCATTGGTGGGGTTTATGCAGCAAAAAAACAAAAAATAAATCCCCACACAACAACATAGATGCCAAGCAACTTATACCACATTTACGTTATTTGTATAAGAAGTAAAAATTCAAAATTATACCTACGTTTGGAGGCTCCTTCTTGCAATGCGGATCGCTCCCACTCTAAGCCAAGAGTGCACTTCTGGTATCTACATGAAGACAGGACGAGTGATTGCCTTGCGATCTCAAGTGTCAGCAAGAACGCAAGGATTCAGGATGCTGAATTTTTCTTGGAAAAATTCTCTTCTCCGCCTAGAGAGAAAACATGAGAGACAAGGAGAGAGGGGTGGCTAGGGTTTCTTTTATTTTGCAAAGGGTTTTTTTCATTTAATTTTTAGTTGCACACTAAAAAACCTAACCTAATATATATGGAATAGCAATCTACCTATTCCATATTAAGATTAGCAATATTTCAATACCAAACAAAGCATTTCAATTCAAATTTAAAGTGCTAAACCCTAAACCCAAATTTTAAAATTAAACTTGAATTCCATATTATCAAAATTAATATTAATAAATACTAATATTAAATAATATGTATTATATTTAAATATATAAATATATATATAAACTAAATATTTAAATATACAATCTCACTAATTTAATTTCCTTATGAAATTAAATATAAACAACAGCCTCAGCAAATTTAATTGCACTATGAGATTACCTAAATGCCCTTTCATCTTAAAAGGCAAAAATACCCTTTAATCATAAATGACGAAAACACCCCCCCTCACTTATTCATCTTTAATATGTATTCTATGTGTGTGACTCGAAGGCTCCTCATCATATCGATAGTGATTAGTCTCGCGATTGACACCAATCAGTCGTCTCACTAAACACAGACTAAAATTAGCCTCTAGCAAGACATCATAGCCACCTGATAGATTCGGATTCAGTGAAACAGCTTACCTATCAACGATGTGGGTACCGTGCAATTCAATCATTTCATCATCCATTATCTCATCAAAGGCCGAGGCACAGAAGTAGTGTCAACCTCGAATATCCTTGATATCTTGGTATTCAGTTATTAGACCAACGACTGAAATAGATTGGATTGAGCTACAACTTAATCCCATTGTGGCCACAGACTAAATGTCGTCTCCATCTACCAAATCACTCACCGAGATAATTTCTCTCGTACTTGGGAGTGATGAATCCTCTATTAATCCACCATAGTATTGTACATCTTTCGATGTAGCCAACCACTACTGTTCTGATATCTCTGAATAGAACTACGTTGGGCTAGTGTCAAACTACACCAATTGGTGCACAAGGCGCTCCAATGATCTCAAGTCTAAGGATCACATGTATTACCATTCGTTAAAAGATTTATTCAACAGACACTGGGGTTACAATCTATGTAGAATCCTCTGGTGGGTATGTCCAGTGAACTCGCCTACGACAAACACCTATGTGTTGTACCAAGTTGTCGACAAACAACCTTGACAAGTGAGATTTGTCATCCATGATAGTCTTACCATATTATCTGTGTCTTTAGTCAGAATAATACTAGGGCTACAAACGTTTATAGAATGGTCACCACGTGTGATCATAGGGTCCTCACTATCGAGATGAAACACTCGATACCCTCGTCACGGTTCTACCATTCTGAGAACATACATCATAATATATATTAAATACGAATTACATAATGTAGAAAATGCCTTTTATTAATTATAACCACTATTGCAAGAGTTAACATTTACAAAATGGATTGGCTTTAGGGCACCTACTCTAACAGAGACTTGTGGGAAGATTGATATACTTATCTCACACTAGACAAGATCTTGCTTATACATTAAGTATAGTCAGTCAGTTCATTCATAATCTTGAAGAACAACATATGAACGCAATTACGCACATCTTGAGATATTTAAAACATGCTCATGGAAAGGGAATTCTATGTACTAA